CTCCCCATTAGCTCTCTGGGCTCCCCATCAGCTCTCTGGGCTCCCCATCAGCTCTCTGGGCTCCCCATTAGCTCTCTGTGCTCCTCATCAGCTCTCTGTGCTCCCCATTAGCTCTCTGTGCTCCCCATCAGCTCTCTGGGCTCCCCATTAGCTCTCTGGGCTCCCCATTAGCTCTCTGGGCTCCCCATTAGCTCTCTGTGCTCCCCATTAGCTCTCTGGGCTCCCCATTACTTCTCTGGGCTCCCCATTAGCTCTCTGGGCTCCCCATTAGCTCTCTGGGCTCCCCATTAGCTCTCTGTGCTCCCCATCAGCTCTCTGGGCTCCCCATTAGCTCTCTGGGCTCCCCATCAGCTCTCTGGGCTCCCCATCAGCTCTCTGGGCTCCCCATTAGCTCTCTGTGCTCCTCATCAGCTCTCTGGGCTCCCCATTAGCTCTCTGTGCTCCCCATCAGCTCTCTGGGCTCCCCATTAGCTCTCTGGGCTCCCCATCAGCTCTCTGGGCTCCCCATCAGCTCTCTGGGCTCCCCATTAGCTCTCTGTGCTCCTCATCAGCTCTCTGTGCTCCCCATTAGCTCTCTGTGCTCCCCATCAGCTCTCTGGGCTCCCCATTAGCTCTCTGGGCTCCCCATTAGCTCTCTGGGCTCCCCATTACTTCTCTGGGCTCCCCATTAGCTCTCTGGGCTCCCCATCAGCTCTCTGGGCTCCCCATTAGCTCTCTGGGCTCCCCATTAGCTCTCTGGGCTCCCCATTAGCTCTCTGGGCTCCCCATTACTTCTCTGGGCTCCCCATTAGCTCTCTGGGCTCCCCATTAGCTCTCTGGGCTCCCCATTACTTCTCTGGGCTCCCCATTAGCTCTCTGGGCTCCCCATTAGCTCTATGGGCTCCCCATTAGCTCTCTGGGCTCCCCATTAGCTCTCTGTGCTCCCCATCAGCTCTCTGGGCTCCCCATTAGCTCTATGGGCTCCCCATTAGCTCTCTGGGCTCCCCATTAGCTGTCTGTGCTCCCCATCAGCTCTCTGGGCTCCCCATTAGCTCTCTGGGCTCCCCATTAGCTCTCTGGGCTCCCCATTAGCTCTCTGTGCTCCTCATCAGCTCTCTGTGCTCCGCATCAGCTCTCTGGGCTCCCCATTAGCTCTCTGGGCTCCCCATTAGCTCTCTGGGCTCCCCATTAGCTCTCTGGGCTCCCCATTACTTCTCTGGGCTCCCCATTAGCTCTCTGGGCTCCCCATTAGCTCTCTGGGCCCCACATTAGCTCTCTGGGCTCCCCATTACTTCTCTGGGCTCCCCATTAGCTCTTTGGGCTCCCCATTAGCTCTCTGGGCTCCCCATTAGCTCTCTGTGCTCCCCATTAGCTCTCTGGGCTCCCCATTAGCTCTCTGGGCTCCCCATTAACTCTCTGGGCCCCACATTAGCTCTCTGGGCTCCCCATCAGCTCTCTGGGGTCCCCATTAGCTCTCTGGGGTCCCCATTAGTTCTCTGGGCTCCCCATCAGCTATCTGGCAACTATGTTTGCTTTACGGATACTATAAGTTTCTTTTCTGATGCCACAAGAATCTGTTATTACAGAAACCATAGTATGCGGTCCGCACCCCCCTGCCCCCCCCCTCGCTACGCTTCTGATTAACATACTATTCCAATTCTACATACATATATAACAATATAACTTTAACAGTGATACATTTCCTAGATTACTATACTATTACAATTCCACATACATATATAATAATATAACTTAAACAGTGATACTATTCCAATTCCACATATTTTAACTGAGTTGTGATGTTTTAAGCGGGTCTAGTACATCACCCACCCCACCCTAAACGATGGATAATTTTCAGGTGTAATGTCCTACTGCAGGTTTTTGGGTCCGGGTAAGACCATGGGGTGTGGGGTAATAGCAAGTAGTTGATCTGGGGGGTAAGGAATTGGGGAAGATGACCGAGGGGGGGGGGTACTTTTGTCGTGCATTCATTGGGATTCTCATGAACGCTGGTACTAAATAACCCGTTTAACTATGCAATAGCAGAGTTAAAAATAACTTTGTGATGCCCTACTTCAAAGTAAATAGACCGTGTGGTGGTGGTGGTGTGTGTGTGTGGGGGGGGGGTGATATCTCGTGTACCCGACCCCGAGAACCACCCGGTGTTATTTTAAGCACGCAGCAGCAGAAATCGTGACTCCTCTGACGCGCTAGTGACGCCGATCCCCTGACCCCCGCGCCATCAAGCAGCCAGTTAATGGAACAAATATAACGCCGAACATGATGTCGTACGATAAACACCATTCACTATTTCATCGAGGTCATGAACTTGGCCTTCTTGGCTTGTCCAAAAACTGGAGCCTGGAATGTTCTAATCTTAACATGGTCGTTTGTGCAGCTGGGATTTTATTTGTATGGGGCCATTCTTCCAAAAGTGGTAAACATTTTATTTGTATGGGGCCATTCTTCCAAAGGTGGTAAACATTTCATTTGTATGGGGCTATTCTTCCAAAAGTGGTAAACATTTTATTTGTATGGGGCTATTCTTCCAAAAGTGGTAAACATTTTATTTGTATGGGGTTATTCTTCCAAAAGTGGTAAACATTTTATTTGTATGGGGCTATTCTTCCAAAAGTGGTAAACATTTTATTTGTATGGGGCTATTCTTCCAAAAGTGGTAAACATTTTATTTGTATGGGGCTATTCTCCCAAAGTGGTAAATATTTGATTTGTATGGGGTTATTCTTCCAAAAGTGGTAAACATTTTATTTGTATGGGGTTATTCTTCCAAAAGTGGTAAACATTTCATTTGTATGGGGCTATTCTTCCAAAAGTGGTAAACATTTTATTTTTATGGGGCTATTCTTCCAAAAGTGGTAAACATTTTATTTGTATGGGGCTATTCTTCCAAAAGTGGTAAACATTTTATTTGTATGGGGCTATTCTTCCAAAAGTGGTAAACATTTTATTTGTATGGGGCTATTCTTCCAAAAGTAGTAAACATTTTTTTTTTGTATTGGGCTATTCTTCCAAAAGTGGTAAACATTTTATTTGTATGGGGTTATTCTTCCAAAAGTGGTAAACATTTCATTTGTATGGGGCTATTCTTCCAAAAGTGGTAAACATTTTATTTTTATGGGGCTATTCTTCCAAAAGTGGTAAACATTTTATTTGTATGGGGCTATTCTTCCAAAAGTGGTAAACATTTTATTTGTATGGGGCTATTCTTCCAAAAGTGGTAAACATTTTATTTGTATGGGGCTATTGTTCCAAAAGTGGTAAACATTTGATTTGTATGGGGCTATTCTTCCAAAAGTGGTAAACATTTTATTTGTATGGGGCTATTCTTCCAAAAGTGGTAAACATTTTATTTGTATGGGGCTATTGTTCCAAAAGTAGTAAACATTTTATTTGTCACATCCTGAATTATCGGTGACACGAAAATTGTGCATCTACACGGGCTTGTGACTAACATCATCCCCACCCCAAGATTCTGGCTGGGTAGATGACTCAGTGTCTTCCATAGATCTCATGTCTGCTGGCACTCGACCATGTGTCCACCTGTCACTGACCTGACATGAAGCTGTCACGTGCCACTGGTATATACCACTGACACATAGTACAACACATGACACTGATATAACACTGACATGTATTTTACTCCACAGAAAAACGTGCAAGAGGCGTTCAGCATCGCCGACAAGTACTCTGAGACCATCGAGAAGCATCGGATGTTCTACGCTGACGACATCGTCTTCGATCTCAACACGCACCGCCCCCTCACACGTACGTTGGTTGACGTCACGTCACTCTTGATGTTACTTCACCGTGCTGCAAGGCATTATTGTAATGACGTCACGATCATACATTCGGGTTTTTCAAATGTTTTCACGACATCGTCAACATGTAGATGCATAACCATTAGTTTTATTGCCATGAATATTGTATTACAATTAGAAATAAATGTATGATCTTATAACAATGATTGTACACTGAGATTGGCTCACATTGCAAATATTTTTTCCATCTTTCTGCAGGACCCATTGGACAAGGAGGTAAGAGTGCATTTGTAGCTGAACTTTTAAGGGGTTTACCGTAGGCCGGTCATCGCCCACGCGTGACCTGACCTGGTGACATGTGGTCACCACTGGATTTGGCCAGCAACCCGCTGACCACTGTCTGTCTGTCTGTCCTCTTGTGGAGAAGTACATCGTGACACCCCATCAGCTCACTAATAGAGGCTGTCACGTGCAGTGTTTCTTCCCGACTTTTTTCTCCGGGGGGCTTTGCCCCCCCCCCCCCCCCCGAAGAGATGCCTGGAAGAAACTCTGGTCACGTGGTCTAGACTGGCCAGGGCGACCAGTGTGTCCGACTTCTATATCTCGTCCAAACGCTTCTTAGATATAGATATAGATATAGATATAGATATAGATATAGATATAGATATAGATATAGATATAGATATAGATATAGATATAGATATAGATATAGATATAGATATAGATATAGATATAGATATAGATATAGATATAGATATAGATATAGATATAGATATAGATATAGATATAGATATAGATATAGATATAGATATAGATATAGATATAGATATAGATATAGATATAGATATAGATGTAGATGTAGATGTAGATGTAGATGTAGATATATAGGTATATAGGTATATAGATATATAGATATATAGGTATATAGGTATATAGATATAAACATAAATGGTGGCGGAGTAATTGATCTCAGACAAAAAGACAAAGTATCTCAAACAAAATATCTCACGACGAAATAAGTGTAGTATTTAGGAAGATGTTAGTCGACTGAACATTATTTATTGATGTCACGTGTTTATGGTGTCTGCCTTTTAAAAAAAAATAATTGCTAAACAGAACATCAAAAGACTAATTAAAATTAAAATTATTTTTTTTTAAACATATAAAGTTTTAAAATGTAGACTTGACATTATCCCCCGCCCCCCCCCCCCCCCCCCCCCAGACCCAGGCCTGTTTACAGAGATGATCGTCAAGTTCCACCAACAGCACAAGATGGCCACGGCTATCGTTGACCGGCTGCCCCTGGGGCTGCTGCTCATCGACTCGCAGACTCTCAAGAAAACTTTGATCCCAGCACCGGTCGAGTGTCTCAAGGTCAGTCTGTTTGTCTGTCTCAAGGTCAATCTGTTTGTCTGTCTCAATGTCCGGCTCTTTATGTGTCTTAAGGTCAATGTCTTGCTCTATGTGTGTCTCAAGGTCAATGTCTTGCTCTATGTGTGTCTCAAGGTCAATGTATTGCTCTATGTGTGTCTCAAGGTCAATGCCCTGCTCTATGTGTGTCTCAAGGTCAATTTCATGCTGTCATACGTTCACACCGATACCGTTACTGTTTCAGTCATATGTTTACATCGATACCATAAGTATTCAAGCCCTATGTTGACATCGATACCATAAGTATTCAAGCCCTATGTTGACATCGATACCATAAGTATTCAAGCCCTATGTTGACATCGATACCATAAGTATTCAAGCCCTATGTTGACATCGATACCATAAGTATTCAAGCCCTATGTTGACATCGATACCATAAGTATTCAAGCCCTATGTTGACATCGATACCATAAGCATTCAAGCCCTATGTTGACATCGATACCATAAGTATTCAAGCCCTATGTTGACATCGATACCATAAGTATTCAAGCCCTATGTTGACATCGATACCATAAGTATTCAAGCCCTATGTTGACATCGATACCATAAGCATTCAAGCCCTATGTTGACATCGATACCATAAGTATTCAAGCCCTATGTTGACATCGATACCATAAGTATTCAAGCCCTATGTTGACATCGATACCATAAGTATTCAAGCCCTATGTTGACATCGATACCATAAGTATTCAAGCCCTATGTTGACATCGATACCCTTACTGTTCCAGCAAATCCACAAAGCCTTGCCAGTGATAGCAAAACGCGCCATGGATGAGATCCTTCAGACATTACAAGATGGGGCGGTTAAACTCCATCACCAGCCGGTCACCACCATCGAATACGTCAACTACCTGCAGTTTTTGGACGACTTTCAGACACAGGTAACAGATGGGTCACCAGCTCACAGGTAACAGATGGGTCACCAGCTCACAGGTAACAGCTGGATCACCAGCTCACAGGTAACAGATCACCAGCTCACAGGTAACAGATCACCAGCTCACAGGTAACATATGGGTCACCAGCTCACAGGTAACAGCTGGATCACCAGCTGTGTACGTGTTTGATCAATTTGATAACATATTTTAATGGTGTACTTATTTAAATTGATAACACAATTATTGTTTACGTGTTTGACGTAGACTGTTAACAAATTGTTTACATGTTTGATGTAGAGATTGATAACAACTTGTGTACATGTTTGATGTAGAGATTGATAACAAATGTGTACATGTTTGATGTAGACTATTAACAAATAGTGTACATGTTTGATGTAGACTATTAACAAATAGTGTACATGTTTGACGTAGATTGATAACAAATTGTGTACATGTTTGATGTAGATTGATATCAAATTGTGTACGTTTGATGTAGACTGTTAACAAATTGTGTAAATGTTTGATGTAGATTGATAACGTGGAGCTCGAGTCTATCATAGTAAAAGACCTGTATTCTCTGATTGATGACTTCAACGTTGGCAAGGCGCCAGAGGATGCCATCGTTTATTCGGTACATTTCGTTTCGTGTATTTTCCTTTTTTGCTTTCATCTTTTTATGTTGTTGGTCTTTGTCCGCTTCAATCTTTTTATTTTTTTATACCTTATATTATACTAGTTTGTTATTTATACAATACCGAGTAAATTATCCCTGCCCCAATCATGTATCACCTGCTAGACAATGGACCCAATCATCTATAACTCTAAGAACATGATTGACCGAGCTCTGTCCGGCAGAGACACCATTGTTGAAAAGTTCAACAAGTGCGCCGAGAAGGATGCGCAAGAGTATCTCGCAGAGGCCAAGGTCATGGTCGAGAAGATGCAGGTCAGTTGCTTGGCTCTAGCTTGTAGTCTGTTGACCGTGTTTGACCTTTACCGTGACACCAAATTTGACCTTGATCATGACTCCACATTTGACCTGTACCATGACCCCCACATTTGACCTTGATCATGACCCCCACATTTGACCTGTTCCATGACCCCACATTTTGACCTGTACCATGACCCCCCACATTTGACCTTGATCATGACCCCACATTTGACCTGTACCATGACCCCCACATTTGACTTGTACCATGACCCCCCCCCCCCCCCCCACATTTGACCTTGATCATGACTCCTCATTTGACCTGTACCATGACCCCCACACTTGACCTTGATCATGACTCCACATTTTACCTGTACCATGACCCCACATTTGACCTGTACCATGACCCCCACATTTGACCTGTACCATGACCCCCACATTTGACCTGTACCATGACCCCCACATTTGACCTGCACCATGACCCCCACATTTGACCTGTACCACTGACCCCCACATTTGACCTGTACCATGACCCCCACATTTGACCTGTACCATGACCCCCACATTTGTCCTGTACCATGACCCCCACATTTGACCTGCACCATGACCCCCACATTTGACCTGTACCATGACCCCCACATTTGACCTGTACCATGACCCCCACATTTGACCTGTACCATGACCCCCACATTTGACCTTGATCATGACCCCACATTTGACCTGTACCATGACCCCCACATTTGACCTGTACCATGACCCCCACATTTGACCTGCACCATGACCCCCACATTTGACCTGTACCATGACCCCCATATTTGCCACGCCCCAGGACCCCATGCTACTGGACCCTAAGGCCGTGAGGACAGAGGTCAGGGAATATCTGGACCAGCTGCTGGAGCAGATGTCCACGGTCCAGCAGAAGGCCAGAGGTCTGAGAGAGCGACAGAAGCAGCTCAAGGTCGAGGTGACCAAGCTCGACTACCTGGACGATGCCCAGAACGAGCTGAGGCTGAGGGACGTCATGTGGTCATCTATTGATGAGTGGGATGAAATTGTTGACCGATGGACTGAGGTAGGGACGTCATGTGGTCATCTATTGATGAGTGGGATGAAATTGTTGACCGATGGACTGAGGTAGGGACGTCATGTGGTCATCTATTGATGAGTGGGATGAAATTGATGACCGATGGACGGAGGTAGGGACGTCATGTGGTCATCTATTGATGAGTGGGATGAAATTGTTGACCGATGGACTGAGGTAGGGATGAAATTGTTGACCGATGGACTGAGGTAGGGACGTCATGTGGTCGTCTATTGATGAGTGGGACGAAATAGTTGACCGATGGACTGAGGTAGGGACGTCATGTGGTCATCTATTGATGAGTGGGACGAAATTGTTGACCGATGGACTGAGGTAGGGATGTCATGTGGTCATCTATCGATGAGTGGGATGAAATTGTTGACCGATGGACTGAGGTAGGTATGTCATGTGGTCATCTATTGATGAGTGGGATGAAATTGTTGACCGATGGACGGAGGTAGGGACGTCATGTGGTCATCTATTGATGAGTGGGATGAAATTGTTGACCGACGGACTGAGGTAGGGATGAAATTGTTGACCGACGGACTGAGGTAGGTATGTCATGTGGTCATCTATTGATGAGTGGGATGAAATTGTTGACCGATGGACTGAGGTAGGGACGTCATGTGGCCATCTATTGATGAGTGGGATGAAATTGTTGACCGATGGACTGAGGTAGGGATGAAATTGTTGACCGATGGACTGAGGTAGGGATGAAATTGTTGACCGATGGACTGAGGTAGGGATGAAATTGTTGACCGATGGACTGAGGTAGGGATGAAATTGTTGACCGATGGACTGAGGTAGGGACGTCATGTGGTCGTCTATTGATGAGTGGGATGAAATTGTTGACCGATGGACTGAGGTAGGGATGAAATTGTTGACCGATGGACTGAGGTAGGGATGAAATTGTTGACCGATGGACTGAGGTAGGGATGAAATTGTTGACCGATGGACTGAGGTAGGGATGAAATTGTTGACCGATGGACTGAGGTAGGGACGTCATGTGGTCGTCTATTGATGAGTGGGATGAAATTGTTGACCGATGGACTGAGGTAGGGATGAAATTGTTGACTGTTGGACTGAGGTAGGGATGAAATTGTTGACCGATGGACTGAGGTAGGGATGAAATTGTTGACCGATGGACTGAGGTAGGGATGAAATTGTTGACCGATGTTAAGGAGGAAATTGACGAGCTCTCTTGGTACGGTTTGAAAAGCTACTTCCTTCTATGTTTTTAATCCAACGTCTCTTCTCCTTACTCTGTGAAAGAGAAACACCGTTTTAAAAGTAATTTGACGTCACAGACACCGTTTAAAAATGTGATTTATCTGACATCACAACACCGTTTTTAAAAAGTATTTGACGTCACACCACCATTTAAAAACAATATTTTGACGTCACAGACCCCCTTCATGACGCTGGAGCCCGAGGAAGTGACGGCCACGACCATGAAGTTCATGAAAACCGTGCAGACCCTGGAGAAAGGGTTGCCGCCCAACCAGGTGGTCACCATGCTCAAGAAGAAGGTCGAGGTCATGAAAAACAGGGTGAGTCACGTCTGCTACTGCGGTGGTGGTGGTGGGGGGGAATTTTTAAGTGTTAAATAGCTTAGAAGGATAAATGACAAGGTTGCCATTTTCTCCTCAGCTTCAAGTAATCACCGACATGAGAAACCCCCATCTGAAGAAACGCCACTGGGATCTCATCCAGGACGCCCTCAACTTCAAGTTCAACAAGGAGGAGCCGCTGACTCTCGGCATCCTGGTCGACATCAACGCCTTCGAGAAGGCCGACGACATGATGGAGATCGCTGGGATGGCCTCGTCACAGGCCGCACTGGAGGCCATCCTTAAAAAGGTGATCCACGGCCACACGATGCTCTAACTTGGCCAGACATGGCCCGGGTTGGTGTAGTGTTATTGGCTACAGTACGTGTGACGTCTGGGTGGGATAGTGAGAGGACATGTGTCTGGGTAAGGGACATGTTAGAGCCCTCTTGGAATGTTTCCCCCTTTAAAGTGGTGGTTGGAGCCAGATTTTTAAATGTCATATTGTTGAATGTCTGTGGTGACATCAGACTGCTGAATGTCTGTATCGACATCAGATTGTTGAATGTCTGTCTGACACCAGGTCGTTGACTCCTGGAAAAGTGTGGAGTTTACCGTCGTGCCGTACAAAGACCAGAAAGATGTGTACATCCTTGGTTCGACGGACGACATCCAACAACTGCTGGACGACAGCAACATCAACATCCAGACCATCCAGTCATCCAGGCATGTCGGCCCTATCAAGGCCAAGGTCGACGAATGGGCAGCAAGTCTCGCGCTCTTCAACAAGACGCTGGTGAGAGGTTCATACTGACCACAACATAATCATACACGGACCAAAGCATAATCATGCACGGACCATAACATAATCAAACACGGACCATAACATAATCAAACACGGACCATAACATAATCACACACAAAATATAACCCAACACTTACCATAACATAATCATACACTGACCATAACAAAAATCAACAAAGACCGTAACATAATCACACACTGTCCGTAACATAGTCCATCCATTGTGTTATTTGTGACTCTGCCCATTTCAAGATTTGACAAAGAAAACGTACCCCCCCCCCCGTGTTTCAGGAGTCTTGGATCACGTGTCAGAGAACATGGCTGTACCTGGAATCTATTTTTAGCGCTCCCGACATCCAGCGCCAGCTGCCGGTAGAGGCCAAGCTGTTCGTGGAAGTGGACCGGTCGTACAAGGAGATCATGAGGCGGGTCAAGAAGTCGCCACTGGCCATCAGGAATGGGGCTCAGCCAGGTGAGATGGGTCAACAAGTCGCCACTGGCCATCAGGAATGGGGCTCAACCAGGTGCCTGCCCAACTAAGCGAATTGAAGCGATCATTTCACTACAAAACAGAACCTATCTATTCAACTAACCTTAACAAACCTCCCCTACCCTAACCCTCTCTACGGCTCTCCCCTAACTCAACCTATCTGCCACAGGCCTAACACCCCCCCCCCAACCTAACCCTCTCTACATCTCCCCCCAGGCCTGTTTGAAACGTTTGAATACAACAACGAGCTTCTGGACAAGATTCTCAAATGTCTGGAGGCTTATCTGGAGACCAAGCGAGTCGCCTTTCCCAGGTTAGTACCAGGCCCGTCCTGATGGTGTACACACTCTCAGGGGAAATATTACTGCGCATGTCCAACGTCAGATCCCACTTCCTGTCTAACCACCACGCATGTCCAACTGCAGGTTCTACTTCCTGTCTAGCGACTGCGCATGTCCACCCGCAGGTTCTACTTCCTGTCTAACGACTGTGCATGTCCACCCGCAGGTTCTACTTCCTGTCTAACCACCGCGCATGTCCAACTGCAGGTTCTACTTCCTGTCTAACCACCGCGCATGTCCAACTGCAGGTTCTACTTCCTGTCTAACGACTGTGCATGTCCACCCGCAGGTTCTACTTCCTGTCTAACCACCGCGCATGTCCAACTGCAGGTTCTACTTCCTGTCTAACGACTGTGCATGTCCACCCGCAGGTTCTACTTCCTGTCTAACCACCGCGCATGTCCAACTGCAGGTTCTACTTCCTGTCTAACGACTGCGCATGTCCACCCGCAGGTTCTACTTCCTGTCTAACCACCGCGCATGTCCAACTGCAGGTTCTACTTCCTGTCTAACCACCGCGCATGTCCAACTGCAGGTTCTACTTCCTGTCTAACGACTGCGCATGTCCACCCGCAGGTTCTACTTCCTGTCTAACCACTGCGCATGTCCACCCGCAGGTTCTACTTCCTGTCTAACGACGAGCTACTGGAGATACTGGCACAGACCAGGAACCCCCTGGCCGTCCAGCCCCATCTCAGGAAATGTTTTGATGCCATCCACAAGCTGGAGTTTGGTCTTGTCGAGGGTCTGCTACCAGGTAGGTCAACGGCTTACCTCGGGTAGGTCATCTGTCAGGTAGGTCTTATGGCAGGTAGGTCACCTGTCAGGTAGGTCACCTGTCAGGTAGGTCACCTGTCAGGTAGGTCTTATGGCAGGTAGGTCACCTGTCAGGTAGGTCTTATGGCAGGTAGGTCACCTGTCAGGTAGGTCTTAATACAGGTAGGTCACCTATCAGATAGGCAGTGTTTCTTCCAGAGTTTTTCTCCGGGGTGGCACTTGATATTTTCGTGGGGAATCAATAAATTTTCCAGGGATGGGGGGGGGGGGGGGCGGTAGACATTTTTCGGTGGGGCTGAGCCCACCCCCCCCCCCCTATCAGAGAGATGCCTGGAAGAAAGTCTGCATGTAGGTCTTATGACAGACATGTCTCAGATAAAAATATCTTTTCTCAAGCAGGTCTTTTGTCAATGGTATTTAATTCTCTCATAATTTCGGTTATTAAATAGCTAAAACAATCGTTCAATAAAATAAACTTGACGCAATTTTCATTCTTCATAGGGGAGGAAATTCAGTACACAAACGACATTTTGTCCATGATTTCACCGGAAGGAGAGAAAATCTTACTAGCCAAGGTTTGTTGCGTTATACCAGCATGTTGTAGACACAGAGCAATCACTTAAAGTACGAATATATGCATATTTTTTTGGGCTGTGTTTTGTAGGGTCTAAAGCTTTGGCTGTTTTGTAGGGTCTAAAGTTTTGGCTGTGTTTTGTGGGGTCTGGCTGTGTTTTGTAGGGTATAAAGATTGGCTGTGTTTTGATGCGTCTGAAGTTTTGGCTGTTTTGCAGGGTCTAAAGTTTTGGCTGTTTTGCAGGGTCTAAAGTTTTGGCTGTGTTTTGTAGGGTCTAAAGTTTTGGCTGTTTTGCAGGGTCAAAAGTTTTGGCTGTTTTGCAGGGTCAAAAGTTTTGGCTGTGTTTTGTAGGGTCTAAAGTTTTGGGTGTGTTTTGTAGGGTCTGTCTGTGTTTTGTAGGGTCTAAAGTTTTGGCTGTGTTTTGTAGGTCTAAAGTTTTGGCTGTGTTTTGCAGGGTCTGTCTGTGTTTTGTAGGGTCTAAAGTTTTGGCTGTGTTTTGTAGGGTCTAAAGTTTTGGCTGTGTTTTGTAGGTCTAAAGTTTTGGCTGTGTTTTGCAAGGTCTAAAGTTTTGGCTGTTTTGCAGGGTCTAAAGTTTTGGCTGTTTTGCAGGGTATAAAGTTTTGGCTGTTTTGCAGGGTCTAAAGTTTTGGCTGTGTTTTGTAGGGTCTAAAGTTTTGGTTGTGTTTTGTAGGGTCTAAACTTTTGTCTGTTTTGTAGGGTATGAGGTTTATTATCTGTGTTTCAGGGTCTGAAGGCCCGAGGTAACGTGGAGGACTGGCTGGCTAAAGTAGAAGAGGCCATGTTCGCCAGTCTACGGCGGCTCTGTAAGAAATCGATCAAAGAGTACGAGACGACCAGCTTCATCAACTGGATCATGAGCAACGCTTCACAGGTCAGTCTCACATCTTCACAGGTCAGTCTCACAGCTACACAGGTCAGTCTCACAGCTACACAGGTCAGTCTCACAGCTACACAGGTCAGTCTCACAGGTCAGTCTCACAGGTCAGTCTCACAGATTCACTGGCACTCTCACAGGTCAGTCTCAGAGGTCAGTCTCTTCACAGGTCAGTCTCACAGCTTCACATGTCAGTCTCACAGCTTCACATGTCAGTCTCACAGGTCAGTCTCACAGGTCAGTCTCACAGGTCAGTCTCACAGGTCAGTCTCACAGGTCAGTCTCACAGGTCAGTCTCACAGCTTCACATGTCAGTCTCACAGCTCAGTCTCATAGCTTAACAGATCAGTCTCACAGGTCAGTTTCACAGGTCAGTCTCACAGGTCAGTCTCACAGGTCAATCTCACAGCTTCACAGGTCAGTCTCACAGGTCAATCTCACAGCTTCACAGGTCAGTCTCACAGCTTCACAGGTCAGTCTCACAGGTCAGTCTCACAGGTCAGTCTCACAGGTCAGTCTCACAGGTCAGTCTCACAGGTCAGTCTCACAGCTTCACAGGTCAGTCTCACAGGTCAGTATTGAGATTCCTTCTCTTCTGTATGTTGTGCTGACCCTCTATGTCCTCTGTAGGTTGTGCTGACCATCTGTAGGTTGTGCTGACCATCTGTAGGTTGTGCTGACCCTCTATGTCCTCTGTAGGTTGTGCTGACCTTCTATGTCCTCTGTAGGTTGTGCTGACCCTCTATGTCCTCTGTAGGTTGTGCTGACCCTCTATGTCCTCTGTAGGTTGTGCTGACCCTCTATGTCCTCTGTAGGTTGCGCTGACCTTCTGTAAGTTGTGCTGACCCTCTATGTCCTCTGTAGGTTGTGCTGACCCTCTATGTCCTCTGTAGGTTGTGCTGACCTTCTGTAAGTTATGCTGACCCTCTATGTCCTCTGTAGGTTGTGCTGACCCTCTATGTCCTCTGTAGGTTGTGCTGACCATCTGTAGGTTGTGCTGACCCTCTATGTCCTCTGTAGGTTGTGCTGACCTTCTGTAAGTTATGCTGACCCTCTATGTCCTCTGTAAGTTGTGCTGACCCTCTATGTCCTCTGTAGGTTGTGCTGACCATCTGTAGGTTGTGCTGACCTTCTGTAAGTTATGCTGACCCTCTATGTCCTCTGTAGGTTGTGCTGACCCTCTATGTCCTCTGTAGGTTGTGCTGACCCTCTATGTCCTCTGTAGGTTGTGCTGACCCTCTATGTCCTCTGTAGGTTGTGCTGACCCTCTATGTCCTCTGTAGGTTGTGCTGACCCTCTATGTCCTCTGTAGGTTGCGCTGACCTTCTGTAAGTTGTGCTGACCCTCTATGTCCTCTGCAGGTTGTGCTGACCTTCTGTAGGTTGTGCTGACCATCTATGTCCTCTGTAGGTTATGCTGACCCTCTATGTCCTCTGCAGGTTGTGCTGACCTTCTGTAAGTTGTGCTGACCCTCTATGTCCTCTGTAGGTTGTGCTGACCCTCTATGTCCTCTGTAGGTTGTGCTGACCCTCTATGTCCTCTGCAGGTTGTGCTGACCTTCTGTAGGTTGTGCTGACCATCTATGTCCTCTGCAGGTTGTGCTGACCATCTGCCAGATGATGTGGACGCGAGATGTGACAGCTATACTGCGAGATACCAGGACAGTGATCCGTAGCATGAGAGAGTTTGAAGTTCGGAGTTTTAATGTGAGTCTCTAGTCATTGGTCGGCTTACTTTAGACATAATTTAACTTGCATCTATCGTGTTGTAGTGCCTGCGTCTTAGTTTGGGTTACCGTTCATCTGGTTTCATGTGCTAACCTGTATGTTAAACCTCGAGTCACCATAATGAGTCACCATCATGACTCGCCATCACGAGTCACAATCATAAGTCACCATCACGAGTCACTATCATGAGTCATCATGTCTGCAGGAGTTGAACCTTCTGGCCGCCACTGTGAGGGGTGAGCTGCCTAAACTGGCGCGAGCCACCCTGTGTGCGCTCATCACCATCAACGTGCACGCGAGGGACATGATCACAGACATGGTCAAGAAGCAGGTGGGTCAGGGTGCTGTCCTGACAGGTGGGTCAGGGTGCTGTCCTGACAGGTGGGTGAAGGTGCTGACAGGTGGGTCAAGGTGCTGTCCTGACAGGTGGGTCATGGTGCTGTCCTGACAGGTGGGTCCAGGTGCTGACAGGTGGGTCAAGGTGCTGTCCTGACAGGTGGGTCAAGGTGCTGTCCTGACAGGTGGGTCAAGGTGCTGTCCTGACAGGTGGGTCAAGGTGCTGTCATGACAGGTGGGTCAAGATACATGTCCTGCATATCAGGATGCTGCTGTGACAGATGTGGGAATATTAGAATTTAGACAAGCGCTGACCCGTGTCTGACATGTCAAAATGTCCCCAGGTGTCAGAGCTGATCAGCTTTGAGTGGCAGAAACAGCTCCGCTACTACTGGAACGTGGAGCTAGACAACTGTGTCGTCTGCATGTCCAACTCCGTCTATGGATACGGATACGAATATTTAGGAGCCTGCCCCCGCCTTGTGATAACGCCCCTGACGGTAGGTCGGTGCTCACTAGACGCGCCCGCTGATATAATGAGTCAAGTCTAGCATGTATTGCAAACTTACGCTGGGTCATGTCATAGTCCCATGTACCTGCCGGGCTGATGGGCCCTGTTCTCTTCTACAGGATCGGTGTTACCTGTGTCTGATGGGGGCCCTACAGCTGGACCTAGGCGGGGCCCCGGCAGGACCTGCGGGCACGGGGAAGACAGAAACAACGAAAGATTTGGCCAAGGCCTTGGCTATACAGTGTGTGGTCTTTAACTGTTCGGACAGTCTGGACTACAGGGTAATTTATAGATAGGTTGTTGGTACTACAGGGTAATTTATAGATCGTTTGTTGGTACTACAGGGTAATTTATAGTTAGATTGTTGGTACTACAGGGTAATTTATAGATAGGTTGTTGGTACTACAGGGTAATTTATAGATAGGTTGTTGGTACTACAGGGTAATTTATAGATAGGTTGTTGGTACTACAGGGTAATTTATAGATAGGTTGTTGGTACTACAGGGTAATTTATAGATAGGTTGTTGGTACTACAGGGTAATTTATAGATAGATTGTTAGTACTACAGGATGATTCACATTGTCGTGGTACCTACCTAGTTTGGCCACTCTGTGGTACCTACCTAGTTTGGCCACACTGTGGTACCTACCTAGTTTGGCCACTCTGTGGTACCTACCTAGTTTGGCCACTCTGTGGTACCTACCTAGTTTGGCCACTCTGTGCTACCTACCTAGTTTGGCCACACTGTGGTACCTACCTAGTTTGGCCACTCTGTGGTACCTACCTAGTTTGGCCACTCTGTGGTACCTACCTAGTTTGGCCACTCTGTGGTACCTACCTAGTTTGGCCACTCTGTGGTACCTACCTAGTTTGGCCACACTGTGGTACCTACCTAGTTTGGCCACTCTGTGGTACCTACCTAGTTTGGCCACTCTGTGGTACCTACCTAGTTTGGCCACTCTGTGGTACCTACCTAGTTTGGCCACACTGTGGTACCTACCTAGTTTGGCCACACTGTGGTACCTACCTAGTTTGGCCACACTGTGGTACCTACCTAGTTTGGCCACTCTGTGGTACCTACCTAGTTTGGCCACTCTGTGGTACCTACCTAGTTTGGCCACTCTGTGGTACCTACCTAGTTTGGCCACTCTGTGGTACCTACCTAGTTTGGCCACTCTGTGGTACCTACCTAGTTTGGCCACTCTGTGGTACCTACCTAGTTTGGCCACTCTGTGGTACCTACCTAGTTTGGCCACTCTGTGGTACCTACCTAGTTTGGCCACTCTGTGGTACCTACCTAGTTTGGCCACTCTGTGGTACCTACCTAGTTTGGCCACTCTGTGGTACCTACCTAGTTTGGCCACTCTGTGGTACCTACCTAGTTTGGCCACTCTGTGGTACCTACCTAGTTTGGCCACTCTGTGGTACCTACCTAGTTTGGCCACTCTGTGGTACCTACCTAGTTTGGCCACTCTGTGGTACCTACCTAGTTTGGCCACTCTGTGGTACCTACCTAGTTTGGCCAATCTGTGGTACCTACCTAGTTTGGCCACTCTATGGTACCTACCTAGTTTGGCCACTCCACTGTATGATGTAAACCTTTGTGCAGATGATGGGAGGATTTTTCTCCGGTCTGGCCCAGTCCGGCGCCTGGTGTTGTTTTGATGAGTTCAACAGGATCAACATCGAGGTCCTGTCGGTCATCGCCCAGCAACTCATCACCATCCGGAACGCCAAGTTAGCCAAGGTAGGTCTTGTCCGTCATCGCTCAGCAACTCATCACCATCCGGAACGCCAAGTTTTCAAGGTAGTTCTTGTCCGTCATCGCTCAGCAACTCATTACCATCCGGAACGCCAAATTAGCCAAGGTAGGTCTTGTTCTTACCGGGTTTAGACATGGTAAGTCTTGTTGGTACCGGGTTTAGCCATGGTAGGTCTTGTTGGTATCTGGTTTAGCTAAGGTAGGTCTTGTTAGTACCAGGTTTAGACATGTAAGGTCATGCAACTAATGTTAGTAATGTTCCAACAGTCGAACAGGTTCATGTAACTAAAAATGTAATGTCCCAACAGTCGAACAGGTTCATGTAACTAAAGATGTAATGTCCCAGCAGTCGAACCGGTTCATGTAACTAAAAATGTAATGTCCCAGCAGTCGAACCGGTTCATGTAACTAAAAATGTAATGTCCCAACAGTCGAACAGGTTCATGTAACTAAAGATGTAATGTCCCAACAGTCGAACAGGTTCATGTAACTAAAGATGTAATGTCCCAACAGTCGAACAGGTTGATGTAACTAAAGATGTAATGTCCCAACAGTCGAACAGGTTCATGTAACTAAAGATGTAATGTCCCAACAGTCGAACAGGTTCATGTAACTAAAAATGTAATGTCCCAACAGTCGAACAGGTTCATGTAACTAAAGATGTAATGTCCCAACAGTCGAACAGGTTCATGTAACTAAAGATGTAATATCCCAACAGTCGAACAGGTTCATGTAACTAAAAATGTAATTTCCCAACAGTCGAACAGGTTCATGTAACTAAAAATGTCCCAACAGTCGAACAGGTTCATGTAACTAAAAATGTAATGTCCCAACAGTCGAACAGGTTTATGTAACTAAAGATGTAATGTCCCAACAGTCGAACAGGTTCATGTAACTAAAGATGTAATGTCCCAACAGTCGAACAGGTTGATGTAACTAAAGATGTAATGTCCCAACAGTCGAACAGGTTCATGTAACTAAAGATATAATGTCCCAACAGTCGAACAGGTTCATGTAACTAAAAATGTAATGCCCTACAGTCAAACAGGTTCATGTAACTAAAAATGTCCCAACAGTCGAACAGGTTCATGTAACTAAAGATGTAATGTCCCAACAGTCGAACAGGTTCATGTAACTAAAGATGTAATGTCCCAACAGTCGAACAGGTTCTTGTAACTAAAAATGTAATGTCCCAACAGTCGAACAGGTTCATGTAACTAAAGATGTAATGTCCCTACAGTCAAACAGGTTCATGTAACTAAAAATGTCCCAACAGTCGAACAGGTTCATGTAACTAAAAATGTAATGTCCCAACAGTCGAACAGGTTCATGTAACTAAAAATCTCCCAACAGTCGAACAGGTTCATGTAACTAAAAATGTAATATCCCAACAGTCGAACAGGTTCATGTAACTAAAAATGTAATGTCCCAACAGTCGAACAGGTTCATGTAACTAAAGATGTAATGTCCCAACAGTCGAACAGGTTCATGTAACTAAAGATGTAATGTCCCAATAGTCGAACAGGTTCATGTAACTAAAAATGTAATGTCCCAACAGTCGAACAGGTTCATGTAACTAAAAATGTCCCAACAGTCGAACAGGTTCATGTAACTAAAGATGTAATGTCCCAACAGTCGAACAGGTTCATGTAACTAAAGATGTAATGTCCCAACAGTCAAACAGGTTCATGTAACTAAAGATGTAATGTCCCAACAGTCGAACAGGTTCATGTAACTAAAAATGTCCCAACAGTCGAACAGGTTCATGTAACTAAAGATGTAATGTCCCAACATTCGAACAGGTTCATGTAACTAAAAATGTCCCAACAGTCGAACAGGTTCATGTAACTAAAAATGTAATATCCCAACAGTCGAACAGGTTCATGTAACTAAAAATGTAATGTCCCAACAGTCGAACAGGTTCATGTAACTAAAAATGTCCCAACAGTCAAACAGGTTCATGTAACTAAAAATGTAATATCCCAACAGTCGAACAGGTTCATGTAACTAAAAATGTAATGCCCTACAGTCGAACAGGTTCATGTAACTAAAGATGTAATGTCCCAACAGTCGAACAGGTTCATGTAACTAAAGATGTAATGTCCCAACAGTCGAACAGGTTCATGTAACTAAAGATGTAATGTCCCAACAGTCGAACAGGTTTATGTAACTAAAGATGTAATGTCCCAACAGTCGAACAGGTTCATGTAACTAAAAATGTAATGTCCCAACAGTCGAACAGGTTCATGTAACTAAAAATGTCCCAACAGTCGAACAGGTTCATGTAACTAAAAATGTAATGTCCCAACAGTCGAACAGGTTTATGTAACTAAAAATGTCCCAACAGTCGAACAGGTTCATGTAACTAAAGATGTAATGTCCCAACAGTCGAACAGGTTCATGTAACTAAAGATGTAATGTCCCAACAGTCGAACAGGTTCATGTAACTAAAAATGTAATGTCCCAACAGTCGAACAGGTTCATGTAACTAAAAATCCCAACAGTCGAACAGGTTCATGTAACTAAAGATGTAATGTCCCAGCAGTCGAACAGGTTCATGTAACTAAAGATGTAATATCCCAACAGTCGAACAGGTTCATGTAACTAAAAATGTAATTTCCCAACAGTCGAACAGGTTCATGTAACTAAAAATGTCCCAACAGTCGAACAGGTTCATGTAACTAAAAATGTAATGTCCCAACAGTCGAACAGGTTTATGTAACTAAAGATGTAATGTCCCAACAGTCGAACAGGTTCATGTAACTAAAGATGTAATGTCCCAACAGTCGAACAGGTTGATGTAACTAAAGATGTAATGTCCCAACAGTCGAACAGGTTCATGTAACTAAAGATATAATGTCCCAACAGTCGAACAGGTTCATGTAACTAAAAATGTAATGCCCTACAGTCAAACAGGTTCATGTAACTAAAAATGTCCCAACAGTCGAACAGGTTCATGTAACTAAAGATGTAATGTCCCAACAGTCGAACAGGTTCATGTAACTAAAGATGTAATGTCCCAACAGTCGAACAGGTTCTTGTAACTAAAAATGTAATGTCCCAACAGTCGAACAGGTTCATGTAACTAAAGATGTAATGTCCCTACAGTCAAACAGGTTCATGTAACTAAAAATGTCCCAACAGTCGAACAGGTTCATGTAACTAAAAATGTAATGTCCCAACAGTCGAACAGGTTCATGTAACTAAAAATCTCCCAACAGTCGAACAGGTTCATGTAACTAAAAATGTAATATCCCAACAGTCGAACAGGTTCATGTAACTAAAAATGTAATGTCCCAACAGTCGAACAGGTTCATGTAACTAAAGATGTAATGTCCCAACAGTCGAACAGGTTCATGTAACTAAAGATGTAATGTCCCAACAGTCGAACAGGTTCATGTAACTAAAAATGTAATGTCCCAACAGTCGAACAGGTTCATGTAACTAAAAATGTCCCAACAGTCGAACAGGTTCATGTAACTAAAGATGTAATGTCCCAACAGTCGAACAGGTTCATGTAACTAAAGATGTAATGTCCCAACAGTCAAACAGGTTCATGTAACTAAAGATGTAATGTCCCAACAGTCGAACAGGTTCATGTAACTAAAAATGTAATGTCCCAACAGTCGAACAGGTTCATGTAACTAAAAATGTCCCAACAGTCGAACAGGTTCATGTAACTAAAGATGTAATGTCCCAACATTCGAACAGGTTCATGTAACTAAAAATGTCCCAACAGTCGAACAGGTTCATGTAACTAAAAATGTAATATCCCAACAGTCGAACAGGTTCATGTAACTAAAAATGTAATGTCCCAACAGTCGAACAGGTTCATGTAACTAAAAATGTCCCAACAGTCAAACAGGTTCATGTAACTAAAAATGTAATATCCCAACAGTCGAACAGGTTCATGTAACTAAAAATGTAATGCCCTACAGTCGAACAGGTTCATGTAACTAAAGATGTAATGTCCCAACAGTCGAACAGGTTCATGTAACTAAAGATGTAATGTCCCAACAGTCGAACAGGTTCATGTAACTAAAGATGTAATGTCCCAACAGTCGAACAGGTTTATGTAACTAAAGATGTAATGTCCCAACAGTCGAACAGGTTCATGTAACTAAAAATGTAATGTCCCAACAGTCGAACAGGTTCATGTAACTAAAAATGTCCCAACAGTCGAACAGGTTCATGTAACTAAAAATGTAATGTCCCAACAGTCGAACAGGTTTATGTAACTAAAAATGTCCCAACAGTCGAACAGGTTCATGTAACTAAAGATGTAATGTCCCAACAGTCGAACAGGTTCATGTAACTAAAGATGTAATGTCCCAACAGTCGAACAGGTTCATGTAACTAAAAATGTAATGTCCCAACAGTCGAACAGGTTCATGTAACTAAAAATCCCAACAGTCGAACAGGTTCATGTAACTAAAGATGTAATGTCCCAGCAGTCGAACCGGTTCATGTAACTAAAAAATGTAATGTCCCAGCAGTCGAACCGGTTCATGTAACTAAAAATGTAATGTCCCAACAGTCGAACAGGTTCATGTAACTAAAAATCCCAACAGTCGAACAGGTTCATGTAACTAAAGATGTAATGTCCCAGCAGTCGAACAGGTTCATGTAACTAAAGATGTAATGTCCCAACAGTCGAACAGGTTGATGTAACTAAAGATGTAATGTCCCAGCAGTCGAACAGGTTCATGTAACGAAAGATGTAATGTCCCAACAGTCGAACAGGTTGATGTAACTAAAGATGTAATGTCCCAACAGTCGAACAGGTTCATGTAACTAAAGATGTAATGTCCCAGCAGTCGAACCGGTTCATGTAACTAAAAATGTAATGTCCCAACAGTCGAACAGGTTCATGTAACTAAAGATGTAATGTCCCAACAGTCGAACAGGTTCATGTAACTAAAGATGTAATGTCCCAACAGTCGAACAGGTTGATGTAACTAAAGATGTAATGTCCCAACAGTCGAACAGGTTCATGTAACTAAAAATGTAATGTCCCAACAGTCGAACAGGTTCATGTAACTAAAGATGTAATGTCCCAACAGTCGAACAGGTTCATGTAACTAAAAATGTAATGTCCCAACAGTCGAACAGGTTCATGTAACTAAAGATGTAATGTCCCAACAGTCGAACAGGTTCATGTAACTAAAGATGTAATGTCCCTACAGTCAAACAGGTTCATGTAACTAAAGATGTAATGTCCCAACAGTCGAACAGGTTCATGTAACTAACGATGTAATGTCCCAACAGTCGAACAGGTTCATGTAACTAAAGATGTAATGTCCCAACTGTCGAACAGGTTCATGTAACTAAAAATGTCCCAACATTCGAACAGGTTCATGTAACTAAAAATGTCCCAACAGTCGAACAGGTTCATGTAACTAAAAATGTAATATCCCAACAGTCGAACAGGTTCATGTAACTAAAAATGTAATGTCCCAACAGTCGAACAGGTTCATGTAACTAAAAATGTCCCAACAGTCAAACAGGTTCATGTAACTAAAAATGTAATATCCCAACAGTCGAACAGGTTCATGTAACTAAAAATGTAATGCCCTACAGTCGAACAGGTTCATGTAACTAAAGATGTAATGTCCCAACAGTCGAACAGGTTCATGTAACTAAAGATGTAATGTCCCAACAGTCGAACAGGTTCATGTAACTAAAGATGTAATGTCCCAACAGTCGAACAGGTTTATGTAACTAAAGATGTAATGTCCCAACAGTCGAACAGGTTCATGTAACTAAAAATGTAATGTCCCAACAGTCGAACAGGTTCATGTAACTAAAAATGTCCCAACAGTCGAACAGGTTCATGTAACTAAAATGTAATGTCCCAACAGTCGAACAGGTTTATGTAACTAAAAATGTCCCAACAGTCGAACAGGTTCATGTAACTAAAGATGTAATGTCCCAACAGTCGAACAGGTTCATGTAACTAAAGATGTAATGTCCCAACAGTCGAACAGGTTCATGTAACTAAAAATGTAATGTCCCAACAGTCGAACAGGTTCATGTAACTAAAAATCCCAACAGTCGAACAGGTTCATGTAACTAAAGATGTAATGTCCCAGCAGTCGAACCGGTTCATGTAACTAAAAAATGTAATGTCCCAGCAGTCGAACCGGTTCATGTAACTAAAAATGTAATGTCCCAACAGTCGAACAGGTTCATGTAACTAAAAATCCCAACAGTCGAACAGGTTCATGTAACTAAAGATGTAATGTCCCAACTGTCGAACAGGTTCATGTAACTAAAAATGTCCCAACATTCGAACAGGTTCATGTAACTAAAAATGTCCCAACAGTCGAACAGGTTCATGTAACTAAAAATGTAATATCCCAACAGTCGAACAGGTTCATGTAACTAAAAATGTAATGTCCCAACAGTCGAACAGGTTCATGTAACTAAAAATGTCCCAACAGTCAAACAGGTTCATGTAACTAAAAATGTAATATCCCAACAGTCGAACAGGTTCATGTAACTAAAAATGTAATGCCCTACAGTCGAACAGGTTCATGTAACTAAAGATGTAATGTCCCAACAGTCGAACAGGTTCATGTAACTAAAGATGTAATGTCCCAACAGTCGAACAGGTTCATGTAACTAAAGATGTAATGTCCCAACAGTCGAACAGGTTTATGTAACTAAAGATGTAATGTCCCAACAGTCGAACAGGTTCATGTAACTAAAAATGTAATGTCCCAACAGTCGAACAGGTTCATGTAACTAAAAATGTCCCAACAGTCGAACAGGTTCATGTAACTAAAAATGTAATGTCCCAACAGTCGAACAGGTTTATGTAACTAAAAATGTCCCAACAGTCGAACAGGTTCATGTAACTAAAGATGTAATGTCCCAACAGTCGAACAGGTTCATGTAACTAAAGATGTAATGTCCCAACAGTCGAACAGGTTCATGTAACTAAAAATGTAATGTCCCAACAGTCGAACAGGTTCATGTAACTAAAAATCCCAACAGTCGAACAGGTTCATGTAACTAAAGATGTAATGTCCCAGCAGTCGAACCGGTTCATGTAACTAAAAAATGTAATGTCCCAGCAGTCGAACCGGTTCATGTAACTAAAAATGTAATGTCCCAACAGTCGAACAGGTTCATGTAACTAAAAATCCCAACAGTCGAACAGGTTCATGTAACTAAAGATGTAATGTCCCAGCAGTCGAACAGGTTCATGTAACTAAAGATGTAATGTCCCAACAGTCGAACAGGTTGATGTAACTAAAGATGTAATGTCCCAGCAGTCGAACAGGTTCATGTAACGAAAGATGTAATGTCCCAACAGTCGAACAGGTTGATGTAACTAAAGATGTAATGTCCCAACAGTCGAACAGGTTCATGTAACTAAAGATGTAATGTCCCAACAGTCGAACAGGTTCATGTAACTAAAGATGTAATGTCCCAACAGTCGAACAGGTTCATGTAACTAAAGATGTAATGTCCCAGCAGTCGAACCGGTTCATGTAACTAAAAATGTAATGTCCCAACAGTCGAACAGGTTCATGTAACTAAAGATGTAATGTCCCAACAGTCGAACAGGTTCATGTAACTAAAGATGTAATGTCCCAACAGTCGAACAGGTTGATGTAACTAAAGATGTAATGTCCCAACAGTCGAACAGGTTCATGTAACTAAAAATGTAATGTCCCAACAGTCGAACAGGTTCATGTAACTAAAGATGTAATGTCCCAACAGTCGAACAGGTTCATGTAACTAAAAATGTAATGTCCCAACAGTCGAACAGGTTCATGTAACTAAAGATGTAATGTCCCAACAGTCGAACAGGTTCATGTAACTAAAGATGTAATGTCCCTACAGTCAAACAGGTTCATGTAACTAAAGATGTAATGTCCCAACAGTCGAACAGGTTCATGTAACTAACGATGTAATGTCCCAACAGTCGAACAGGTTCATGTAACTAAAAATTTAATGTCCCAACTGTCGAACAGGTTCATGTAACTAAAAATGTCCCAACAGTCGAACAGGTTCATGTAACTAAAGATGTAATGTCCCAACAGTCGAACAGGTTCATGTAACTAAAGATGTAATGTCCCAACAGTCGAACAGGTTCATGTAACTAATGTAATGTCCCTACAGTCAAACAGGTTCATGTAACTAAAGATGTAATGTCCCAACAGTCGAACAGGTTCATGTAACTAAAAATGTAATGTCCCAACAGTCGAACAGGTTCATGTAACTAAAAATGTCCCAACAGTCGAACAGGTTCATGTAACTAAAAATGTAATATCCCAACAGTCGAACAGGTTCATGTAACTAAAAATGTAATGTCCCAACAGTCGAACAGGTTCATGTAACTAAAGATGTAATGTCCCAACAGTCGAACAGGTTCATGTAACTAAAGATGTAATGTCCCAACAGTCGAACAGGTTCATGTAACTAAAAATGTAATGTCCCAACAGTCGAACAGGTTCATGTAACTAAAAATGTAATGTCCCAACAGTCGAACAGGTTCATATAACTAAAAATGTAATGTCCCAACAGTCGAACAGGTTCATGTAACTAAAGATGTAATGTCCCAACAGTCGAACAGGTTCATGTAACTAAAGATGTAATGTCCCAACAGTCGAACAGGTTCATGTAACTAAAGATGTAATGTCCCAACTGTCGAACAGGTTCATGTAACTAAAAATGTAATGTCCCAACAGTCGAACAAGTTCATGTAACTAAAGATGTAATGTCCCAACAGTCGAACAGGTTCATGTAACTAAAAATGTAATGTCCCAACAGTCGAACAGGTTCATGTAACTAAAGATGTAATGTCCCAACAGTCGAACAGGTTCATGTAACTAAAGATGTAATGTCCCTACAGTCAAACAGGTTCATGTAACTAAAGATGTAATGTCCCAACAGTCGAACAGGTTCATGTAACTAAAGATGTAATGTCCCAACAGTCGAACAGGTTCATGTAACTAAAAATTTAATGTCCCAACTGTCGAACAGGTTCATGTAACTAAAGATGTAATGTCCCAACAGTCGAACAGGTTCATGTAACTAAAGATGTAATGTCCCAACAGTCGAACAGGTTCATGTAACTAATGTAATGTCCCTACAGTCAAACAGGTTCATGTAACTAAAGATGTAATGTCCCAACAGTCGAACAGGTTCATGTAACTAAAGATGTAATGTCCCAACAGTCGAACAGGTTCATGTAACTAATGTAATGTCCCTACAGTCAAACAGGTTCATGTAACTAAAGATGTAATGTCCCAACAGTCGAACAGGTTCATGTAACTAATGTAATGTCCCTACAGTCAAACAGGTTCATGTAACTAAAGATGTAATGTCCCAACAGTCGAACAGGTTCATGTAACTAAAGATGTAATATCCCAACAGTCGAACAGGTTCATGTAACTAAAAATGTAATTTCCCAACAGTCGAACAGGTTCATGTAACTAAAAATGTCCCAACAGTCGAACAGGTTCATGTTCGAGGGCCGAGAGATCAAACTGGTCCACACCTGTGCTGCTTTCATCACCATGAACCCCGGCTACGCTGGACGCACGGAGCTGCCGGACAATCTATCGGCTCTCTTCAGGCCCATCTCTATGATGGTCCCCGACTACGGTCAGTGTTGGCATGTCTTCTCGTACGTTCGTACAGTTTTACTTGTCACTGGACATTTCTCTCTACACACATGCAGCCTTGGTGTCAGTGTATTTCTTCTTTATGTTTGCGACACACCTTCACTTGCTCGACCCGTTTAATTTGCTCCACATTTCTTGTCTGAAAGTTACACACAAATGTTGCCTTCTCTAGTTACACACAAATGTTGCCTTCTCTAGTTACACACAAATGTTGCCTTCTCCACCTACACACAAATGTTGCCTTCTCTAGTTACACACAAATGTTGCCTTCTCTAGTTACACACAAATGTTGCCTTCTCCACCTACACACAAATGTTGCCTTCTCTAGTTACACACAAATGTTGCCTTCTCTAGTTACACACAAATGTTGCCTTCTCCACCTACACACAAATGTTGCCTTCTCTAGTTACACACAAATGTTGCCTTCTCTAGTTACACACAAATGTTGCCTTCTCTAGTTACACACAAATGTTGCCTTCTCTAGTTACACACAAATGTTGCCTTCTCCACCTACACACAAATGTTGCCTTCTCTAGTTACACACAAATGTTGCCTTCTCCACCTACACACAAATGTTGCCTTCTCTAGTTACACACAAATGTTGCCTTCTCTAGTTACACACAAATGTTGCCTTCTCCACCTACACACAAATGTTGCCTTCTCTAGTTACACACAAATGTTGCCTTCTCTAGTTACACACAAATGTTGCCTTCTCCACCTACACACAAATGTTGCCTTCTCTAGTTACACACAAATGTTGCCTTCTCTAGTTACACATAAATGTTGCCTTCTCTAGTTACACACAAATGTTGCCTTCTCTAGTTACACACAAATGTTGCCTTCTCTAGTTACACATAAATGTTGCCTTCTCTAGTTACACACAAATGTTGCCTTCTCTAGTTACACACAAATGTTGCCTGCTCTAGTTACACACAAATGTTGCCTTCTCTAGTTACACATAAATGTTGCCTTCTCTAGTTACACACAAATGTTGCCTTCTCCACCTACACACAAATGTTGCCTTCTCTAGTTACACACAAATGTTGCCTTCTCTGGTTACACACAAATGTTGCCTTCTCTAGTTACACACATGTTGCCTTCTCCACCTACACATAAATGTTGCCTTCTCTAGTTACACACAAATGTTGCCTTCTCCACCTACACACAAATGTTGCCTTCTCTAGTTACACACAAATGTTGCCTTCTCCACCTACACACAAATGTTGCCTTATCTTGTTACACACAAATGTTGCCTTCTCCAGTTACATACAAATGTTGCCTTCTCCACCTACATACAAATGTTGCCTTATCTAGTTACACACAAATGTTGCCTTCTCTAGTTACACACAAATGTTGCCTTCTCCACCTACACACAAATGTTGCCTTATCTAGTTACACACAAATGTTGCCTTATCTAGTTACACACAAATGTTGCCTTCTCCACGTACACACAAATGTTGCCTTCTCCAACTACACACAAATGTTGCCTTATCTAGTTACACACAAATGTTGCCTTATCTAGTTACACACAAATGTTGCCTTATCTAGTTACACACAAATGTTGCCTTCTCCACCTACACACAAATGTTGCCTTATCTAGTTACACACAAATGTTGCCTTATCTAGTTACACACAAATGTTGCCTTCTCTAGTTACACACACATGTTGCCTTCTCTAGTTACACACAAATGTTGCCTTCTCCAGTTACATACAAATGTTGCCTTCTCCACCTACACACAAATGTTGCCTTCTCCACCTACACACAAATGTTGCCTTCTCTAGTTACACACAAATGTTGCCTTCTCTAGTTACACACAAATGTTGCCTTCTCCAGTTACATACAAATGTTGCCTTCTCCAGTTACACACAAATGTTGCCTTCTCTAGTTACACACAAATGTTGCCTTCTCCAGTTACATACAAATGTTGCCTTCTCCACCTACACACAAATGTTGCCTTCTCTAGTTACACACAAATGTTGCCTTCTCTAGTTACACACAAATGTTGCCTTCTCTAGTTACACACACATGTTGCCTTCTCTAGTTACACACAAATGTTGCCTTCTCCAGTTACATACAAATGTTGCCTTCTCCACCTACACACAAATGTTGCCTTCTCCACCTACACACAAATGTTGCCTTCTCTAGTTACACATAAATGTTGCCTTCTCTAGTTACACACAAATGTTGCCTTCTCTAGTTACACACAAATGTTGCCTTCTCCAGTTACATACAAATGTTGCCTTCTCCACCTACACACAAATGTTGCCTTCTCCACCTACATACAAATGTTGCCTTCTCCAGTTACACACAAATGTTGCCTTCTCTAGTTACACACAAATGTTGCCTTCTCCACCTACACACAAATGTTGCCTTCTCCACCTACACACAAATGTTGCCTTCTCTAGTTACACACAAATGTTGCCTTCTCTAGTTACACACAAATGTTGCCTTCTCTAGTTACACACAAATGTTGCCTTCTCCAGTTACACATAAATGTTGCCTTCTCCAGTTACACACAAATGTTGCCTTCTCTAGTTACACACAAATGTTGCCTTCTCCACCTACACACAAATGTTGCCTTCTCCACCTACACACAAATGTTGCCTTCTCTAGTTACACACAAATGTTGCCTTCTCTAGTTACACACAAATGTTGCCTTCTCTAGTTACACACAAATGTTGCCTTCTCTAGTTACACATAAATGTTGCCTTCTCTAGTTACACACAAATGTTGCCTTCTCCACCTACACACAAATGTTGCCTTCTCCACCTACACACAAATGTTGCCTTCTCTAGTTACACACAAATGTTGCCTTCTCTAGTTACACATAAATGTTGCCTTCTCCACCTACACACAAATGTTGCCTTCTCTAGTTACACACAAATGTTGCCTTCTCCACCTACATACAAATGTTGCCTTCTCTAGTTACACACAAGTGTTGCCTTCTCTAGTTACACACAAATGTTGCCTTCTCCACCTACACACAAATGTTGCCTTCTCCACCTACATACAAATGTTGCCTTCTCCACCTACACACAAATGTTGCCTTCTCCACCTACACACAAATGTTGCCTTCTCCACCTACACACAAATGTTGCCTTCTCTAGTTACACACAAATGTTGCCTTCTCTAGTTACACATAAATGTTGCCTTCTCCACCTACACACAAATGTTGCCTTCTCTAGTTACACACAAATGTTGCCTTCTCCACCTACATACAAATGTTGCCTTCTCCACCTACACACAAATGTTGCCTTCTCTAGTTACACACAAATGTTGCCTTCTCTAGTTACACACAAATGTTGCCTTCTCTAGTTACACACAAATGTTGCCTTCTCTAGTTACACACAAATGTTGCCTTCTCCAGGGCTAATCGCTGAAGTTATTCTGTACTCCGAGGGTTTTGAATCTTCGAAAATTCTGGCCAAGAAAATGGTGCAGATGTACAAATTGTGCAGTGAACAGCTGTCTCAACAAGACCACTACGACTTCGGTAAGTCGGATTTTTTTACTGCTAGAGGTTGTTAGGCTATACGTCATCACCGGATGTAACCCGCTTGACGTCTGCTGCAGGTATGCGAGCCGTCAAGTCTGTCCTCGTGATGGCGGGCTCCCTGAAGCGTCAGAACCCGGACAAGTCGGAGGACGTCGTGCTCATTCGGGCTCTGAGAGACAGCAACCTGCCCAAATTCTTGACCAACGACGCCAAACTTTTCCAGGTAGCAACCTGCCCAAATTCTTGACCAACGACGCCAAACTTTTCCAGGTACCTTGTTTTTGGCAGGCGGGGATATCAACTGATGGATGTCAACTGACGGATGTCAACTGACGGATGTCAACTGACGGATGTCAACTGACGGATGTCAACTGACGGATGTCAACTGACGGATGTCAACTGACGGATGTCAACTGACGGATGTCAACTGACGGATGTCAACTAACGGATGTTAACAAATACATTTTTACAAATGTTTCAAGCACATTTTATAACTTTATATGCTACCTAGGACTGCACTAAATAATGTTTCAGGCTATCCTGTCCGATTTATTCCCTGGAGTGACCATCCCATATCCCATATGTTTCAGGCTATCCTGTCCGATTTATTCCCTGGAGTGACCATCCCCGAGCATGACTACGGTCAGCTGAAGGAGGAGATCATCAACGTGCAGGAGGAGAAGAAGCTCCAGGTCGTGGAGACGCAGATTGTCAAGGTCATCCAGCTCTTCGAGACGATGATCGTCCGTCATGGCGTCATGCTGGTGGGGCCAACAGGAGGCGGGAAGACGGTTATATACAGGGTCAGAGTTTATAGCACACGGGGTCATATACAGGGTCAGAGTTCATAGCACACGGGGTCAGAGCTCATATCACACGGGATCAGAGTTCATATCACGAGGGGTCAAAGTTCATATCATTTCACTCGTTATAAGCTCATACATGAGGGACCTCGTACACAGCCTCTATGGTATTGTCTTCTGACGTTTATATCTAAACTTAACAGATCCTTAGTCATATGACATGTTCTGCTCAGACTGGCCAATAAAAGTGGACGTTCCAGAAACTCTATGGCCCTCTAGCCAATAGAATTGACTGTTTCAGATACTCGAGAACACGCTGACCAACCTGTTCAATAAAAACATCGACAACGAGTTTTACCAGCCGGTCCACGTGTACATCATGAACCCCAAGTCTATCACCATGGATGAGCTTTACGGCGGTGTGGATAAGTTATCCATGGAGTGGAAGGATGGATTAATGGGGATCACAGTTCGTTTCTGTGTGCAGGTAATTGATGGCTACCACAGGTCATTTCTCTGGGCATCCTTACCTGTGGTTGACCATTTAGCCCTATCGTGTGCCTGTGGTTGACCATTTAGCCCTATCGTATGCCTGTAGTTTTAACCCCATGATGCGTCTCTCCCCCCCCCCCCAGGACACGACCAAAGACCACCAGTGGATTGTGTGTGACGGGCCTGTAGACGCCCTGTGGATAGAGAACATGAACACCGTGCTGGACGACAACAAGATGCTGTGTCTGGCCAACAGCGAGAGGATCAAGTTCACCCCCTACATCCACATGGTCTTTGAGGTCCAGGATCTGGCAGTGGCGTCTCCAGCCACGGTCAGCAGGTAGGTCCTTCACACAAAGGTTGACGTATGTGAGCGACAGAACACAAAGGTACGTGTGTACGGCATCTAATAATTTTTTTTTTATTAAGTTGTGAGAGTTGAAATATCTTGAAATGCTCTATAGTAAATCAATTAATCCACTGAATATTGAACTAATCCACCCAATGTTTAGCTAATCCACCCAATGTTGAATTATTCCACCGAATGTTGAATTATTCCACCGAATGTTGAACTAATCCACCGAATGTTGAACTAATCCACCCAATGTTTAACTAATCCACCGAATGTTGAATTAATCCACCTAATGTTGAACTAATCCACCGAATGTTGAACTAATCCACCCAATGTTTAACTAATCCACCGAATGTTGAATTAATCCACCTAATGTTGAACTAATCCACCGAATGTAGAACTAATCCACCCAATGTTGAACTAATCCACTGAATGCACCGTTGCAGGTGCGGCATGGTGTACGTTGACCCAGACGAGCTGAAGTGGATGCCGTACGTCAAGACCTGGATGGACGCCTGGGCCCCCTCCATGTCAGCCGACGCCCCCCAGTTCATCCTCAGGCTCTTTGAGACCTATGTGGAGGACGGACTACAGTTTGTACACAAAAAATGTACGCAGACAATCAAACAGGTTAGTTGCTTGTTTGCTCTGTGTACGACATTAAGATGTGTACGTGTGGATCTAGGGTTAGGGTGATCTAGTTAACTCCAGATAACTAAACTGTGTGACAAGACAACAATTTTTGTAACTCAAACATTTGTTTGAGTGTGTTGGCGACTGTGTAATGCGGTGTTTTAGCTTCGTTCACCCGAGTTTGTCCTTGTCAATAATTTGAGATCAGTAAACTTGTGACCTTGTGTTTACCTGAGTTTGTCCTGGCCACAGGTTGAGATCAGTAAAATTGTGACCTTGTGTAAGCTCCTTGAGGCCATCCTGTTTGCCAAGTCTGGATCTTTCGACTGGAACCTCGAGCCCAACAAACTCAATCGTCTGCTGTGTCAGATCTTTGTCTTCTGCTATCTGTGGGCCATTGGCGGGAACATCAACGACGACAATTGGGAGGCGCTCGATGTTTTCATCAGGCAGCAGTTTGATGAGAACGCTGACGCAAAGGTAGGTGTGTGGCTGACGCAAAGGTGGGTGTGGGGCTAATGCCAATATTGTGTATGGCTGACGTCATGGTTTTGTGGTGCTGACTTCATGATTGTGTGGGTCTGACATCATGGTTGTGTGGGTCTGACTTCATGGTTGTGTGGTTTGGGTGCGTCTAACGTCTAAATTGTATGCGCGAAATGTTTTCTGCATGTCATCAATCGACCCCCTCCCCCCTCCCCAACCATTGAATCATTTTTTTTGTCCGGGAATTGAGCTTGTCCAAACACTTAAGTCACTGCTTGAATGACTCCAGCTCCCAGGATCGAATCCACTCTGGGGCTATTTCATCGATGTGGACAGTAAAAAAATGGACACGTGGGACAAACTGGTTGGCACCTTCCGTTACGACAAGAGCATCTCGTTCTTCAAGATGTTGGTGCCCACAGTCGACACGGCCAGGTTCGGATACCTGCTGGAGAGTCTGCTCTCTGTCAACAGATCGGTGCTCTACACAGGTGGCACAGGTGTGGGCAAGGTGAGTCACTGCAGGTGGCAGGTGGGGGGGGGGCAAGGTGAGTCACTGCAGGTGTGGGCAAGGTGAGTCACTGCAGGTGTGGGCAAGGTGAGTCACTGCAGGTGTGGGCAAGGTGAGTCACTGCAGGTGTGGGCAAGGTGAGTCACTGCAGGTGTGGGCAAGGTGAGTCACTGCAGGTGTGGGCAAGGTGAGTAACTGCAGGTGTGGGCAAGGTGAGTCACTGCAGGTGTGGGCAAGGTGAGTCACTGCAGGTGTGGGCAAGGTGAGTCACTGCAGGTGTGGGCAAGGTGAGTAACTGCAGGTGTGGGCAAGGTGAGTCACTGCAGGTGTGGGCAAGGTGAGTCACTGCAGGTGGCAGGTGGGGGGGGGGCAAGGTGAGTCACTGCAGGTGTGGGCAAGGTGAGTCACTGCAGGTGTGGGCAAGGTGAGTAACTGCAGGTGTGGGCAAGGTGAGTCACTGCAGGTGTGGGCAAGGTGAGTCACTGCAGGTGTGGGCAAGGTGAGTCACTGCAGGTGGCAAGTGTGGGCAAGGTGAGGCACTGCGGGTGGCAGGTGTGGGCAAGGTGACGCACTGCAGGTGGCAGGTGTGGGCAAGGTGAGTCACTGCAGGTGTGGGCAAGGTGAGTCACTGCAGGTGGCAAGTGTGGGCAAGGTGAGGCACTGCGGGTGGCAGGTGTGGGCAAGGTGACGCACTGCAGGTGGCAGGTGTGGGCAAGGTGAGTCACTGCAGGTGGCAAGTGTGGGCAAGGTGAGTCACTGCAGGTGGCAAGTGTGGGCAAGGTGAGTCACTGCAGGTGGCAAGTGTGGGCAAGGTGAGTCACTGCAGGTGGCAAGTGTGGGCAAGGTGAGGCACTGCGGGTGGCAGGTGTGGGCAAGGTGACGCACTGCAGGTGGCAGGTGTGGGCGAGGTGAGTCACTGCAGGTGGGGGCAAGCTAAATCACTACGCACTACATCTCCCCCTGACCCAACTCCCAGCTGCCACTGACATTAACCACGGCCTTCCCTTTCAGTCCGTGATTGCCCGAGACCTGCTGGACCGAATCTCTGAGAGAACGTCGTACGTGCCCATCTTCATCAACTTCTCGGCCCAGACCAGCAGCAACAGGACCCAGGAGATGATCGAGGGCAAACTGGAGAAGCGGAGAAAAAACGTTATCGGTCAGTGGGGGGGGGGGGGGGGCTGGAGAAGCGGAGAAAAAACGTTATCGGTCAGTGGGGGGGGGGGGGCTGGAGAAGGGGAGAAAAAACGTTATCGGTCAGTGTAGGGGGGGGGGGGCTGGAGAAGCGGAGAAAAAACGTTATCGGTCAGTGTGGGGGGGGGGGGGGGGGCTGGAGAAGCGGAGAAAAAACGTTATCGGTCAGTGTGGGGGGGGGGGGGGGGGCTGGAGAAGCGGAGAAAAAACGTTATCGGTCAGTGGGGGGGGGGGGGCTGGAGAAGCGGAGAAAAAACGTTATCGGTCAGTTTTATACTGGAGGGGGGGGGGAAGGGGGGCGACATTGTGCTTATACATGACTATATTCCAATGTTTAACCTTAACTTTGATCTTGTGTCTAACCAAACGGTGACGTTATTGTAGGTGCTCCCAAAGGCAAGCGGGTGATTATATTCATCGACGACCTGAACATGCCCAAGCTGGACACATACGGGTCACAACCTCCCATAGAGCTGCTGCGGCAGTTCCTGGACTTTGGGGGGCTCTACGACAGGGACACCATGACATGGAAGGAGATCCAGGTACGTTTGGGCCCCCCACCTTATGTTGACATGGAAGGAGATCCAGGTACGTTTGGGCCCCCCACCTTATGTTGAAATGGAAGGAGATCCAGGTACGTTTGGGCCCCCACCTTATAAATGTTGACATGGAAGTAGATCCAGATAAGTTTGGGCCCCACCTTATAAGTGTTGACATGGAAGGAGATCCAGATAAGTTTGGGCCCCACCTTATAAGTGTTGACATGGAAGGAGATCCAGATAAGTTTGGGCCCCACCTTATAAGTGTTGACATGGAAGGAGATCCAGATAAGTTTGGGCCCCACCTTATAAGTGTTGACATGGAAGGAGATCCAGATAAGTTTGGGCCCCACCTTATAAGTGTTGACATGGAAGGAGATCCAGATAAGTTTGGGCCCCACCTTATAAGTGTTGACATGGAAGGAGATCCAGATAAGTTTGGGCCCCACCTTATAAGTGTTGACATGGAAGGAGATCCAGATAAGTTTGGGCCCCACCTTATAAGTGTTGACATGGAAGGAGATCCAGATAAGTTTGGGCCCCACCTTATAAGTGTTGACATGGAAGGAGATCCAGATAAGTTTGGGAGCCACCTTATAAGTGTTGACATGGAAGGAGATCCAGGTACGTTTGGGCCCCCACCTTATAAGTGTTGACATGGAAGGAGATCCAGATAAGTTTGGGCCCCACCTTATAAGTGTTGACATGGAAGGAGATCCAGATAAGTTTGGGCCCCACCTTATAAGTGTTGACATGGAAGGAGATCCAGATAAGTTTGGGCCCCACCTTAAAGTTGCTCGTGGTTGTGGCCCCTGTGTCCAACCGTCTGTTCTGTCCCACAGGATGTGACGTTGTCGGCTGCCTGCTCGCCGCCAGGGGGCGGGAGAAACCCGGTGTCTGCCCGACTTTTCCGCCATTTTACCATGCTGAGCATCCCGTCCCCCACGGAAACAAGCCTAAAACAACTTTTCTCGGTTGGTTCATTTGTCAGTGGTGTGTGTGTGGGGTGAGGGGGGGGGGGGGGGCTGGGCGGGGTAGTCAGTTGCTGTGGACGTCAGTGTGTTTGTTAAGGGTGGGGAATGTTGGATATGTAAGTTATGACGTTAGTTCTAGGGTGTGTAAAGTTGTGGTTTGATGAGGTAGGGGTGTCATCAATATGTCATGAGGAACATCTAGCAATACAAAGTTTGAGCCACTGGTCGTTATCTTCTGGACATTGCATGACAGGGGGTTAATTAAGAGGGGAGTTAACTAACAGGGGTTAATTAAGAGGGGGTGAACTAACAGGGGGTTAATTAAGAGGGGGGTGAACTAACAGGGGGTTAATTAAGAGGGGGTGAACTAACAGGGGGTTAATTAAGAGGGGGGTGAACTAACAGGGGGTTAATTAAGAGGGGGGTGAACTAACAGGGGGTTAATTAAGAGAGGGGTGAACTAACAGGGGGTTAATTAAGAGGGGGGTGAACTAACAGGGGGTTAATTAAGAGGGGGTGAACTAACAGGGGGTTAATTAAGAGGGGGGGGGGTTAACTAACAGGGGGTTAATTAAGAGGGGGGGGGGGGGGTTTACCCAACAGGGGGTTGTAATCTGCTGACAAAATATAGTCACGTCGATGTCGTCTGATGCAGGCAATTATCGTCGGATTTTTCACGGACTTTTCTCGAAATATCCGTGGTCTGGCTGACGCCATCGTGAACTCTGCTGTAGAGATCTACTTCCGGTTGAGTACAGACCTGCTGCCCACCCCAGCCAAGTCGCACTATGTCTTCAATCTCAGGGACCTGTCTAAGGTCGTTCAAGGTAGGTCACACACGTGTCAAAGGTCGTTCAAGGTAGGTCACTCAACTCTAAAAGGTCGTTCAAGGTAGGTCACTTAACTCTAAAAGGTCGTTCAACATAGGATTCAACGTACTACGCTTTAGAGATTAGTGAAGTGACGCGTGACTCTAATGAAGTGCCGTGTGACTCTAATGAGGTGACGTGTGACTCTAATGTAGTGCCATGTGACTCTAATGAAGTGCCGTGTGACTCTAATGAAGCGCCGTGTGACTCTAGTGAGGTGCCGTGTGACTCTAATGAGGTGACATGTGACTCTAATGTAGTGCCGTGTGACTCTAATGAAGTGCCGTGTGACTCTAATGTAGTGCCGTGTGACTCTAGTGAGGTGCCGTGTGACTCTAATGAGGTGACATGTGACTCTAATGAGGTGCCGTGTGACTCTAATGTAGTGCCGTGTGACTCTAATGAAGTGCCGTGTGACTCTAATGAGGTGACATGTGACTCTAATGTAGTGCCGTGTGACTCTAATGTAGTGCCGTGTGACTCTAGTGAGGTGCCGTGTGACTCTAGTGAAGTGCCGTGTGACTCTAATGAGGTGACATGTGACTCTAATGTAGTGCCGTGTGACTCTAATGAAGTGCCGTGTGACTCTAATGAAGTGCCGTGTGACTCTAGTGAGGTGCCGTGTGACTCTAGTGAGGTGCCGTGTGACTCTAGTGAGGTGCCGTGTGACTCTAATGAGGTGCCGTGTGACTCTAATGTAGTGCCGTGTGACTCTAGTGAGGTGCCGTGTGACTCTAATGTAGTGCCGTGTGACTCTAGTGAGGTGCCGTGTGACTCTAATGAGGTGCCGTGTGACTCTAATGTAGTGCCGTGTGACTCTAGTGAGGTGCCGTGTGACTCTAATGTAGTGCCGTGTGACTCTAATGAAGTGCCGTGTGACTCTAATGTAGTGCCGTGTGACTCTAGTGAGGTGCCGTGTGACTCTAATGTAGTGCCGTGTGACTCTAATGAAGTGCCGTGTGACTCTAATGTAGTGCCGTGTGACTCTAGTGAGGTGCCGTGTGACTCTAATGAGGTGACATGTGACTCTAATGTAGTGCCGTGTGACTCTAATGAAGTGCCGTGTGACTCTAATGTAGTGCCGTGTGACTCTAATGTAGTGCCGTGTGACTCTAATGAGGTGCCGTGTGACTCCTGTTTGCCAGGAATCCTGCAGGCTGACATCGGCATCTTCCGTGAGAAGCTCCAGATGTTCCGTCTCTTCATCCACGAGACCCAGCGCGTCTTCCACGACCGGCTCATCAACCACGAGGACAAGTTCTTCTTCCACAAGCTCATGGCGGACATCGCGGCCAAACACTTCAACGAGGTGGGATTTTTTACTTTCTCGTATATACGTAGTATAGAGAAAGTATTGTAATCGTGCAAAAAAAAAAAATCGAGATTTTTACAAATCTCGACGTTTTACACCTCACTGATACGGAAAAACATAATTTTGCAATCTTGTCCGTATGTCTGTGTGTCTGTGTGTCTGTGTGTCTGTGTGTGTGTAAACACGATAACTTGAGTACCGTTACAGCTAGGTTGATGAAATTTCATATATAAGTATTTTATCAAAATCGTAGATCCGTATCAACTTTTGAGCGATTTCCGATAACCGGAAGTGGTACTTTTTCTACTTTGAATTTTCCAAAAGCCTATAACTTGAGTACTATTTCAGATAGATAAATGAAATTTCACCTGTAAGTAAAAGATTTAATTTTCTACCTTCTGTTAAATTTTGAGTAATTTCCGTTGACGGGAAGTACTAATTTACGCTATTTCCGATTTCTCAAAAACGCATCTAAATTTATAAAGTACTAATAATATTGCGCACCATTATGAACGTCTTTATTCGACATTCGCTTGGTGCGCAATACTTTTTTCTATGAGATTCTATTCTATTTTAAAAAGTTTAAGTATTTAAAATGGATTAAAAATCATAACTAGATCTATATACCGAGTTCCCATCCCCTGTTGTTTTATATAAGAATATTCGAGAAAGTTTAGGGGAGATCACTCCCGGTTTATTTTTATTCGTTTGTTTGTCTGTTTGCTGTGATATACGACAAACTCATAGCGGACATTGCGCCAAACAGTAACGAAGTACCTCCAGAGTAGATACATTGCTATTTGGTCCTGTTCCTTTCTACGTATGTTTTTTCTTTGTTTGTATGATTGTCTGTTGGTAAAAATCAAAATTGCATTTTTATAATTGAAGCGCCTTCGTATTTCTAACAGCTAAATATTTTATTTTACATTTTAAAATCTATTACAATTTACAGAATTATAACAGAACGTAACCTTGACCCTTGACCGACTTTTCAGACGGTGGAGCCCCAGAGTTTCGTCACTGACCCCATTTTGTTCGGGAACTTTATGAAGATGGGCGCGCCCCCTGAGGAGAGGTTTTACGAGGAGCTGACGGACATCAACAAAGTGAAAAACATCCTGGGCGATGTAAGTGCCGGTCTTTTTATTCATCCGGCTTGGTTGCCGGTCTTTTGGTCGGACCGACTCGGTTGCCGGTCTTTTCGTTCATTCTGCTTGGTTGACGGTCTTTTAGTCGGACCGGTTAAGGGACCTGTCAAAGGTCGTTCAAGGTAGGTCACACACGTGTCAAAAGTTGTCCTATAATTTAAAATGTGTATGTAAAGGGCCCATTATTTATCCCGACGTATGACCTAACCTCTCCCCCCCCCCCTCTGCCCAGTACCTAGATGAACTGAACATGGCGTCCCCCAAAGAGATGCGCCTGGTGTTTTTCTTGGACGCTGTGGAGCACATCACCCGCCTGGTCAGGATGGTGCAACAGGAGAGGGGGAACGCCCTGCTGGTGGGGGTCGGGGGCACGGGCAAACAGTCACTCACACGGTAACTAGGGACAACAACAGACACTCACACGGTAACTAGGGACAACAATAGACACTCACAAGGTAACTAGGGACACACCAGTCACTCACACGGTAACTAGGGACAACAATAGACACTCACAAGGTAACTAGGGACACACCAGTCACTCACACGGTAACTAGGGACAACAATAGACACTCACACGGTAACTAGGGACAACAGTCACTCACACGGTAACTAGGGACAACAATAGACACTCACACGGTAACTAGGGACACAACAATCACTCACACGGTAACTAGGGACACAACAATCACTTACACGGTAACTAGGGACACAACAATCACTCACACGGTAACTAGGGACACAACAATCACTTACACGGTAACTAGGGACACAACAATCACTCACACGGTAACTAGGGACACAACAATCACTTACACGGTAACTAGGGACACAACAATCACTTACACGGTAACTAGGGACACAACAATCACTTACACGGTAACTAGGGACACAACAATCACTCACACGGTAACTAGGGACACAACAATCACTTACACGGTAACTAGGGACAACAATCACTTACACGGTAACTAGGGACACAACAATCACTTACACGGTAACTAGGGACAACAATCACTCACACGGTAACTAGGGACACAACAAACACTCACACGGTAACTAGGGACACAACAATCACTCACACGGTAACTAGGGACTCAACAAACACTCACGCGGTAACTGCTTGCTTCATTCACTCAAAACCTAATTAAATTTTTTCACCTACGACAATTGAATCACAGCTGTAGCACATAGCATGATAATCGTCTCAAATTTAAATATTTCTCCTCATTCCATACCTCTCGTGTTGTTGACGTGCCTGTTGCCATGGTGACGTGTGTGCCCCCAGCCTGTCAGCACACATCTGCGGGTACCAGTGCTTCCAGATCCAGCTGTGTCGAGGTTACGACTACACGTCCTTCCATGACGACCTGAAGAAACTCTACGACTCTGCTGGGATACAGAACAAACCCACCATATTCCTCTTCACTGACACACAGGTGAGGGGAGGGGGAGGCAGGTGGGATACAGAACAAACCCACCATATTCCTCTTCACTGACACACAGGGGAGGGGAGGGGGAGGCAGGTGTTGGAATGTATTGGCAGGTTTCGACAGCTGGTTTAATGTAGGCAGGTGTAGATGCAGGTAGGTGTAGACATGTAAAGACAGGTGTTAGCAAGTGTAGGTGGGAGACAGGTGTAGTTAGGTGTAGTCACGTGCTGATCTGTAGAGGGAGAGCCATGACATTTGAAACAGGATTCCATCAAAACAACAACAAAATGTTTGACACCACCACTGTAGTTCCCACCCTCCTGTCCAGATTGGAAGAATGTTTGACACCTCCACTATGTCCAGATTGGAAGAATGTTTGACACCTCCACTATGTCCAGATTGGAAGAATGTTTGACACCTCCACTATGTCCAGATTGTGGTGGAAGAATGTTTGACACCTCCACTATGTCCAGATTGTGGTGGAAGAATGTTTGACACCTCCACTATGTCCAGATTGGAAGAATGTTTGACACCTCCACTATGTCCAGATTGTGGTGGAAGAATGTTTGACACCTCCACTATGTCCAGATTGTGGTGGAAGAATGTTTGACACCTCCACTATGTCCAGATTGTGGTGGAAGAATGTTTGACACCTCCACTATGTCCAGATTGGAAGAATGTTTGACACCTCCACTATGTCCAGATTGTGGTGGAAGAATGTTTGACACCTCCACTATGTCCAGATTGGAAGAATGTTTGACACCCCCACTATGTCCAGATTGGAAGAATGTTTGACACCTCCACTATGTCCAGATTGGAAGAATGTTTGACACCTCCACTATGTCCAGATTGTGGTGGAAGAATGTTTGACACCTCCACTATGTCCAGATTGGAAGAATGTTTGACACCCCCACTATGTCCAGATTGGAAGAATGTTTGACACCTCCACTATGTCCAGATTGTGGTGGAAGAATGTTTGACACCTCCACTATGTCCAGATTGGAAGAATGTTTGACACCTCCACTATGTCCAGATTGTGGTGGAAGAGTTCCTGGAAGACATCAACAACATGCTCAACTCTGGCGAGGTGCCCAACCTGTTCGAGCCTGAAGAGTACGAGAAGCTCATCATCGGCTGCAGACCCGGCGCTAAGGAGGCTGGGATTCCAGAGGGGAACCGTGACGCCATCTACGACTTCTGTATCCACAGGGTCAGGTGAGGCTTGCGGTCCATAGGAGCAGATCATCAACTGACCCCCTCAGACATATGACCCCCTACAAAACCCATCAAGTGACCCACTATACCACCTATCTCTGCCATGCACAAACTGTCAGCCACTAACCGATCCCTTCAGTTGACCCCTCAAACTAACCCCACGAACCTATATTTCAACTAACTCCACCAACTTACCCCACTAACTGACCCCACCAACTGACCCCACCAACTGACCTCACCAACTGACCCCATCAACTGACCCCATCAACTGACCCCACCAACTGACCCCACCAACTGACCCCACCAACTGACCCCACCAACTGACCCCATCAACTGACCCCATCAACTGACCCCACCAACTGACCCCACCAACTGACCCCACCAACTGACCCCATCAACTGACCCCACCAACTGACCTCATCAACTGACCCCATCAACTGACCCCACCAACTGACCTCATCAACTGACCCCACCAACTGACCTCATCAACTGACCCCATCAACTGACCCCACCAACTGACCTCATCAACTGACCCCACCAACTGACCCCACCAACTGACCCAACCAACTGACCCCACCAACTGACCCCATCAACTGACCCCATCAACTGACCCCATCAACTGACCCCACCAACTGACCCCACCAACTGACCCCACCAACCGACCCCACCAACTGACCCCATCAACTGACCCCATCAACTGACCCCACCAACTGACCTCATCAACTGACCCCACCAACTGACCCCACCAACTGACCTAATCAACTGACCCACCAACTGACCCCACCAACTGACCCAACCAACTGACCGAACCAACTGACCCCACCAACTGACCCCACCAACTGACCCCACCAACTGACCCCACCAACTGACCTCATCAACTGACCCCATCAACTGACCCCATCAACTGACCCCACCAACTGACCCCACCAACTGACCCCACCAACTGACCCCATCAACTGACCTCATCAACTGAACCCACCAACTGACCCCACCAACTGACCCAACCAACTGACCCCACCAACTGACCCCACCAACTGACCCCACCAACTGACCCCACCAACTGACCCCATCAACTGACCCCATCAACTGACCCCACCAACCGACCCCACCAACTGACCCCATCAACTGACCCCACCAACTGACCCCACCAACTGACCCCATCAACTGACCCCACTAACTGACCCCACCAACTGACCCCATCAACTGACCCCACCAACTGACCTCATCAACTGACCCCACCAACTGACCCCACCAACTGACCTCATCAACTGACCCACCAACTGACCCCACCAACTGACCCCACCAACTGACCCCACCAACTGACCCCATCAACTGACCCCATCAACTGACCCCACCAACTGACCCCATCAACTGACCCCACCAACTGACCCCATCAACTGACCCCATCAACCGACCCCACCAACTGACCCCATCAACTGACCCCATCAACTGACCCCACCAACTGACCCCATCAACTGACCCATCAACTGACCCAATCAACTGACCCAACCAACTGACCCCACCAACTGACCCCACCAACTGATCCCATCAACTGACCCATCAACTGACCCAACCGACTTCACCAACTGACCCCATCAACTGACCCCATCAACTGACCCAACAACTGACCCCATCAACTGACCCATCAACTGACCCAACCGACCCCACCAACTGACCCAACAACTGACCCCATCAACTGACCCCACGAACTGACCCCACCAACTGACCCCATCAACTGACCCCACCAACTGACCTCATCAACTGACCCCACCAACTGACCTCATCAACTGACCCCATCAACTGACCCCACCAACTGACCTCATCAACTGACCCCACCAACTGACCCCACCAACTGACCCAACCAACTGACCCCACCAACTGACCCCATCAACTGACCCCATCAACTGACCCCATCAACTGACCCCACCAACTGACCCCACCAACTGACCCCACCAACCGACCCCACCAACTGACCCCATCAACTGACCCCATCAACTGACCCCACCAACTGACCTCATCAACTGACCCCACCAACTGACCCCACCAACTGACCTCATCAACTGACCCACCAACTGACCCCACCAACTGACCCCACCAACTAACCCCACCAACTGACCCCATCAACTGACCCCATCAACTGACCCCACCAACTGACCCCATCAACTGACCCCATCAACTGACCCCATCAACTGACCCCACCAACTGACCTCATCAACTGACCCCACCAACTGACCTCATCAACTGACCCCATCAACTGACCCCACCAACTGACCTCATCAACTGACCCCATCAACTGACCCCATCAACTGACCCCACCAACTGTCCCCACCAACTGACCTCATCAACTGACCCCATCAACTGACCCCACCAACTGTCCCCACCAACTGACCTCATCAACTGACCCAACCAACTGACCGAACCAACTGACCCCACCAACTGACCCCACCAACTGACCCCACCAACTGACCCCACCAACTGACCTCATCAACTGACCCCATCAACTGACCCCATCAACTGACCCCACCAACTGACCCCACCAACTGACCCCACCAACTGACCCCATCAACTGACCTCATCAACTGACCCCACCAACTGACCCCACCAACTGACCCAACCAACTGACCCCACCAACTGACCCCACCAACTGACCCCACCAACTGACCCCATCAACTGACCCCATCAACTGACCCCACCAACCGACCCCACCAACTGACCCCATCAACTGACCCCACCAACTGACCCCACCAACTGACCCCATCAACTGACCCCACTAACTGACCCCACCAACTGACCCCATCAACTGACCCCACCAACTGACCTCATCAACTGACCCCACCAACTGACCCCACCAACTGACCTCATCAACTGACCCACCAACTGACCCCACCAACTGACCCCACCAACTGACCCCACCAACTGACCCCATCAACTGACCCCATCAACTGACCCCACCAACTGACCCCATCAACTGACCCCATCAACTGACCCCACCAACTGACCCCATCAACCGACCCCACCAACTGACCCCATCAACTGACCCCATCAACTGACCCCACCAACTGACCCCATCAACTGACCCATCAACTGACCCAATCAACTGACCCAACCAACTGACCCCACCAACTGACCCCACCAACTGACCCCACCAACTGACCCATCAACTGACCCAACCGACCCCACCAACTGACCCCATCAACTGACCCCATCAACTGACCCAACAACTGACCCCATCAACTGACCCATCAACTGACCCAACCGACCCCACCAACTGACCCAACAACTGACCCCATCAACTGACCCCACGAACTGACCCCACCAACTGACCCCACCAACTGACCCCATCAACTGACCCCACCAACTGACCCCATAAACTGACCCCATCAACTGACCCCATCAACTGACCCAACAGCTGACCCCATCAACTGACCCCATCAACTGACCCAACAGCTGACCCCATCAACTGACCCCATCAACTGACCCAACAGCTGACCCCATCAACTGACCCATCAATTGACCCAACCGACCCCACCAACTGACCCCATCAAGTGACCCCCACCAACTGACCCCATCAACTGACCCCACCAACTGACCCCATCAACTGACCCCATCAACTGACCCCATCAATTGACCCCTAGCCGTGTATCTACAGAAACAACCTCCACATCGTACTGTGCATGTCGCCCGTGGGTTCGACCTTCAGGGCCAGGTGTCGCATGTTCCCGTCCCTGGTCAACTGCTGCACCATTGATTGGTTCATTGAGTGGCCACGTGAGGCCCTGCTGGGCGTGGCCAATTCCTTCTTTAAAACCGTCAATCTGGGCTGTTCCGATGAGATCAAGGTGAGTAACGTTTGGTGCATCACAAGGTCAAGGTGAGTCACGTTTGATGCATCACAAGGTCAAGGTGAGTCACGTTTGGTGCATCACAAGGTCAAGGTGAGTCACGTTTGATGCATCACAAGGTCAAGGTGAGTCACGTTTGGTGCGTCACAAGGTCAAGGTGAGTCACGTTTGGTGCGTCACAAGGTCAAGGTGAGTCATGTTTGGTGCGTCACAAGGTCAAGGTGAGTCACGTTTGATATCCCATGATTTACACCTGAAGCGTTTAGCTAATGTGCTGGGGAGATGGGGAACATATCTGCCATTCTAGGTAGCACCAAGGTGTATCACGCTAACTAGCACCAAGGTGTTTCTCACTAACCATCCTGTCTCCACATGCTACTGTTTGAACATCGTGATGTCTTACCATCCTGATTTCTTACCCTCCTGATGTCTTACCATCCTGATGTCTTACCATCCTGATGTCTTACCATCCTGATGTCTTACCATCCTGATGTCTAACCATCCCGATGTCTAGGCCAATGTGTGCAAGATGTGTGTGGAGATCCACGTCAGCGTGACCGACATGGCTGAACGATTCTTCAAGGAACTCAAGCGGCGCTACTACACGACGCCAACCTCGTACCTCGAGCTCATCAACCTCTACATCGGCATGGTGCAGGAGAAGGCACAGTCAGTAGGGGGGGGGGGTGGGGGGGGTGGGGGTGGGGGGTCAGGGTGGGGGTGGGGGGGGGGGGGGTAGTGGGGTGAGCTCATCAACCTGTACATCGGCATGGTGCAGGAGAAGGCACAGTCAGTAGGGGGGGGGGTCAGGGGGTGTGGGGGTGGGGGGTCAGGGTGGGGGTGGGGGGGGGGGGGGGTAGTGGGGTGAGCTCATCAACCTCTACATCGGCATGGTGCAGGAGAAGGCACAGTCAGTAGGGGGGGTCAGGGGTGTGGGGGTGGGGGGTCAGGGTGGGGGTGGGGGTGACAGGGTGGGGTGGTGTGAGCTCATCAACCTCTACATCGGCATGGTGCAGGAGAAGGCACAGTCAGTAGGGGGGGGGGGGTGGGGGGGTGGGGGTGGGGGGTCAGGGTGGGGGTGGGGGGGGGGTAGTGGGGTGAGCTCATCAACCTGTACATCGGCATGGTGCAGGAGAAGGCACAGTCAGTAGGGGGGGGGTCAGGGGGTGTGGGGGTGGGGGGTCAGGGTGGGGGGGGGGGGGTAGTGGGGTGAGCTCATCAACCTCTACATTGGCATGGTGCAGGAGAAGGCACAGTCAGTAGGGGGGGTCAGGGGTGTGGGGGTGGGGGTCAGGGTGGGGGTGGGGGGGTGACAGGGTGGGGTGGTGTGAGCTCATCAACCTCTACATCGGCATGGTGCAGGAGAAGGCACCGTCAGTAGGGGGGTCAGGGGGGTGGGGGTCAATGTGGGGGTGGGGGGTCAGGGTGGGGGTGGGGGGGGGGTAGTGGGGTGAGCTCATCAACCTGTACATCGGCATGGTGCAGGAGAAGGCACAGTCAGTAGGGGGGGGGGGGTCAGGGGGTGTGGGGGTGGGGGGTCAGGGTGGGGGTGGGGGGGTGTAGTGGGGTGAGCTCATCAACCTCTACATCGGCATGGTGCAGGAGAAGGCACAGTCAGTAGGGGGGGTCAGGGGTGTGGGGGTGGGGGGTCAGGGTGGGGGTGGGGGGGTGACAGGGTGGGGTGGTGTGAGCTCATCAACCTCTACATCGGCATGGTGCAGGAGAAGGCACCGTCAGTAGGGGGGTCAGGGGGGTGGGGGTCAATGTGGGGGTGGGGGGTCAGGGTGGGGGTGGGGGGGGTAGTGGGGTGAGCTCATCAACCTCTACATCGGCATGGTGCAGGAGAAGGCACAGTCAGTAGGGGGGTCAGGGGGGTGGGGGGGTCAGGGTGGGTGGGGTGAGCTCATCAACCTGTACATCGGCATGGTGCAGGAGAAGGCACAGTCAGTAGGGGGGTTAGGGGGGTCAGGGGGTGAGGGGGGGTCAGGGTGGGGAGTGGATTGTGGGGTGAGCTCATCAACCTCTACATCGGCTTGGTGCAGGAGAAGGCACAGTCAGTAGGGGGGGGGGTCAGGATGGGGATGGGGGGGGGGGGTAGTGGGGCGAGCTCATCAACCTCTACATCGGCATGGTGCAGGAGAAGGCACAGTCAGTAGGGGGAAGGGTCAGGGTGGGGGTGGGGGGGTCAGGGTGTTGGTGGGGGGGGGGGGTCAGGATGGGGGGGGGGGGTAGTGGGGTGAGCTCATCAACCTCTATATCGGCATGGTGCAGGAGAAGGCACAGTCAGTAGGGGGGGGGGGGTGTTGGCACGGTGGGGGTGGGGGGGTCAGGGTGGTGGGGGGTCAGGATGGGTGGGTTGGCAGGGTGGGGGTCAGGGTGGGGAGGGTAGTGGGGTGAGCTCATCAACCTGTACATCGACATGGTGCAGGAGAAGGCACAGTCAGTAGGGGGAGTCAGGGTGGTGGGGGGGTCAGGGTGGTGGGGGGGGGGTCAGGATGGGTGGGTGGCATGGTGGAGTGAGCTCATCAACCTCTACATCGGCATGGTGCAGGAGAAGGCACAGTCAGTATGGGGGAGGGGGGATGATCAGGCTGGGTGAAGACAGTGGGGTGGAGATGGAGATGACATGTACAAAAGTGCGTGGCAGTGTATGTGACAGTGTTATGTGGGATTGTATGTGGGAATGTGTGTGGGAGTGTATGTGGGAGTGTATGTGTCATGCTGATCGAGGTAGGGGTCGGTTATGGGTGGGGTAGAGTAGGGGGTGGGGGTAAAGTTGTTGTGGTGGGATGAAGTTGGCAGTTTGCTATAGAGGAGACAAGGTGTGGTATGTGTGGTGGTCTGAGATACTGAGGTTGCACAGAATAGGTGAGGTATGTGCTACTGACCGAGCTAGCTCATCAATAATGTCCCCACTGACCAGTGTGATCAAAATGGCCCGTGAGCGGGTGTCCAACGGCCTGGCCAAGCTGTTCTCTACCAACGACCTGGTGGACAACATGAAGAAAGAGCTGGTGGCCCTGGAGCCAGAGCTCAAGCAGAAGTCTGCAGACACCGCCAGTCTCATGGAGAGGCTCAAGATCGACCAGGAGAAGGCAGACACGGTGAGTGGTTTACGTTTGATTGGTGGGATTTTATGGTTGGTCTTTGGTGGAATTTCACGGTTGGTCTTTGGTGGGATTTCATGGTTGGTCCTTGGTGGGATTTCTTGGTTGGTCCTTGGTGGGATTTCATGGTTGGTCTTTGGTGGGATTTCATGGTTGGTCTTTGGCGGGATTTCATGGTTGGTCTTTGGTGGGATTTCATGGTTGGTCTTTGGTGGGATTTCATGGTTGGTCTTTGGTGGGATTTCATGGTTGGTCTTTGGTGGGATTTCATGGTTGGTCTTTGGTGGGATTTCATGGTTGGTCTTTGGTGGGATTTCATGGTTGGTCTTTGGTGGGATTTCATGGTTGGTCTTTGGTGGGATTTCATGGTTGGTCTTTGGTGGGATTTCATGGTTGGTCTTTGGTGGGATTTCATGGTTGGTCTTTGGTGCGATTTCAAGGTTGGACTTTGGTGGGATTTTAAGGCTTTTCTTTGGGAATTTAACGTTTGTCTTTGAGGGGATTTGATTATAATGTTAGACTTGTTTTTCCATCACTTGACAACGCTGCATTAGCGACTTCTAATTTAGATATCATCTGCACCGTAAGACACCCAATCAGTAAACACAAGACAAAAACATTGTGTTTTGTGCTTTAAGAAAATAACGCGACTTGCTGTCCCATGTGTTTCATAACGCGGCCTCCTGTCCGACGTAAGAAAATAACGCGGCCTCCTGTCCGACGTAAGAAAATAACGCGGCCTCCTGTCCGACGTAAGAAAATAACGTGGCCTCCCGTCCGACGTAAGAAAATAACGCGGCCTCCTTTCCGACGTAAGAAAATAACGCGGCCTCCTGCCCGACGTAAGAAAATAACGCGGCCTCCTTTCCGACGTAAGAAAATAACGCGGCCTCCTGCCCGACGTAAGAAAATAACGCGGCCTCCTGCCCGACGTAAGAAAATAACGCGGCCTCCTGTCCGACGTAAGAAAATAACGCGGCCTCCTGTCCGACGTAAGAAAATAACGCGGTCTCCTGTCTGACGTAAGAAAATAACGCGGTCTCCTGTCCGACGTAAGAAAATAACGCGGCCTCCTGTTCGACGTAAGAAAATAACGCGGCCTCCTGTCCGACGTAAGAAAATAACGCGGCCTCCTGTCCGACGTAAGAAAATAACTCGGCCTCCTGTCCGACGTAAGAAAATAACGCGGCCTCCTGTCCGACGTAAGAAAATAACGCGGCCTCCTGTCCGACGTAAGAAAATAACTCGGCCTCCTGTCCGACGTAAGAAAATAACGCGGCCTCCTGTCCGACGTAAGAAAATAACGCGGCCTCCTGTCCGACGTAAGAAAATAACGCGGCCTCCTGTCCCACGTGTTTCAGGTCCAGAAAAATGTGGCCATCGACGAGGCCAAGGCCAAAAAGACAGCAGAGGAGACACAGGCCATAGCAGACGACGCGCAGAGAGATTTGAACGAGGCACTTCCGGCTCTTGAAGCTGCTGTCAAGGTAACATCACTGCTGCTGTTAGTGTATGGCTGGGGTGTGTTGTGTAATGGTAACATCACTGCTGTTGTTGGTGTATGGCTGGGGTGTTGTGTAATGGTAACATCACTGCTGTTGTTGGTGTATGGCTGGGGTGTTGTGTAATGGTAACATCACTGCTGTTGTTGGTGTATGGATGGGGTGTTGTGTAATGGTAACATCACTGTTGCTGTTAGTGTAATGGTAACATCACTGCTGCTGTTAGTGTATGCTTGGTGTGTGTTATACACTATATAAATCACATACACACTGTATGAAGTACGTACACACTGTATGAAGTATGTACACACTGTATGAAGTACGTACACACTGTATGAAGTATGTACACACTGTATGAAGTACGTACACACTGTATGAAGTATGTACACACTGTATCAAGTACGTACACACTGTATGAAGTACATACACACTGTATGAAGTACGTACACGCTGTCTACCTATCACGTGACTGTCCTCCCGTCCCCAGGCTCTCGACGCCCTGGACAAGAACGACATCTCTGAGATCAGGGTCTTCACCAAACCCCCAGAGCTGGTCCAGACGGTTCTAGAAGCTGTGGCCATCTTGCTGGGCAACAAGTAGGTCATGTGTTGTAGTAAACATAGTGTTGATACTTGACAACGTGTGAGGCCATTTATTTTGTTACTGTTGTACAAAAATAATTAAAATTAAAGCATGACAATTAAAGCAACATTAGATGAAGGAAATTAAAACGTGCATCTATACGGTAAAACGTGCATCTATACGTGTGTCCTGTAATCCTTCAGAACAGACTGGGCAAGCTGTAAAGCCATGCTGGGAGACAGCAATTTTCTCAAGAGGTTGGCCGAGTACGACAAGGACAAGATCCCTGCGGCCAAGCTGGCCAAGGTCAGAAAGTACACGGCCATGCCCAACTTTGTGCCGGATGTCGTCGCTAAAGTCTCCAAGGTCAGACTTTATAGCGCTGTATACCTAGATAAATGATGTAACTACCCCCGTCAATTAGCCACCTGAGCTATACCTAGATAAATGATGTAACTACCCCCGTCAATTAGCCACCTAAGCTACAACACCTTGCTGTATACCTAGATAAATGATGTAACTACCCCCGTCAATTAGCCACCTAAGCTACAACACCTTGCTGTATACCTAGATAAATGATGTAACTACCCCCGTCAATTAGCCACCTAAGCTACAACACCTTGCTGTATACCTAGATAAATGATGTAACTACCCCCGTCAATTAGCCACCTAAGCTACAACACCTTGCTGTATACCTAGATAAATGATTAAATACCTCCGTCAATTAGCCACCTAAGCTACAACACCTTGCTGTATACCTTGATAAATGATGTAACTACCCCCGTCAATTAGCCACCTAAGCTACAACACCTTGCTGTATACCTAGATAAATGATGTAACTACCCCCGTCAATTAGCCACCTAAGCTACAACACCTTGCTGTATACCTAGATAAATGATGTAACTACCCCCGTCAATTAGCCACCTAAGCTACAACACCTTGCTGTATACCTAGATAAATGATGTAACTACCCCCGTCAATTAGCCACCTAAGCTACAACACCTTGCTGTATACCTAGATAAATGATGTAACTACCCCCGTCAATTAGCCACCTAAGCTACAACACCTTGCTGTATACCTAGATAAATGATGTAACTACCCCCGTCAATTAGCCACCTAAGCTACAACACCTTGCTGTATACCTAGATAAATGATTAAATACCTCCGTCAATTAGCCACCTAAGCTACAACACCTTGCTGTATACCTTGATAAATGATGTAACTACCCCCGTCAATTAGCCACCTAAGCTACAACACCTTGCTGTATACCTAGATAAATGATGTAACTACCCCCGTCAATTAGCCACCTAAGCTACAACACCTTGCTGTATACCTAGATAAATGATGTAACTACCCCCGTCAATTAGCCACCTAAGCTACAACACCTTGCTGTATACCTAGATAAATGATGTAACTACCCCCGTCAATTAGCCACCTATGCTACAACACCTTGCTGTATACCTAGATAAATGATGTAACTACCCCCGTCAATTAGCCACCTAAGCTACAACACCTTGCTGTATACCTAGATAAATGATGTAACTACCCCCGTCAATTAGCCACCTTAGCTACAACACCTTGCTGTATACCTAGATAAATGATGTAACTACCCCCGTCAATTAGCCACCTATGCTACAACACCTTGCTGTATACCTAGATAAATGATGTAACTACCCCCGTCAATTAGCCACCTTAGCTACAACACCTTGCTGTATACCTAGATAAATGATGTAACTACCCCCGTCAATAAGCCACCTAAGCTACAACACCTTGCTGTATACCTAGATAAATGATGTAACTACCCCCGTCAATTAGCCACCTTAGCTACAACACCTTGCTGTATACCTAGATAAATGATGTAACTACCCCCGTCAATTAGCCACCTATGCTACAACACCTTGCTGTATACCTAGATAAATGATGTAACTACCCCCGTCAATTAGCCACCTTAGCTACAACACCTTACTGTATACCTAGATAAATGATGTAACTACCCCCGTCAATTAGCCACCTAAGCTACAACACCTTGCTGTATACCTAGATAAATGATGTAACTACCCCCGTCAATTAGCCACCTTAGCTACAACACCTTGCTGTATACCTAGATAAATGATGTAACTACCCCCGTCAATTAGCCACCTATGCTACAACACCTTGCTGTATACCTAGATAAATGATGTAACTACCCCCGTCAATTAGCCACCTAAGCTACAACACCTTGCTGTATACCTAGATAAATGATGTAACTACCCCCGTCAATTAGCCACCTTAGCTACAACACCTTGCTGTATACCTAGATAAATGATGTAACTACCCCCGTCAATTAGCCACCTATGCTACAACACCTTGCTGTATACCTAGATAAATGATGTAACTACCCCCGTCAATTAGCCACCTAAGCTACAACACCTTGCTGTATACCTAGATAAATGGTGTAACTACCCCCGTCAATTAGCTACAACACCTTGCTACCCTCACCAGGCATGCAAGTCGTTGGTCATGTGGGTTAGGGCCATGGACATCTACTCTGTAGTTGCCAAACAGGTGGAGCCGAAGAAGCAAGCGTAAGTTGGCCTGTTGCTGATGTTGCTGTTGGTTGTGCTGGGAATGCTGGGAATGCTGCTGTTCATTCTCCTGCTGTTGGTGTTCAGGATTCTGTTGAGGATGCAGCAGTTGTTGCTGTTTGTAGTGATGTTGCCGCCGTTGATACTATTCTTGTTACTGTTGATGCTGTTTTAGTTATTGCTGTTGAAACTAGTTACTACTGTTGAAACTGTTGTTGCTGTTGAAACTGCTGTTGTTGCTGTTGAAACTGCTGTTGTTGCTGTTGAAACTGCTGTTGTTGCTGTTGAAACTGCTGTTGTTGCTGTTGAAACTGCTGTTGTTGCTGTTGAAACTAATTACTACTGTTGAAACTGCTGTTGTTGCTGTTGAAACTGCTGTTGTTGCTGTTGAAACTAGTTACTACTGTTGAAACTGCTGTTGTTGCTGTTGAAACTGCTGTTGTTGCTGTTGAAACTGCTGTTGTTGCTGTTGAAACTGCTGTTGTTGCTGTTGAAACTGCTGTTGTTGCTGTTGAAACTGCTGTTGTTGCTGTTGTTGCTGTTGAAACTGTTGTTGTTGCTGTTGAAACTGCTGTTGTTGCTGTTGAAACTGCTGTTGTTGCTGTTGAAACTGCTGTTGTTGCTGTTGTTGCTGTTGAAACTGCTGTTGTTGCTGTTGAAACTGCTGTTGTTGCTGTTGTTGCTGTTGAAACTGCTGTTGTTGCTGTTGAAACTGCTGTTGTTGCTGTTGAAACTAGTTACTACTGTTGAAACTGCTGTTGTTGCTGTTGAAACTGCTGTTGTTGCTGTTGAAACTGCTGTTGTTGCTGTTGAAACTGCTGTTGTTGCTGTTGAAACTGCTGTTGTTGCTGTTGAAACTGCTGTTGTTGCTGTTGTTGCTGTTGAAACTGCTGTTGTTGCTGTTGAAACTGCTGTTGTTGCTGTTGAAACTGCTGTTGTTGCTGTTGAAACTGCTGTTGTTGCTGTTGAAACTGCTGTTGTTGCTGTTGAAACTGCTGTTGTTGCTGTTGAAACTGCTGTTGTTGCTGTTGAAACTGCTGTTGTTGCTGTTGTTGCTGTTGAAACTGCTGTTGTTGCTGTTGAAACTGCTGTTGTTGCTGTTGTTGCTGTTGAAACTGCTGTTGTTGCTGTTGAAACTGCTGTTGTTGCTGTTGAAACTAGTTACTACTGTTGAAACTGCTGTTGTTGCTGTTGAAACTGCTGTTGTTGCTGTTGAAACTGCTGTTGTTGCTGTTGAAACTGCTGTTGTTGCTGTTGAAACTGCTGTTGTTGCTGTTGAAACTGCTGTTGTTGCTGTTGTTGCTGTTGAAACTGTTGTTGTTGCTGTTGAAACTGCTGTTGTTGCTGTTGAAACTGCTGTTGTTGCTGTTGAAACTGCTGTTGTTGCTGTTGTTGCTGTTGAAACTGCTGTTGTTGCTGTTGAAACTGCTGTTGTTGCTGTTGTTGCTGTTGAAACTGCTGTTGTTGCTGTTGAAACTGCTGTTGTTGCTGTTGAAACTAGTTACTACTGTTGAAACTGCTGTTGTTGCTGTTGAAACTGCTGTTGTTGCTGTTGAAACTGCTGTTGTTGCTGTTGAAACTGCTGTTGTTGCTGTTGAAACTGCTGTTGTTGCTGTTGAAACTGCTGTTGTTGCTGTTGTTGCTGTTGAAACTGCTGTTGTTGCTGTTGAAACTGCTGTTGTTGCTGTTGAAACTGCTGTTGTTGCTGTTGAAACTGCTGTTGTTGCTGTTGAAACTGCTGTTGTTGCTGTTGAAACTGCTGTTGTTGCTGTTGAAACTGCTGTTGTTGCTGTTGAAACTGCTGTTGTTGCTGTTGTTGCTGTTGAAACTGCTGTTGTTGCTGTTGAAACTGCTGTTGTTGCTGTTGTTGCTGTTGAAACTGCTGTTGTTGCTGTTGAAACTGCTGTTGTTGCTGTTGAAACTAGTTACTACTGTTGAAACTGCTGTTGTTGCTGTTGAAACTGCTGTTGTTGCTGTTGAAACTGCTGTTGTTGCTGTTGAAACTGCTGTTGTTGCTGTTGAAACTGCTGTTGTTGCTGTTGAAACTGCTGTTGTTGCTGTTGTTGCTGTTGAAACTGTTGTTGTTGCTGTTGAAACTGCTGTTGTTGCTGTTGAAACTGCTGTTGTTGCTGTTGAAACTGCTGTTGTTGCTGTTGTTGCTGTTGAAACTGCTGTTGTTGCTGTTGAAACTGCTGTTGTTGCTGTTGTTGCTGTTGAAACTGCTGTTGTTGCTGTTGAAACTGCTGTTGTTGCTGTTGAAACTAGTTACTACTGTTGAAACTGCTGTTGTTGCTGTTGAAACTGCTGTTGTTGCTGTTGAAACTGCTGTTGTTGCTGTTGAAACTGCTGTTGTTGCTGTTGAAACTGCTGTTGTTGCTGTTGAAACTAATTACTACTGTTGAAACTGCTGTTGTTGCTGTTGAAACTGCTGTTGTTGCTGTTGAAACTGCTGTTGTTGCTGTTGAAACTGCTGTTGTTGCTGTTGAAACTGCTGTTGTTGCTGTTGAAACTGCTGTTGTTGCTGTTGAAACTGCTGTTGTTGCTGTTGAAACTGCTGTTGTTGCTGTTGAAACTGCTGTTGTTGCTGTTGAAACTGCTGTTGTTGCTGTTGAAACTGCTGTTGTTGCTGTCCAGTCTGGCCGAAGCCCAGGAGGTCCTCAATGAAGTGATGCGTGTGTTGAAGGCCAAACAAGACCAGCTGGCCGAGGTGGAGAAGCAAATCAAAGGCCTACAGGCTATCTTCGACAAGAGCCTGGCCGAGAAGAAAGGCCTGGAGCGTAGCATGGCCGTCACGGCCGCCAGGCTCAAACGCTCGTCTAAACTGACCACAGCTTTAGCTGACGAACAGGTGCACGCTTTTTTTTACCTCTGTCACTGGGTGTGTTTCTGTCACTAGAATGATGGGCTATAAGAAGAACGAGCCGACCCGCGGCGTATCATACGCCGCTATTTAGTTGTTTTATTTTCTACTTTTCAGTAATTCATAATTTGTGAATTCGACAGTACCAATGCTGCCACTGAAAATATTTGCTTTTAAACACTAACCCCGCCCCCCTTCCCCCAACCCCTACCCTAACCCCCCCCCCCCCCCCCCCGTGAAAGCAGCCTCCACTTAGTTACCTCCTCTAAGTTTAAAATCGTTACAAACTAAATTATCTGCCCCTAATAGCCGTCACTAAACCCGGCTCTATGTTTGTAAACATTTACCGTGACCACAGCTCACCATACCATGTGGTGGGTGGGGGTGGTAGTGATAGAGAGGAAGAGAGGGGACTGCAAGGCGCGCTTGCAGCTTGTTTTCTAACGTCTCCCAGAAGAGAATTATATATAGAGATAATGTGTTTCTGACGGCTGTAACTATATTGTGTTTCTAACTTCTGTGACTAGAACGACGTGTTTCTGTGATTAGAATGATGAGCTTTAAGAAGAACGACGTGTTTCTGACTGCTGTGACTAGAACGACGTGTTTCTAACTTCTGTGACTAGAACGATGTGTGTGACTGCTGTGACTAGAACGATCTGTTTCTGTGATTAGAATGATGAGCTTTAAGAAGAACGTTGTGTTTATGACCACTCCAATAAGGTCCGGTGGGAGGAGAGTGTGGCTAGCTACAACGAACAGCTGAACAACGTGGTGGGGGACGTCTTCCTGGCAGCCGCCTGTGTGGCCTACTACGGTGCCTTCACCTCCACATACAGGCATGACCTGGTTGAAGGTGAGGGAGACACGGATGTCACGGGGGGGGGGGGGAATAATGGACTGTCACGTGGGGGGAGACACGGACTGTCTGGTGGGGGGGGGCGGGACATGGGCTGTCACATGGGGGGGGGCGTATGGGCTGTCACGTGACGGGTGAGGAGGGGGCTGTCACGTGGCGGGGGAGGGGGCGCTGTCACGTGGGGGAACATGAGCTGTCACGTGTGGTTCAGCTCAGTCATGGGTTCAATCATGAAATAGCTGTCACATTTGTTCTTTGATTTTATTCACATTAGTGATAACTTAAACAGATATTTCTAGAGACGAGGTAAGAGACTTTGAGCGAAACAATCCATGTGTGTTATCTGTCCGTAGAGTGGACCAACCGACTGGCTACCCTGCACATCCCGGTCACCAAGAACATGACGCTGGTGTCAGTGCTGGCTGACGCCATAGAGATCCGACAGTGGAACGCGGACGGGCTGCCCAAAGACCAGGTGTCCATCGAGAACGCCATTCTCGTCACCAGAGGCCGGCGCTGGCCGCTGATGATTGACCCACAGGAGCAGGTCGGTGCCTCCTCTCTGGCTCAGTCTTTAGTCAGGGGCGGGGGGGGGGGGGGGGTGGAGGGGGCAGTTGGTGTTTATAGAGGGTGACAGTTGGTGTTTATAGAGAGTTGCAGTTGGTGTGTATAGAGGGTGACAGTTGGTGTGTATAGAGGGTGACAGTTGGTAATTATAGAGGGTGACAGTTGGTATGTATTAAGGTGAGGGTGGTATTCTGTATGTGCTGGGGGTTGCCTTAATATTCAACCACTCAATGCTGCAAAGAACTATATGACAGAGAACTATATGACAGAGAACTATATGACAGAGAACTATATAACAGAGAACTACATGACAGAGAACTACATGACAGAGAACTACATGACAGAGAACAACATGACAGAGAACTACATGACAGAGAACAATATGACAGAGAACTATATGACAGAGAACTATATGACAGAACCATATGACAGAGAACTACATGACAGAAAACTATCTAACAGAGAACTACATGACAGAGAACAACATGACAGAGAACTATATAACAGAGAACTATATGACAGAGAACTATCTAACAGAGAACTTTATGACAGAGAACTATATAACAGAGAACTATATGACAGAGAACCATATGACTTGTCTCCCCTTCAGGCCAACCGCTGGATCCGGAACAAAGAGGCGAGCAACAAGCTGAAGATCGTCAAGATGACGGACAACAACTTCCTGCGGACGCTAGAGGCCTGTATCCGTACGGGGATTCCCATCCTGCTGGAGGATGTTGGCGAGGTGCTGGATCCAGCCCTGGAGCCGGTCTTGTTGAAGCAGACCTTTATCCAGGTAACTTGGCCGGTCTTGTTGAAGCAGACCTTTATCCAGGTAACATGCAGGGGATGGGGTAGGTGCAGGTAACATGCAGGGACCGGTCTTGTTGAAGCAGACCTTTATCCAGGTAACTTGCAGGGGATGGGGTAGGTGCAGGTAACATGCAGGGGCCGGTCTTGTTGAAGCAGACCTTTATCCAGGTAACTTGGCCGGTCTTGTTGAAGCAGACCTTTATCCAGGTAACATGCAGGGGATGGGGTAGGTGCAGGTAACATGCAGGGACCGGTCTTGTTGAAGCAGACCTTTATCCAGGTAACTTGCAGGGGATGGGGTAGGTGCAGGTAACATGCAGGGACCGGTCTTGTTGAAGCAGACCTTTATCCAGGTAACTTGCAGGGGATGGGGTAGGTGCAGGTAACATGCAGGGACCGGTCTTGTTGAAGCAGACCTTTATCCAGGTAACTTGCAGGGGATGGGGTAAATGCAGGTAACTTGGAGCTGATGGGGTAGGTGCAGGTAGCATGGAGCTCATGGGGTAGGTGCAGGTAACATGCAGGGGATGGGGTAGGTGCAGGTAACATGGAGCTGATGAGGTAGGTACAGGTAACATGCAGCTCATGGGGTAGGTCAGGTAACATGGAGCTCATGGGGTAGGTCAGGTAACATAGAGCTCATGGGGTAGGTACCCAAAGTAAACAACACCAAGCGAGACACCTGTGTAAGATGTAAATGTTGACACCGTCGTCTGCTTCACTCTAGGGCGGTCGTCTGCTCATCCGGCTAGGTGACAGCGACATCGATTACGACAAGAACTTTCGGTTTTACCTGACGACGAAACTGTCCAACCCCCATTACCTGCCCGAGGTGTGCATCAAGGTGACCATCATCAACTTCACAGTCACCAAGAAAGGGCTGGAGGACCAACTGCTCAGGTATCTGAACTTTACCTTAAGGATAGGTATCTGAACTTTACCTTCAGGATAGGTATCTGAACTTTACATTAAGGATAGGTATCTGAACTTTACCTTAAGGATAGGTATCTGAACTTTACCTTAAGGATAGGTATCTGAACTTTACCTTCAGGATAGGTATCTGAACTTTACATTAAGGATAGGTATCTGAACTTTACCTTAAGGATAGGTATCTGAACTTTACCTTAAGGATAGGTATCTGAACTTTACCTTCAGGATAGGTATCTGAACTTTACATTAAGGATAGGTATCTGAACTTTACCTTAAGGATAGGTATCTGAACTTTACCTTAAGGACAGGTATCTGAACTTTACCTTTAGGATAGGTATCTGAACTTTACTTTAAGGATAGGTATCTGAACTTTACCTTCAGGATAGGTATCTGAACTTTACTTTAAGGATAGGTATCTGAACTTTACCTTAAGGATAGGTATCTGAACTTTACCTTAAAGATAGGTATCTGAACTTTACCTTAAGGATAGGTATCACCCTAAAAGTGACATTTCTTTATGAACATAAGAGGCGGTGATTTTACACCATCACTGAGCATATGAATATATAGGTAAGAAAGTTCATTCCAATTTTGTGCGACTTTGAAAAGACCTTGAGAATGACAACACTTTCTATCTTCGTAACATATTTATGTGCACGATTATGAAAAAATTGACATTATTTAAGAACTGAAAATTTGAAATGCCTGCATTAGGCATTGAAATAAAACCCTTTACATGCATTAAAATTTCATTAGCAATGCCTGTTTCCTCATGTTCAGCTGCTTATAGTACACACAATTATTAAAATTCGTAAAAAAAATTATCTAATTAAAAAATGCTTCATTTTTAATTGGATAAACTATCGGGTATCCATCGTTATTTAAAAAATTACTTGAGCCACTCCTAATTAACATTTTTTTAAAGATAATTATTGGTAGAAAATGTTTATAAAAGGTTAGTTTGATTGAGCATACAAAAAATGTTTTTTTTAAATTATTAATTTTGGGTGAAACCTGTTAATTGAGCAGAGTTTTTTCCAGGCATCTCTTCGGGAGTGCAGAGCCCCCCACCCCCCCCCCCCCCCCCCCACCCCGGAACGAAATGGAATTTATACAGAAAATATATACATTTAACAGTGTCCACCCCCCGGAGAAAGTCTACCGCCCCCCCCCCCCCCCCGAAAATTTCAAGTGCCCCCCCCCCCCCCTCCCCGGAGAAAAAAGTCTTGAAGAAACACTGTACTTGAGTACCTCGACTTTACCTGAATTCGGTTAGAATCGAATATTGGACGAAAAGATCTTAAACAAATATATTGCGTGTTAGAAGATATCTGCACCAATACGAATTTTTTTAAACAAAGCCTCGTCGCATAACGATTCTCTATGTAAAGATATTATAATCAACTTTTTTCTCTTCTAACTAAAGTTCTTTCTTGGTTTTATCTAACCCACCTAAACAATGGCATTATTATGACCGCCACCCACCTAAAGCATGACGTCATTGTGACCGCCACCCACCTAAAGCATGACGTCATTGTGTCCACAGTGACGTGGTAAGCCTGGAGAGGCCTGACCTGGAGGAACAGAGGAACGAGCTGATCCTGAGGATAAACGCGGACAAGAACCAGCTGCTGGCCATTGAAGACAAGATCCTCAAGCTTTTGTTTGAGTCTGAGGGCAACATCCTGGACAATGAGGAGCTCATCAACACTCTCAACGACTCCAAGGTGTGGGCTTTATGTCATCAAGATCTTACAGTGTTTCATATGTTACAGAGTGCTGTGTGTTTAATTAATGTCGCCCTGTTTCATATGTTACAGTGTGCTGTGTGTTTAATTAATGTCGCCCTGTTTCATATGTTACAGTGTGCTGTGTGTTTAATTAATGTCGCCCTGTTTCATATGTTACAGTGTGCTGTGTGTTTAATTAATGTCACTCTGTTTCATATGATACAGTGTGCTTAATTAATCCCACTCTGTTTCATATGTTACAATGTGCTTAATTAATCTCACCCTGTTTCATATGTTACAGTGTGCTTAGTTAATGTTTCCCATGTTTAGATGTTACAGTGTGCTGTATGGTTAATGAGGTACACAAGTGTTGATTGCTTACATTAGCCGATAAACCTGCGCTAATGCTGTGATCCCACAGGTCACTTCCGCTGTGATCAAACAACGATTGGCTGAATCCGAAACGACGGAGGAGAAAATTAGCGTGGCTCGAGAAAAGTATCGCTGTGTGGCTGAGCGGGGATCGGTCATGTACTTCGTGGTTTCTGACATGGGAGAGGTGGACCCCATGTATCAGTTCTCTCTCAAGTACTTCAAACAGGTGCCTATGTCTGCTGGTCGCATCATCATCTCTTGACTTTCATTTTTATTGTCTGGGCCCTTCAAGCAAAAATTGTAGGGGACCAATACCTTGTCGGGCTAAATCCAAAACTGTCCAATTTAAAATGACGCTATATAATCGATTCTGTCCACATAAATTGTATGCGAGACGTGCAGCTAACCCTACAATCTCAACTTCCATATCTCGCATGTGTTAAAAAACACGATATTAACATGTAGCTAGCCCTATAATATCAACTTCTGTATCTCGCAGTTGTTCAACAACACGATATTAACGTGTAGCTAGCCCTATAATATCAACTTCCGTATCTCGCATTTGTTCAACAAAACGATATTAACGTGTAGCTAGCCCTATAATATCAACTTCCGTATCTCGCGTTTGTTCAAAAACTGGATATTAGCGTGTAGCTAGCCCTATAATATCAACTTCCGTATCTCGCAGTTGTTCAACAACACTATATCAACCAGCGAAAAATCTGAAGAATTGAGCGAGCGACTGATCATTTGTCTAAACGAAACGACGATGTGTATTTACAAAAATGTTGCCAGGTAAGTGAGTGTGTTTTTGCAAGAAACTGGCCAGATTTCTAATGCATTGTGCTGCCAAATATAGTTAGATGACGTTGACAAGCACTATGAGGGACATGAATGAAACTGGTGAGGATATTTGGATGGGATGACGGTATTAGTGCATGTTTTTGTTTCTATGGACATATATCAGAACTCTCCAAGTGTATCGGGTCTTCGTTGTATTGCCTAAACTCCGAGTTGTATGTAAAAGTTAAATACTTTAAACATCTTTTAAACTTTGTAAACAACAAATAAACTCCGCCATTTTGTCTGGCCACACGACCCAAACACCATTGTTATCTCCCCTGGCCACACAAACACCATTGTTATCTCCCCTGGCCACACAAACACCATTGTTATCTCCCCTGGCCACACAAAACACCATTGTTATCTCCCATGGTCACACAACACAAATAGCATTGTTATCTCCCCTGGCCACACAACCCAGTACACCATTGTTATCTCCCCTGGCCACACAAAACACCATTGTTATCTCCCCTGGCCACACAAAACACCATTGTTATCTCCCCTGGCCACACAACACACACCATTGTTATCTCCCCTGACCACACAACCCAGTACACCATTGTTATCTCCCCTGGCCACACAAACACCATTGTTATCTCCCCTGGCCACACAACACACCATTGTTATCTCCCCTGACCACACAATGCACCATTGTTATCTCCCCTGGCCACACAATACACCATTGTTATCTCCCCTGACCACACAATACACCATTGTTATCTCCCCTGGCCACACAACCCAGTACACCATTGTTATCTCCCCTGGCCACACAACCCAGTACACCATTGTTATCGCCCCTGGCCACACAACACAAACACCATTGTTATCCTCCCTTTCCACACAACACAAACACCATTGTTATCTCCCCTGGCCACACAACACAAACACCATTGTTATCTCCCCTGGCCACACAACACACCATTGTTATCTCCCCTGACCACACAATACACCATTGTTATCTCCCCTGGCCACACAACCCAGTACACCATTGTTATCTCCCCTGGCCACACAATTCACCATTGTTATCTCCCTTGGCCACACAATACACCATTGTTATCTCCCCTCGTCCCCAGAGGACTGTTTGAGAAACACAAGCTGGTCTTTTCCTTCCTGCTCTGCTCGGAGATCATGAAGACAGAGGGGATGATAACTCCACTCGAGTGGAACTTTTTCCTCAGGGGCCCGCTTGGTGGACTCGATAAGGTGGGTAGGTGGCACGAATGGTGAGACAGGCAGGTGACACGAATGGTGAGACAGGCAGTTGACACGAATGGTGAGACAGATAGGTGACACGAATGGTGAGACAGGCAGGTGGCACGAATGGTGAGACAGGCAGGTGACACGAATGGTGAGACAGGCAGGTGACACGAATGGTGAGACAGATAGGTGACACGAATGGTGAGACAGGCAGGTGGCACGAATGGTGAGACAGGCAGGTGACACGAATGGTGAGACAGGCAGGTGACACGAATGGTGAGACAGATAGGTGACACGAATGGTGAAACAGGCAGGTGCAAGCATGGTGAGACAGACAGGTGACACGAATCTTGAGACAGACAGGTAACACGAATGGTGAGACAGACAGGTGACACGAATGGTGAGACAGACAGGTAACACGAATGGTGAGACAGACAGGTGACACGAATGGTGAGACAGATAGGTGACACGAATGGTGAGACAGACAGGTAACACGAATGGTGAGATAGACAGGTGACACGAATGGTGAGACAGGCAGGTGACACGAATGGTGAGATAGACAGGTGGCACGAATGGTGAGACAGACAGGTGACACGAATGGTGAGGCAGACAGGTGACACGAATGGTGAGACAGACATGTGACACGAATGGTGAGACAGGCAGGTGACACGAATCTTGAGGCAGACAGGTAACACGAATGGTGAGACAGACAGGTGACACGAATGGTGAGACAGACAGGTGACACGAATGGTGAGACAGACAGGTGACACGAATGGTGAGACAGGCAGGTGACACGAATGGTGAGACAGGCAGGTGACACGAATGGTGAGACAGGCAGGTGACACGAATGGTGAGACAGATAGGTGACACGAATGGTGAGACAGACAGGTAACACGAATGGTGAGACAGACAGGTGACACGAATGGTGAGACAGGCAGGTGACACGAATGGTGAGATAGACAGGTGGCACGAATGGTGAGACAGACAGGTGACACGAATGGTGAGGCAGACAGGTGACACGAATGGTGAGACAGACATGTGACACGAATGGTGAGACAGGCAGGTGACACGAATCTTGAGGCAGACAGGTAACACGAATGGTGAGACAGACAGGTGACACGAATGGTGAGACAGACAGGTGACACGAATGGTGAGACAGACAGGTGACACGAATGGTGAGACAGGCAGGTGACACGAATGGTGAGACAGGCAGGTGACACGAATGGTGAGACAGATAGGTGACACGAATGATGAGACAGAAAGGTGACACTAATGGTGAGGCAGACAGGTGACACGAATGGTGAGACAGACAGGGGACACAAATGGTGAGACAGACAATTGACACGAATGATGAGACAGAAAGGTGACACGAATGGTGAGGCAGGCAGGTGGAATGAGTGGTGAGACAGACAGGTGACACGAATGGTGAAACTGGCAGGGGCACAAATGATGAGAAATGTAGGTGATAGAAATGGTGAGACAGAAAGGTAATACGAGTAATTGCAAATGCTGATATGAATGGTAATACGGCTAATGCAAAGGGTGAGACAGACAGGTAACCCCTACTGTGAATATGAGTTGAGCTTGACCTGTAGCACGTGATGACCCGCTGAACGTCTTGCAGCAACAAACGCCCAAGCCTGACCGCACGGACTGGCTGCCGCTGACCACATGGAAGATGGCGTGTGAGCTGAGTGAAGCCTTCGAGTGCTTTAAGGGCATCCACACAGATCTGGTGCTCACTCCCGTCTGGATCAAGATGGGGGAAACGATTGAGGTCAGGTCATAGGTCAAGGTGGGGGAACTATTGAGGTCAGGTCATAGGTCCAGGTGGGGGAAACGATTGAGGTCAGGTCATAGGTCAAGGTGGGGAAAACTATTGAGGTCAGGTCATAGGTCAAGGTGGGGAAAACTATTGAGGTCAGGTCATAGGTCAAGGTGGGGGAACTATTGAGGTCAGGTCATAGGTCAAGGTGGGGGGAAACTATTGAGGTCAGGTCATAGGTCAAGGTGGGGAAAACTATTAAGGTCAGGTCATAGGTCAAGGTGGGGGAAACTATTGAGGTCAGGTCATAGGTCAAGGTGGGGGATAGGTCAAGGTGGTGGAGCTATTGAGGTTAGGTCATAGGTCAAGGTGGGGGAAACTATTGAGGTCAGGTCATAGGTCAAGGTGGGGGAACTATTGAGGTCAGGTCATAGGTCAAGGTGGGGAAAACTATTGAGGTCAGGTCATAGGTCAAGGTGGGGAAAACTATTGAGGTCAGGTCATAGGTCAAGGTGGTGGAACTATTGAGGTCAGGTCATAGGTCAAGGTGGGGGGAAACTATTGAGGTCAGGTCATAGGTCAAGGTGGGGAAAACTATTAAGGTCAGGTCATAGGTCAAGGTGGGGGAAACTATTGTGGTCAGGTCATAGGTCAAGGTGGGGGATAGGTCAAGGTGGTGGAGCTATTGAGGTTAGGTCATAGGTCAAGGTGGGGAAAACTATTGAGGTCAGGTCAGGGTTAGAGAAACTATTGAGGTAAGTTCAGGGTCATGAGGTAAGGTCACGCCTCCGATGATCGACAGGTTTGATCTCATGTAGAGGTCAATTTCACCACATGATGACACACGCTATTGTCAATCGCTGTTGTCATTAGTTGACTGGTGTCACGAGATCCAAGTTTATTCACTCTATTATCCCACCCCCCTCCCCCACACACATCCACACACCCTTTCAGGTGGCAGCGAACCCACCAGGTAACAAGTTCCACTACAGTGTGTATGAACCCACACCCACCCCACACCCTCACACTTTCAGGTGGCAGCAAACCCACCAGGTAACAAGTTCCACTATAGTGTGTATGAACCACCACCCACACACACTCACACCCCACACCCCCACACTTTCAGGTGGCAGCAAACCCACCAGGTAACAAGTTCCACTATAGTGTGTATGAACCACCACCCACTCACACCCCACACACCCACACTTTCAGGTGGCAGCAAACCCACCAGGTAACAAGTTCCACTATAGTGTGTATGAACCCCCACCTTACAAAGAGGGAGACAAGTCCACTACATCACAAGCTAACGGCCACTGGGACGAGCGGTTGACAAACTTTCAGAAACTCATGTTCGTGAGGGTCTTCAGGGAAGAGATGGTCAGTTTCTTGTTTGTTTGATTAGTTCATTGCTTGTTTGTTCAATTGCTTGTTCAATCAATTGCTTGTTTAGTCTCTAGTTTGTTTGGTTATGATAATTTTGACTTGACTGTACTTTAATCTATTGTAACATTGCATATAAACAAATCATTGGCTGATTAAATGACATGAACTGTGTACAGACCACGCTAGCCATCACAGAGTTCGTGGCACAAAGTCTGGGTAAAGAATTCGTTGAGAGCCCGCCCGTCGCCTTGCCGGAACTGTACGAGAACATGTCCAAGGTGACGCCCCTGGTGTTTGTACTGTCCTCAGGCTCTGACCCCATGGGCGCTTTCTTGAGGTTCGCTAAGGAGATGGATGTACAGGACATGTAAGTGTCTTACGTGTGTGGGCGGGGCTGTATTGTGGGAAGGGTTGTGGTGTGGGAGGGGCTGTGTTGTGGGCGGGGCTGTATTGCGGGAGGGGTTGTATTGTAGGAGGGGTAATTATTGTGGGCGGGGCTGTATTGTGGGAGGGGTTGTGTTGTGGGAGGGTCTGTATCGTGGGAGGGGTTATGTTGTGGGAGGGGCTGTATTGTGGGAGGGGTTATGTTGTGGTATTGGCTGTATTGTGGGAGGGGTTGTATAGTGGGAGGGGTTGTGGTGTGTGTGTGGGGGGGGGGGTTGTGTCACCCGCTCATCAAAGAATGTGAAAGGGTTGGTATTCTATAATTATTTAACACCGGGGGAAAAGTACATGAAATGTACGAATTGAGTAAAACAGAATGGATAGCGAGAATAACATAAAAGAGTCGATTGTTTATTTTCTTTTAGTGTCAAGTCGATTTCTCTGGGTCAAGGTCAAGGTCCAGTGGCTGATAAAATGATCAAATCAGCCACGAAGAATGGAGAGTGGGTGTTTTTACAGGTAGAACTTCATCGATTGCCGAACCTAGTCGAGTCTTTAATACATTATGTTGTCATTTGTTAGTCTCTAGAGCTTGTATCACCTGTATTTAGAGCTTGTATCCCCTGTCTTTACACCTTGTATCTCCTGTCTCTAGACCTTGTATCTTCTGTCTAGACCTTGTATCCTCTGTCTTTAGACCTTGTATCCCCTGTCTTTAGACCTTGTATCACCTGTCTAGAGCTTGTATCCTCTGTCTTTATACCTTGTATCTTCTGTCTTTAGACCTTGTATCTCCTGTCTCTAGACCTTGTATCCCCTGTCTTTACACCTTGTATCCCCTGTCTTTAGACCTTGTATCTCCCGTCTATAGACCTTGTATCCCCTGTCTTTAGACCTTATATCTCCCGTCTATAGAACTGCCACCTGGCGGCCTCATGGATGCTCTCAATGGAGAACATCATCAAGAACATACAAGAATTCCCGTCGCCGATCCACCAAAATTTCCGGCTCTTCCTGTCGTCCATGCCGGCCAAGCACTTCCCGGTCAGTGTCCTTCAGAACAGTGTCAAGGTCACCAACGAGCCGCCTAAAGGCATCAGGGCCAACCTGCGCAGGGCCTTCGCTGATATGACCATCAAATTCTTTGACGATCACCGTAAGGCCCACAGACCTCGTTGTCCTGTGTTGTATCACGTCACACACCACCAAACATGTCGTTGTGGTCTAGCTGTAGAAAATACATCAGCTTGTTCAATATGAGTATTTTATCCACCTGGAGCATATAAACACAGACACACACACACACAGACACACACACACACACACAGACACACACAGACACACGCTGCATGCCACAAATAACAGATTTAAAATTAGCTCAAAGTTAATTACGGTTATATTTGAGTCCATTCTGAAAACGTTACCGGATATAACGTCATCCCATGACGTCACTTGATCTCCTGTTTCAGCTCTGGGACAGGACTGGCGAAAAATTATCTTTGGCATCTGTTTCTTCCACGCGGTCATTCTAGAGAGGAAAAAGTTCGGCCCTTTGGGGTGGAATATTACGGTAAATGTCTGAATTAATAACCTACCTTAAAATTGTTAATATAATATATATTATAACTTTTTTTCAATTTTAATGTTTAGGCTTTTAAAATTCTCGTATGAAATGTTTTCTTCATTTGTATTGTTTGTTTGGTTTCACATTTATTTCTATTTTAGTAAATTTGAAATAACCTAAAGTCTAAAGCAAGAATTTGTCATTAGCCTAATACGGCACACGAATGACATACTCGAACGTCGATATTTTCATTCATCGTTCTATATATTTACATGCGACCTATGTATGTAGGTTATTCATTCATTTCTCTTGTACGTCATTGTTTCGCAGTACGCTTTCAGCGACAGCGACAGAGAATGTGCCTTGCTAAATATGGAAATGTTTTGTAAAGACGGTTACATCCCTTGGGACACTCTCATTTATATAACAGGGGAGGTAAGGCCATGTTTACCTTCATCAATTTTCAATCACGTAGTCTACAGCTAAAATGATATCTAAGAAATCTTGATTTTTTTTAAAAATAGCTTTTTCTCAATGAGGATATTTTTTAAAATGTGTTCATGTTATGTTTAATTAACAAGATATACATACTACTAGGCCTACATACATAGGCCTGTCACTCCACCTCTTTGCTGAACATGATTTTTTAAAATATGAGGTTATTTTGTAGCCTTAATGTTTGTTTTTACTGACATTGCTATCTACCTGAATAAAAGTTTCCTCCTAAACCCAAACCAAATTGTGAACTATTAAATAGTGTAACATCTCTACAGGCTCCCAAGCTGAACGTAATCTTCCATTTGATTTGTTGACAGATAACGTATGGAGGGCGAGTCACTGACGCACAGGACCAGCGCTGTCTCCGCACCATCCTCAAACTGTTTTTTAAACCCGACACGCTCAAGCCCAAATACAAGTACTCAGAGTCAGGTTAGGTCTTGTAATAGATATCTGTGTCAAAGTTCAGCAGTTTTTTTCTAGCAGGCCAATATGTGGCGTGTGTCTTGGTGGGCCCAGATGGCCTGCTGTCCACCTGTGGACAAATTATAAATGTCTAATTATGTATCCCTTATAAGAATACACTATCCACCAATATCAAATTATAAATGTCTAATTATGTATCCCTTATAACAGGGGTCTCCAAACTTTTCAGTCCGAGGGCCGCATCAACTATCAAATTTCAGTTCGGGGGCCAGTTTCTTCCAGATATGTTTTGATTTTTCTGGAGAAAGTTCTTTAGTCATCACCAACAAACGTTTTTCAGTGGACAAAAAGATCTCCGCGGGCCGGATGAGGGGACATTGCGGGCCGCATTCGGCCCGCGGGCCGTAGTTTGGAGACCCCTGCCTTATAAGAATACACTATCCACCAATATCAAATTATAAATGTCTAATTATGTATCCCTTATAAGAATACACTATCCACCCATATCAAATTATAAATATATAATTATGTATCCCTTATAGGAATATACTATCCACCCATATCAAATTATAAATATATAATTATGTATCCCTTATAGGAATATACTATCCACCCATATCAAATTATAAATGTATAATTCTGTATCCCTTATAGGAATATACTATCCACCCATATCAAATTATAAATGTATAATTATGTATCCCTTATAGGAATATACTATCCACCCATATCAAATTATAAATATATAATTATGTATCCCTTATAGGAATATACTATCCACCCATATCAAATTATAAATGTCTAATTCTGTATCCCTTATAGGAATATACTATCCACCCATATCAAATTATAAATGTATAATTATGTATCCCTTATAGGAATATACTATCCACCCATATCAAATTATAAATATATAATTATGTATCCCTTATAGATATATACTATCCACCCATATCAAATTATAAATATATAATTATGTATCCCTTATAGGAATATACTATCCACCCATATCAAATTATAAATGTCTAATTATGTATCCCTTATAGCAGGGGTCTCCAAACTTTTCAGTCCGAGGGCCACATTAACTATCAAATTTCAGTTCGGGGGCCAGTTTCTTCCAGAAATGTCTTTGAATTCTCTGGGCAAAGTTCCTCCGCCATCACCAACAAACGTTTTTTCCGTGGACAAAATGATCTCCGCGGGCCGGATGAGAGGACATCGCGGGCCGCCTTCGGCCCGCGGGCCGTAGTTTGTAGACCCCTGCCTTATAGGAATATACTATCCCCCCATATCCAATTATAAATATATAATTATGTATGTCTTCTAGGAATATACTATCCACCCATGAACAAGACTTTGGCTTCACTAAAAACCTATGTTGAATCTCTCCCCATTATTGATGAGCCTGAAATTTTTGGCCTTCATGAAAATGCAAACATCGCTTTCCAGATGAATGAAACTCATGCATTAATTGGTAATTTAAATTTAATCATCAGTTGTAATTTATAGCACTAGTTGTAATTTTACTGTTGTTTGTATGTCTGCTCTACCTTATCTAGGCACAATTTTACTGTTGTTTGTATGTTTGTATGTTTGTATGTCTGCTCTACCTTATCTAGGCACAATTTTACTGTTGTTTGTATGTTTGTATGTCTGCTCTACCTTATCTAGGCACAATTTTACTGTTGTTTGTATGTTTGTATGTCTGCTCTACCTTATCTAGGCACAATTTTACTGTTGTTTGTATGTTTGTATGTCTGCTCTACCTTATCTAGGCACAATTTTACTGTTGTTTGTATGTTTGTATGTCTGCTCTACCTTATCTAGGCACAATTTTACTGTTGCTTGTATGTTTGTATGTTTGCTCTACCTTATCTAGGCACAATTTTACTGTTGTTTGTATGTCTGCTCTACCTTATCTAGGCACAATTTTAGAAGTCCAGCCACGCGTGTCAGGCGACGACACAGGGATGTCAAATGACGACATCGCATTCGATCTGGCTGAAAACATTCTGGAGAGGTTGATGGATAAACTGGATATTGATGAAGCTGATCCTCAAATGTTTGTCGTATGTACTAAACACACTTTGTGTTGAGGGAATGATATTGATGAAGCTGATCCTCAAATGTTTGTCGTATGTACTAAACACACTTTGTGTTGAAGGAATGACAATGGGTGTTGTTACAGAAATACCTTTTAAAATTACCAATACCAAATCTTCTTTCAAAACTTTTGTTATTGTAAATTGTAAATAATTTTCAAGCATATTAAAGCAGGTGAAGAAAGAGTTAATTGATGAAGTCAGTAATTCAAAGGAATTATCGCTACCATTTTAAAATCATTTCATTTTTTAATGGTTGGTTGGATTTATTTATTTAACCAAAAAAAAATTCCAACAGACCTATTCATAGTTTTAACATTATCCTTTCACGTTTTCCAAATCTTGTAATTACCTGCCACTACTGAATGCTGCCAAAGACTGATGTCAAAGGTCGTCTAAATTCATTAACTGTTGTGTTGTCACAAGAAACAGACAGATTCAACAGACTTCTCTTAGTTATAAAGGTACAGTTTATAGACAGATTCAACAGACTTCTCTTAGTTATAAAGGTACAGTTTACACAGACAGATTCAACAGACTTCTCTTAGTTATAAAGGTACAGTTTATAGACAGATTCAACAGACTTCTCTTAGTTATAAAGGTACAGTTTACACAGACAGATTCAACAGACTTCTCTTAGTTATAAAGGTACAGTTTACAGACAGATTCAACAGACTTCTCTTAGTTATAAAGGTACAGTTTACACAGACAGATTCAACAGACTTCTCTTAGTTATAAAGGTACAGTTTACACAGACAGATTCAACAGACTTCTCTTAGTTATAAAGGTATAGTTTACACAGACAGATTCAACAGACTTCTCTTAGTTATAAAAGTACAGTTCACAGACAGATTCAACAGACTTCTCTTAGTTATAAAGGTACAGTTTACAGACAGGTTCAACAGACTTCGCTTAGTTATAAAAAGGTACTCGGTCCAATCATAAAAGTTATAGTGCAAAAATATAGTTGAGTCATTTTCTTACAGCATTTATAAATAAGATGACATCCCACTTAAAACCTTTATTTACCTAAATGGTTAAGAACATAGTAAAGCCTGTCATGGTTAATTATTTTCAGAACTCACTTCATCAGTTAAAGAAAGCAATCAAAGGGTTTGTAGTAATGAGTGAGGAGCTAGAAACTGTTTACAATTCGTTTCTAAACAATCAGGTCAGTAAATATTCCAAGTAAAAAAAAAAAAATTTGTTTTAAATCTTCCGCAGTAAGCCTACTCTCTTAAAAAAAAGACAAATGTAAAAACTAAGAGTTGATGTTCAATGCTTGACCAGGTTCCATCTGTGTGGGCCAGAGCAGCTTATCCTTCACTCAAAAGTCTGGGATCCTGGGTCAAGGACTTAATACTGCGATGTCACTTTATTTACAACTGGATCAAATTAGGACAACCTAAATCTTTTTGGTTGTCTGGATTTTTTTTCCCTCAAGGTATGTTTATATTTGCTTTCATTCACATAGCAGTTGAAGAACTTTTGACAATATATTTTTATTACAGTATTATTTAACATTTTTATAAGAGAATTATCAATATTTAAAACTTTCATCAAATTTCTGACAGTTAAATTTTACAAATTGAATTTACAAAATAAACTCTAGGTTTTTTGACGGGAACACTACAAAACTTTGCCAGGAAATACAACTACCCAATTGATCATCTGAGTTTTAAATTTATTGTAATGCCAATCGCGCGTGACCAGGAGGAAGTCACAGCCCAGATGGCGCAGAAAGGTCCGGAAGAAACAATTCCTCTGGATAATGATGTAAGGAATATTAACTGAGTAACCTTTGTTGTTTAATTCAGAGCAATCTTACACTGAATTTTTTTGTTCTTCAGCAGCTAGAATTTGATGGTGGTGTTCTTGTCTACAGTGGTTCTAAAAATGTTTGTCTTGTCATACAGTGGTTCTAAAAATGTTTGTCTTGTTCTACAGTGGTTCTAAAAATGTTTGTCTTGTCCTACAGTGGTTCTAAAAATGTTTGTCTTGTTCTACAGTGGTTCTAAAAATGTTTGTCTTGTCTATAGTGGTTCTAAAAATGTTTGTCTTGTCTATAGTGGTTCTAAAAATGTTTGTCTTGTTCTACAGTGGTTCTAAAAATGTTTGTCTTGTCTATAGTGGTTCTAAAAATGTTTGTCTTGTTCTACAGTGGTTCTAAAAATGTTTGTCTTGTCTATAGTGGTTCTAAAAATGTTTGTCTTGTCTATAGTGGTTCTAAAAATGTTTGTCTTGTTCTACAGTGGTTCTAAAAATGTTTGTCTTGTCTATAGTGGTTCTAAAAATGTTTGTATTGTCTATAGTGGTTCTAAAAATGTTTGTCTTGTCTATAGTGGTTCTAAAAATGTTTGTCTTGTCCTACAGTGGTTCTAAAAATGTTTGTCTTGTCTACAGTGGTTCTAAAAATGTTTTTTTTGTCTACAGTGGTTCTAAAAATGTTTGTCTTGTTCTACAGTTGCCAAACATTGATGACGGTGTTCTCGTCCATGGACTGTACATGGATGGCTTTGCATGGCATTGGGAAAACATGACAGTGGGAGATCAGATTAAGGGACAGATGAATTCCCCGTAAGATCCAAACCTATTTGAAATGCAGCCATCTTAGGCCTTAAAAATAAATACATTTTTTATTAAATAAACTTCAATTTATGATTTCATGGGAATGAAAGTGAAGACTTGTACAGTGAATATTCTGTTAGTGCAGTGAATGAAAGTGAAGACTTGTAAACTGAATGTTCTGAGGTCCATCCTTGGTTTATGTCTGAATGACTCTCTGTAGCTCTATGTTTCCACCATGCTCAGTTGAATAGCAAATGGTGTCAGTTGACCATTGTTGCCCATACAATCTGTCATTTGATGGAAATATAAGCATATTAACTGTATGTCACCTGCTCATGTTGATTATTACACCTGGAAGTACATTTTTTAATGCTTATTCCAGCCTCCCAGTAATGCACATGGATCCAAGAATGGATTACGAACCAGATTCAGCCCTCTATGCAGCTCCATTGTACAAGACTTCTGCTAGAGCAGGCACTCTGTCCACTACAGGTAGGTCAATTTATTCCTGGCACCTAACTGTAGAGACATCTAAAGTATGTGTCCACTACAGGTAGGTCAATTTATTCCAGGCACCTAACAGTAGAGACATCTAAAGTATGTGTCCACTAAAGGTAGGTCAATTTATTCCAGGCACCTAACAGTAGAGACATCTAAAGTATGTGTCCACTACAGGTAGGTCAATCTATTCCAGGCACCTAACAGTAGAGACATCTCAAGTATGTGTCCACTACAGGTAGGTCAATCTATTCCAGGCACCTAACAGTAGAGACATCTAAAGTATGTGTCCACTACAGGTAGGTCAATCTATTCCAGGCACCTAACAGTAGAGACATCTAAAGTATGTGTCCACTACAGGTAGGTCAATTTATTCCAGGCACCTAACAGTAGAGACATCTAAAGTATGTGTCCACTACAGGTAGGTCAATCTATTCCAGGCACCTAACAGTAGAACCATCTAAAGTATGTGTCCACTAAAGGTAGGTCAATCTATTCCAGGCACCTAACAGTAGAACCATCTAAAGTATGTGTAATTTGGTTTTTATTGAACACATTAATAAAGAAAGCAGTCAAGAGATTGTTAAAAAATAATTGATTACATTACTCCTAATAGCTATACATGGCTGCAGAATTTTTGAGTGACATCAGATCTAAAGTATTGTTGATATTTGATCTGCTTTAACTCCAATGGCTCTAGAGAATTTGTTCTGCTCTCTACAGGGCACTCAACAAATTATGTTGTTGCTGTTTATCTCCCCTCTTTAGAGAATTTGTTCTGCTCTTTACAAGGCACTCAACAAATTATGTTGTTGCTGTTTATCTCCCCTCTTTAGAGAATTTGTTCTGCTCTCTACAGGGCACTCAACAAAGTATGTTGCTGCTGTTTATCTCCCCTCTTTAGAGAATTTGTTCTGCTCTTTACAAGGCACTCAACAAAGTATGTTGTTGCTGTTTATCTCCCCTCTTTAGAGAATTTGTTCTGCTCTCTACAGGGCACTCAACAAATTATGTTGTTGCTGTTTATCTCCCCTCTTTAGAGAATTTGTTCTGCTCTCTACAGGGCACTCAACAAATTATGTTGTTGCTGTTTATAGAATTTGTTCTGCTCTCTACAGGGCACTCAACAAAGTATGTTGTTGCTGTTTATCTCCCCTCTTAATTTGTTCTGCTCTCTACAGAGCACTCAATAAATTATGTTGTTGCTCTTATCTCCCCTCTTTAGAGAATTTGTTCTGCTCTCTACAGGGCACTCAACAAATTATGTTGTTGCTGTTTATCTCCCCTCTTTAGAGAATTTGTTCTGCTCTCTACAGGGCACTCAACAAATTATGTTGTTGCTGTTTATAGAATTTGTTCTGCTCTCTACAGGGCACTCAACAAAGTATGTTGTTGCTGTTTATCTCCCCTCTTAATTTGTTCTGCTCTCTACAGAGCACTCAATAAATTATGTTGTTGCTCTTATCTCCCCTCTTTAGAGAATTTGTTCTGCTCTCTACAGGGCACTCAACAAATTATGTTGTTGCTGTTTATCTCCCCTCTTTAGAGAATTTGTTCTGCTCTCTACAGGGCACTCAACAAATTATGTTGTTGCTGTTTATCTCCCCTCTTTAGAGAATTTGTTCTGCTCTCTACAGGGCACTCAACAAATTATGTTGTTGCTGTTTATCTCCCCTCTTTAGAGAATTTGTTCTGCTCTCTACAGAGCACTCAATAAATTATGTTATGTGTTGCTATTATCTCCCCTCTTTAGAGAATTTGTTCTGCTCTCTACAGGGCACTCAACAAATTATGTTGTTGCTGTTTATCTCCCATCACACAACACACAGGACTACTGGATTGCTAAAGGAGCGGCTCTCTTGTGTCAAATTAGTGACTAAGTCTGTGGAGTTCTTTGATTGCTAATTGCTTAATTAAAATGTTTTTTATGTTTATAAATAAAGTAATGAATGCTTAGTTTAGGTGAACTATACAGAGGTCTCACATGAGCAGTTAAGTGTGGCCTACTGTACTTATCATTGTTTGCTAAATATCCGTCATGTTTTGGTGCAATATTTATACAAGGTGCTTTTATTTCATTAAATAATTATCAAAGAATAGTTCGTGTTGGAGTCTCAATTATTTCTTATTCTTTAATTTATTTTTAAATATTATGGCTGTATTGAGGCCGAATTACATTTTTTAAAAAGTTATCAAACTTACACTTTAAGATTATTTATTTTAATCTTTTAAAGGACATACATAATCCACTGGAGCACACAACATTGTTAAATTAAATACAAAAGTCTAATCTAATGTCTAATTATGAAACGGTATGGCCTAGCGATAGAGCGATAGACTGCTGACCATAAGTCTCAAGTTTGAATCAAGCTCTGATGAGTAGCTATCTCACTTTACAAAAAGTGAAGGCAGTTGGGCATAGTGGTGACCACAATATCCCTTCATATGCGTAGGTCGCAGAAACAGGTGAACTCTACTTCATTTGCCCCATGAACCGTCAGGTTTAAAAAGGGAATTTTACTTTTCTATAATATCTATTTAGATTAAAAAATAGATACTCTTCCCTTGTCACAGGAGATGAATGTTTTGGAGAGTTTGAATGGAATTGCTGCATTATAAGTGGGTCATAATTAAGTTTCAAGATTTGTCACACCCTGCAAACATTGTGAACTAAATAAAAGCTTTAAATACTAAAATATAACAAAATAAATGTTAATTTTATTCCAGCAGTGAATGATAGCCATTCATAAAATCTACTCAAAAATTCTTAGGTGTGTTTTAATTCACAAAACAGAAATGCTAAATCCATGTTTAAAAACGAATGAACTCAACAAGAAAGCAGAAGCTGAGACAGCAGAATGAAGAAGAAATATTGTGATTGGGTAGTTGTAGAAATTTTCTTGTCATCTATCATCCAACATAAATTAAAAAACAGACTTCTGTGTCCTCAATCGTCAACTAGCATAACACAGTTTTGTTGGTTTAACATTAACCATACAGGTCTGACAATATAATTTAAATAAATATTATAAATAATTCATTCTTGTTCTACTTCTTTTTCCTTCGATTCCCTTTTTTATCAAATTCTGCAGCAACATCTTCAGCTGTCATGACATCTGGCTCTAGTTGAATGTTCTCTAAAACTTGGTTTAAACTTTCAGTTTTCAGATAGGCACCATCTTGAAAAATCTGAATTTTTAAAAAAAAAAATGATCAGTATTTTTAACTATTAAACAACATTATCAGTCATAAAGATTCTATTCTTTAGCTATAATGAATTGTGATTGGTTTCTTTAATGAAATTCTTACTTTCTCTCCTGTACTTCTGTCGATCACCTTCTCAAAATACACAGGGGGAATAACACCATCACCATTTCCAGGGGAGAGTATCACATTATTAGCTGATAGAAAAAACTGAAACCCATCTGAGGAAAAGTTATAACACCAAAACTAAGAGAGTAAATCATCAAGTAATAAAGAAAATATTTATGCCTAAATAAATCAAATTTAAAAATTTGGTGATAACCTTAGTAACATGTATACAACTGCTATAACAAAAAGACATAATTAGAAGAGCTTAAGAAATTGTTATATGTTTATCAGCCTAATCCGTAGTTCTAACTAACAAGTACCAGAATTTCACATGAGTACCCAATTACTCACCTTGAAGAGCTTTTTGTAAATTTAAGTATATAAGAACAGTGCATGATTTCCTCATTCCTGAAATAAAACAATGTAGGTAATTAGCTAGTACCCTGACACTCAAATCAAACAGAAGCAGACATATAACAATAAGATACTCTAACTCAATACTACATCAATGGATAGAAGAAACTCCTCACCACTGATGACACCATCAGCACCTGGTTCACCTGGAGCAAAATGGATGTGGATCCTCCCCATGCGTTTCAGACCCTGAAACAGAATTTTAATTTTCTTTTTTTCCTCATAATGTGAATAACTGCTCTCTCTCTCTTTTAGTTGGCCATTTCTCTCTTATTTTTTTTGCCTTACTCAGACACAATAAAACTAAGCAGCTAACTGCATTAACATAATTAACATTCACTTAAGTGTATTTTTAAAAACTTATAAATTCAAACATACAACTAACTGACCTCTTTTGCTATTGACTTAAATGGCCTCTGATAGGTTCCATGGACAACAACAGGGTAATCTGAGGCATCTGTGATTGGCTTAAGGTCCAAGTCTTCAACCTGCAGTAAATAGATTTATTTTTCTGTATGAGTAGTAGAGTAGAGTACTTAACATTCCATGAATGAAAAGGTGGACTCAGTAACTGCTGTGGTTGTGCCTTATACCTGTATGTGGTTGTGCCTTATACCTGTATGTGGTTGTGCCTTATACCTGTATGTGGTTGTGCCTTATACCTGTATGCTGTGTCCCTGGTTGGCCCTGATCTTCAGTCTACCTGTGTCAGCATCAGACTCTAGCGTGAACCTTTTCTTATCATTGTTCTCAACAACCTGTTCAATATCTGCAACCGTCACTGACTGGAAATCTTGGGAATTCAAAATGTCATCCACATACAAGAAACCACCTACATGGAGAAAAATAAAAGTGTCTGTAGCAAGAAATCAGCAGAGGGGATCACATTTTAAAGTCATCTTTTTGACACAGTAGTCCATTAGATGGCTATCAACATAATCACTCAATGATAATACTTTAATTTTTTACTAGTCATTTAGCACTTCCCAGTTGTCAGAGAACACATGTAAGAATAAATGTATGTATAGAAGGATTTCTCTAGTTATTTTATATCACACCATTATCTGGGGATTATTCTCTGCTTATTGCTAGTTATACAATGTTCTTACACACTAATTACCTGGTAGAAGCTTGAAACCTTTTTTCTCTGCCCCATGTCGTAATAAATAAGATAAAGATTTTGAAAGCTTTACGGTATCTTTAGTTCTCTGAAAAAGAAACTCAATATTTAATTATGATAATGCTGATTTGCCATTTTATTTTTATTTTATTCTGTGTGCATAAGTTATTAGTGCTCTTCTAGAGTATTTAAGTTTTACAGGATTTTCCCTAGATCCATATTTTTTTTTATTTTTACCTTATTAATTTTTTAAATATTTAATATATTATTTATTTTATACTTGAAATTAATGAATCCCAACAAAATAAATCTAATTCACTCAATATTTTAGTTCTTATCTTTAGGTTTAACTTGGTCACTCAGATAATTTAGTTTTTGCAATTAGATTTACTAAATCTGATTTAAGACAGTAAAAGTCACTCAAAATTTGCACGTTTCAAATTTTAAAATCCTATAGGCCTATAAACCCCAATATACTTAATCAGGCCTAACAATTATTATTATAATTAGGCTTGTAATATAAACTTCTAAACATTTGGGCTAAGAAGCTTTTGTCTTGTTTCCTTAGTAGGAAATATATAGTAAAATATATACTCATCTTAAAACCTTACAGCTTCATTAAATAGCTGCAATGAGATTAATTTTACAGAAGAACCATTTAACCATTTAATTGAATCATAAAATCTTCATTAGGTCAGCAATTTTTTAATGAACTTTTTCTCCATGTAAGTAAGGAAGATTTTGTTTCTGTAATAGGCAGTATCTTGTAAAATATGTATTCAATTTAAAACCTTAGTGCTGTAATAAACAGCTGATATTTTTTTACAGACATGTGAATAACTACACATAACATGTTTATAAACATGAAACAAATATAAAAAAACAACTTTATAGTGACAAGCTATTAAATGCACTGAAAATAAAACAAGTTTACTTTCTTTAATAAAAGCTTTGGTCCCCCATGAGATCTTTGACATATTTTAGCAACAACAGTTATTATTAAAGAAAGTAAATTAGTTTTATTTTCTTATTTTCAGTGCATTTAAAAGCTTGTCACTATAACTATAAAGGTTTTTTTAATATTTGTTTTTTTTTCTACTTTTTAATGATTCCTACTAATTTATAAAGTTGACGCGACTAAAAATATTTGCTTTAAAACACCATCAGTAGATCGTGATATCTAAAAGATGATTATTTGCTCCTTGAAAAAAAGCTGTCCTTGATCATAATTAACACTTTTAATTTTTGTTTATCTCCCTTGAGTCTCAAATTATTTAAAAACTTTATTATGTGCCCTTAATAGCCTTCACTAGGCCAGCGACATCAAATTATAGCAACATTTCCGTTAAGTATTGCCTAATTAATCATTATTCTTTGCATTTTCAGGGACACATTTGGCAATTTGTAATATTTATAACAGTTTTAAGCTATTAAAAATTGGGCTCTCTAACAATATAAATTTTGAAAAATAATTCTGATTATTTTTTAAATTATGTGCAAAATAATAGCCAATTAGGCCTATAGCTGTAGGCCAAGGCTAATTAAATTTTCTGTAGTATTTCAAGTGCAGATATTTTATATTCTATTTGTGATAAATTGTGAAATGATTAGTTCAAAATATAATTTTTTTAAATCAATTTGCTGTTGTTTTTTTTGTTTCCTGGTGTTGTCTCCCAATTACAAATTATCTGTTAATCACCCAATTAATAAAAAAAAACATAAAAATTGACTGCTCAGCTTCAAAAGCTAGCACTGTAAATTTGGGTACTCTATCATTTTAGGTGAGTAAAATCAGACGAGACTAGTAATGTGAAAGAAAGTTGCCACGTTGATATGGCTTTTAAATGCGATTGCTAAATATATATACTCTAAACATAGGCCAGAAATTAACTTAAAACAGCAGTGTTTGCGAGCAAGATTTGCTATATAAACAGCTGTCTTCTGTAGATTAGAGTGGTTTCCCCTGAATTTCTAACTAGAATTAAACCAAAAAAATAACTTAAACAAGATGGCTGCTAAAGTAAATGAGCTTGGTTGCATCTGCTAAAAACATCTCTAGTCTTTATTTATAGCTGAAAACTTTTAATATAATTGTTAAAACTTTGAAACACTTTTTTAACTTTCAAAACATAAATCCTCCTAAAATAATTACTAAAATTTTATTAGTCACCTTTTTTTCAAATTACTAGTCTCGGACGATTTTACGTACCTAAGAAAATTTTTTTCCTTGTTTCACTAGGTCATGGGGTTTAAATTTGCATTGTTATTTAAAAGCTTGATCTGCAAAGTTTTGTAAAGAAAAAAAACTATAAAGTGGGGCTGTCAGAAATCGATCACGGAGTTCCTGTATAGCCAATCAATGTTTGTCTTACGAAAGTGAAACATTGGGTTATAACTTAGGCTTGATGAAAATAAATAGAAATGTAGCCTTAAACTCAACAAATTATTTTCATTCGTCCTCTGGATCTGCAACTTGTGTAGCATTGATTCTAAAAATATTAAATTTCTGTATTAATTTTAGGCTTAAGTTTTTAATAAAATGTTATCTTTTATTATTTTAACAGTCCTAAATCTAAAAAAGCACATTTTTATTCCATGTCAACAGCATTACTGAAGGATTTTCATCAACTCGCTGGTTCCATTAAACCCATTTAAAGTATATTTAATAAACTTTGTTATTATTTTTATATTGTGTAAGATATGTTAGAATAATTTTGTCATATTTTCAATACTAAAAAATTCATAGATTAGTAGAAATCTTTAAAAATGTACAGGTGCTAAAAAGTGTGGCTCTTAGTTCCCTTCTTTACCCTAGGTAGGCCTAATATACTATATAGTAATATAAATATGTAATAATAGGCCCGGTAATCTATCGCTTTGGGTACGTAAAAATCGCCCGCGACTAGTAATGTGAAAAACAGGTGACTCTTTAAATTTTAGTAATTATTTCACATTTTGAGGAGGATTTACATTTTGAAAAATACAAAAATGTTTCCTTGTTTCATTTATGTACCTGTTTTTAAACAATTGAATTAAAACTTGTCAGTAATAAATGAAGACTAGCGATGTTTCCAACAGATGCAATCATGCTCATTTACCATAGCAGCCATCTTGTTTAAGGTATTTTTTTTTGTAAATTTATAGGGCCTAGATCTAGCACGAGATTCAGGGGGAAGCCACTCTATTTTACAAATGGCTGCTGTTAATATTAGCAAATCTTGCTCGCAAACACTGCTGTTTATTGTTTAAAGTTAATTTCTGACCCATATTGAATATTGATATATTAAAATATATTAATAATTTAGCCATTATTGATTTCTGATTTAGTTTTATTATTCATTTACCCACAATATTTGACACAAATATATCACAATATACTTCTATTAAAGCTAACTAAAGCCTTGACAATGACTCCATAATGAGGTAACTTTTTCGTACATTACTAATACTAGCCGCGGGCGATTGTACGTACCCAAAATATTATTAAATAAACTAGGCCCGATTATTAGGCCGTTAATAATAAATAAAATAATAAAAATAGGCCTATTAAATTAAATTTAAAATTAAATAAATAAGGAGGGCCTAACGTAACAACTAACAACTAACAACTGTGTAATAAATACAAACTCTAGACATTTTGGAACTAGTGGGATAGTAGTTTCGTTGGTCTGTAGATCTAGAAGAAAAACTATATATTTGAATTAGATCTAGATCTAGAGTCTGCAATCACATAATGAATGTGTTATGAATAAGCAACTGTTTATATCTTATTTCTAGGCCTACTTTCGGTTTTTCTCTGGTATTGCCGGAAGTTTATGCAATTTGTTATGGTTACTCTACTCCTGCGTTTTCCGAAAGGTTAGCAAAAACACCGAGATATTTCCCAACAAAGTGTGAGTAGATCTAAATCTAGAACTGTAACGCAAATGTGAAACAAATAATACGTTCAATGCTTATCTTATCACCAGCTAATCTTCCTTATCTAAATCTAAGAAAACGAACAAAGAATTTTGAGCTGTGGGCGATACGCCAGAACTTTTACAGAATGGTATTAAAAAGAGCCATTTAACCATTTTATGATTATTATTTTTTACTGTGACCAGCTTGACTCTTTCCCAAGTAGTGATACTGCATTAAAACATTGCTATGATTATTTCAGTTTGATTTATTCTACCGTTAAACCATTCCTAATCCAATTAGTAACTTCTCTTGTCCAGATTTCTCCCTCAAGATACGGTAAAAGACTATTAGCATGGTAACGTGGCTCAAGGTTCAGACAACCAACCATATGTGTTTATTCATTTATTATTATTATTTATCCTTTATTCTGTGTGTTTGTAGCAAAGTCTTAACTCTAGTTCTTCTTGTAGCTCGATACGACAACAGTAACAGACCATTTGGAAACTGCGCGAGTGGATTTGCTTTTCTCCCAACGTGTAGTTGGAGTTGGTTTCGTGATTTTGAGCTATATGAATGGGAACTTAAATAGGTCTAGGACCTCTATATTTAATTTCAAGATAAGTGGTTCTTAATCTTTTTAAAAAAATCTTTTTGGAGGTTCCTAACCCCACCAGCTTCATACGCGCATCCACCGAACCCTTGATTGTTCTATTGTCCGCACTGACATGATTTGATGGTGAATCACATGAATCGGGTGTGTGTATTGACCTTCGCTGAACCCCCGAGACTGACTCACAGAAACCCACGGGGTTCGATTGAACCCAGGTGAAGAACCACCGTTATTACATTTTTGAAAACTCTACGTTGTGGAATTGTTCTTTTATTTACATATCTGGTGTTTAACTCGTTACCGGCAACTAGATCAACATCTTTCATTAAGGGATGCTACTCTGACGTATTAAATCCGATATTATTATGATTCAATACAAGGCTGTCTTCTAGCTTGTTTTTTTTTTTAGTATTTTAAGCAGTATTATTCATACATTTATCAGTAATTCTAGATTTGTATCTTAGTAAACTAAAAAAGAGATAAATCTGCAAAGATGCGACCAGATGAACACAAAAAGAAAAAGAACGAAGCGTATAAGAAAAAACACGGGATTACAAAAAGTGGTGGAGATGACCAATCAAGCTCAAACGAAAAGCAAAAAAATAAAAAATTTGGTAAAGATCAAAGAAGTGAAAACAACACGAAACCGAAAGCTACCACTCTATCTTCAACTGTACCACCACATGAAAAAAATGTGTCGTCCTCGGATCCACAAAAAGTTAAAGCAAAATTTAATGAACTCACATCAGATTATTCAAAATCTGGTTCTTCAGATGATGAGGACGAGGTAGAGGCCCAAACTAATTAATAATTATTTAATTAAATAATAAATAGGTCTAATTTATGAATCATAAATGGTCACTAACTACTAACTCAATGTGCAAGTGCAACTAAAGAGTTAATTATAAACACAATTTTCTGCTAAAGAGGCCAAATTCAAAATGACAAAACCCTGTTTTTCTATAACTAAACTAAAAAAATCAATATTCAACACACTCCAGGACTCTAGGATATAGTCTGTTTTTATAATTTCTATAGGGTCTCCTAGAGCGTAAAAAAAAAAGCATGCTCATTATGTATGCCCAGACATGTTGTCAGTGGTAACTTTGTGATGAAAACTGTCTTCTAATTTTTAAATTGCACTATTAGTAGTATTAGGGTATGGTGTGGTCAGCAATATGCCCAGCACTTTTTCTTTCCTTAATGTGAGTCAGGTACCCAACAGAGCTGATGGGACAGGGACATCATACAGTCATGAGTCTTGACAGAGATTCGAACTAGACATCTTTGGATAGCAGTCAAGAGTCAAGTTCTCTACCATTCGACCACCCTGTAGGCTATAAAGATCTAAATTTCTTTACATTCAAACTTTCATCTTCATTTGTCCCCAACACTGTTCTCTTATATTTCATTTTTTTTATTTGCAGAAATTTATCAATATTGGCAGTAAACCTATTGTTTTAATTGAAACATGTAGAAAGATATTTTGTTATTCTCAGATGCACAAGGCTGCCAGCCGAAAAACATATAGGAAACGAGAAATTGTGAGCAACTGGCAAAGATATGAGTTGGAGCCGGATAATGAAGATGCAGAAATTACTGCAAGAGGAGAAAGTTTTGAGAAGCTCATTAGCCTGGCAGGTAATTTTGTTTTAATTTTTGCTCTCTCAAAAACATAGGTAAAAGCTTTATGTAACTGTATACATTTTTATAATTAACTGTCAGGATAAGAACAAAATGCTCACACCAAAACTTCTTTTATTAATGTATTAAACTCACAGTCATGTAAATATTGACTTTTCATAACCTCCTCAGGAAACCATGTGTCACACTTTCGGTTTAAAGATGAGCTGGAATGGGAGGAGTCTGACACTCCAGGGACACAATGTACGGGTGAAAGTGAGGACTACAGCCACATACTGGACATCAACACTGTACAGCTGGCACAGCAGCTCTCTTGTATTCCAGTGCACACAGTTCTGGGGATCAGTACCAATGTCTTTCCAGTGAGTTGATGTGTTTCTGGGATTGACACCAGTGTCTCTCTTGTGAGTTGATGGGGTCTGTTTCAGGGGTTGACATCAATGTCTTTCCAGTGAGTTGATGGGGTCTGTTTCAGGGGTTGACATCAATGTCTTTCCAGTGAGTTGATGGGGTCTGTTTCAGGGGTTGACATCAATGTCTTTCCAGTGAGTTGATGGGGTCTGTTTCAGGGTTTGACATCAATATCTTTCTAGTGAGTTGATGGGGTCTGTTTCAGGGTTTGACATCAATATCTTTCTAGTGAGTTGATGGGGTCTGTTTCAGGGAGCAACATCAATATCTTTCTAGTGAGTTGATGTGTTTCAGGGGTTGACATCAATGTCTTTCCAGTGAGTTGATGGGGTCTGTTTCAGGGTTTGACATCAATGTCTTTCTAGTGAGTTGATGGGGTCTGTTTCAGGGAGCAACATCAATATCTTTCTAGTGAGTTGATGTGTTTCAGGGTTTGACATCAATATCTTTCCAGTGAGTTGATGGGGTCTGTTTCAGGGTTTGACATCAATATCTTTCTAGTGAGTTGATGGGGTCTGTTTCAGGGAGCAACATCAATATCTTTCTAGTGAGTTGATGTGTTTCAGGGGTTGACATCAATGTCTTTCCAGTGAGTTGATGGGGTCTGTTTCAGGGTTTGACATCAATATCTTTCTAGTGAGTTGATGTGTTTCAGGGGTTGACATCAATGTCTTTCTAGTGAGTTGATGGGGTCTGTTTCAGGGAGCAACATCAATATCTTTCTAGTGAGTTGATGGGTTCTGTTTCAGGGAGCAACATCAATGTCTCTCCTGTGAGTTTTTTTGGGTATGTTTCAGAGATCAATGTCTTTCCTTTGAGCTGATGGGATTTGTTTTAGGGATCAACATCAATGTTTTTCTTGTGTGTTGATGGGGTGTGTTTCAGTAATCATCCATGTTTTTCCTTTTAGTTGTTCTGGTTTGTTTTGTAAATCAACCTCAGGGTCAATATGGTTAGCATTTTTGCTTTAAATTTCATATTAAAATGACATTATATTTTAAAACAATCTTTGATTAAAATAGATTGTACATTCAGTGTACCTGGTACCTGAGTTTCATGCCATAATGTTTTTTGCCTCCAAATAAATTCTAACAAGTAAATGTTATTTAGCTATCACAGGTAGAGTCCATGAGGCAGACAGCAGAAAAAAACAGGTCTGTTTTTTGTTTAAGTCACACTCAAAGGAACACAGACACAATGGCCTGTGACAATCTGACAGCTGGTTCAAGTGACAATCTGACAGCTGGTTCAATCAAGAGCCCAGTAGTATCAAGTTCATTACCACCAGGTGTCAGCCTGACAGAACATGATGTCAGTGAGAGAGATTTACATTCTGTAGAACACAGACTGGGTACTGCTCGGTTGCAAGAAAACTTCAATCAGGTGCAAGAAAACAAACCAGTCGCAGCAAGTTTACAAGATAATTCTTTTAGTGACTCAACTCAATCTGTAGAGAAAAAAATTTCACATTCCTCCCAGCCAAAAAAAGGTAAGGAACATGTTTTTTTTTTTAACTGGAACAGCAGTTTAAAAAAATGTTTAGTGTGTAGCAATAAGCATTTAACTTTTTTTGTTGCAGAAGAAATCAGCAGCCTCGAAGACTGGCTAGATAGTGTTCTGGATGACTGATGCCTGTGTTCTATAAATATCATGCTATTTATAAATATGTTGTTAATGTGGGGCGACTAATAAAATTAATGAAATAACATATTTATTTCAACTTTTTTGTAAATTTACCTTTTTTGTTTTACCTTTTCAGCATGACTAAAACCTATTTATACTTACTGCCATGTAATTTTAAATTTTAACTGCACCAGACTGACATTAAACCATATCTTTGTGTTATACATTGACTTTTAAATAGAACAGTTGTGATACAGATAGTAAAAAAATACATGCTTAATTGTAATGAGATATACATAACAAACATATTTTAATGTAAAAAACATTGGATTTAAACCTTTTTCATTTAATGAAATTATCACAAGTGAAATTGCTTTGGTTACACTGCTCTACCCTGCATATATAAAATCTTTTCCCAACTATCTAACAAACCAGATATCTTAAGCTGGCTACAGTTTTTTATGGTCCATTCTCACATGTTAGGGTAGTTCACTACCAGCCATAGCACTAATTCAGTTCACTGCCATCCGTAGCACTGTGTGCACTAAGTTCACTACCAGCCATAGCACTAATTCAGTTCACTACCAGCCATAGCACTAAGCGCACTAACTCAGCCATTAGCAGTCCACCGTGTACACTAAGATTGAATGTAGTCTGTCAATCTATTGCTCTAATAATGAACTTTGTATTAAACTGTTACAGCAAGAATCAGAGGCCTCTATCTGTACACCTGAGTTTCTCTCAGAACAGAATGTGAAACATGTCTACATAAAAAACACATCTACTCCCTATAATCTGTACACCTGAGTTTCTCTCATTACAGAATGTGAAACATGTTGACACAAAAAACACATCTGCTCCCTATAATCTGTACACCTGAGTTTCTCTCATAACAGAATGTGAAACGTCTACACAAAAAACACATCTACTCCCTATAATCTGTACACCTGAGTTTCTCTCATAACAGAATGTGAAACATGTCTACACAAAAAACACATCTACTCCCTACCAATCACACCTGGCCAACAGCTGTGGGTAATTCATGTCACATGGCCAATATTTGGATGTGGACCCTAGAAATCACATGTGGGGAAAAATCACATTTGGCCCATTTAAAAAGCACATTGTCCATAAGTTGCACAGTCAAGTTTCTGTTGCAACAAATCTTTCAGTAGGTGCTCAAATTGCTCCACACTGGGTGAGGTGAATGTTTGCTGATAAAGTTACAAAATCCTGATCCAACCATCACTTCTCTAGACCAAGAGCCAGCCCACAAAATGTCCGTAGAGAAAAATTAACTTCCTATTGCCTCATGGCAGTACTTGCTAGTACCTCAAGGCGGTAGTGTCATGTACGAAGCCTACGCTGTACTTGAGGGCGTTTTATGGATGTACTAGTACCTCATAGAGATGATGTTATGAAGAACTGACTGGGCTATTTCTGGGAGGTTGTGTCATGGAGGTACTTACTGGTACCTTTAAGAGGTAGTGTAACGGAAGTACTCAGTACCGCAAGGAGGTGGTGTCATGGAGGTACTCATCAGAATCGAAGTTTCCGCCTCTCTGGAACCTTCCAGAACTGGCTGCACTGTTTGAGCGGTCGAAGTAGGGGTAGAGGTAGGTGGGGAAGGAGAAGCAGAAGTCCTGGGGCTTGTGGAGCTGACATCTCCTGATGACCAGCGACACCGTGATGATGACAGTGGCCAGGGACAGCAGGATGCCCAGTATTGCCAGGAGGGATGTTGGGTCGATGTGACGGCCAAAGATCAGGAAACCACCTGGCATTGCTGGTCTGGTAGAATTACCTGAAGAATCTAAAAGTTTGAGATGGGTTTTGGTTAAATTACCTGAAGAATCTAAAAGTTTAAGATGGGTTTTGGTTAAATTACCTGAAGAATCTAAAAGTTTCAGATGGGTTTTGGTTAAATTACCTGAAGAATCTAAAAGTTTCAGATGGGTTTTGGTTAAATTACCTGAAGAATCTAAAAGTTTCAGATGGGTTTTAAAACCACCTGCATGGCAGTAGAATATAGACGCTTTCTTTCTTTATACATGTGCTACACAAACGTGTATTTATATATATATATATATAAATATATATATATTTTTATATCAGGGACACTCACAGGGGGGGGGGGATTAAACGAGGGGTTGGGCGCAGAGCAAGTGCTGAGGGGGGGGGGGGGGGCACCAGAAGAAGTTACAAAAATAAACAAATTGTATGATTCCTGTTAACTTAAATAAAAAAAAACTTAAACTGGCTTCAATGTTTTAAGGGGGTGCAAACAAAAATAAGAATAGTTTAGTTTAAGTGTTGTTTTTTGTGTGTGCACACATTCACATGATCAACAGACCATTCATATATTTATGTGTTAAACATTAACTCACAATCATGTACCTTAAAACAAAATATATATCCTATAGGCTACTTTTATGTCATGTCAGACGTTGGCAAGTAATAACCATACTCTGCTTATCCTGTAACATATACCCATGTTGTAATGTGTACTTACTCTGAAATTGGCAGTTAAAGCCTGTGAAATCTGGCAGACATGTACATCTAAAACTGTCTGAGCCAGTTTGGCAAGTTCCGTTGTGCAGGCAAGGAAAAGATAAACAAGGATCTAACTTGTCCTGGCAAGCTGAGCCTTGAAAACCTGAAGAAATAATTGGTTATCTTTTGGTTGTTCGCAACAAAGTATTCTTAAGAAATCTTTCATCTTAGATGTCACATTGAAGGTGTTTAAAGATTTCGGCCTGTTTAATTTGTACACATATGGCTCTTTCTATCTGCGTGATAGTCCAGGTATAGAGATAGTCATGTTTTCTAAGAACTTACCCTCTGGACAGATACATTTTGCATGATGATCACTAGTACTGTGCTGACCACTGGTCACGTGATGATCATTGATCAGAGTACACGTCCCTCCATTCCTACAGCGGTAAGCCTCGTGATGAAAACAGGTCAGGTTTGTCTCACAGGTTGGGCCAGTGTACCCAGGTTCACAGGAACAGTAGAAGTTACCTGAATCAAGAGGTTTTAGACATGGGCATAACTGATACTGGGTAAGATGTTTTTTTATATGGACATCACATATACTGGGTAAAGATGTTTTTATATGGGTAAATATGCTTTAGACACGGACAAGACATACATACTGGACAAATGGTTTTTTTAAACGGACATGATATACACTAGGCAAAGATGTAGACCAGGTGTAAAAGATCAACCCCGTACTTAAGCAAGTGGAAAAGCATTTCTGACGTCACACTCACGTAGTCATTATGAGGTCACACTCACGTTCGTCATTATGACGTCAAACTCACCATGGTGATTGCGACACGTGCCGTGACCACTGCATGTCTGCGAGCTGCAGATGTCCCTCACTGTCTGACAATTTCGCCCAGACCAGCCCGGCCCACACTCACACCTGTACCCGCCCCGAGCCAGGGTCACGCACGTGCCTTGTCCACACGGGGAGCTGGCGCAGGCATCTGCTGTGGCACTGCACATTTGACCTTGGTGACCTTTGGATAAACCACAAGTTAGTACAGGACACGACATGATGTGGCAGACCAGATGTGAATCATTGCGTTTGGCTGGAAGCTTGTATGTGACTGAAAGATTGTGTAAGGTTGAATGATTGTATATGACTGAATGATCAAATGTGATTGAATGATTGTGTATGACTTAATGATTGTGTACAACTGAATGATTGTGTATGACTGAATGATTGTGTATGACTGAATGATTGTGTATGACTGAATGATTGTATATGACTGAATGATTGTGTATGACTGAATGATTGTGTGTTTGAATTATTGTGTATGACTGACTGACTGTATGAGTGAATGATTGTGTATGACTAAATGATTGTGTATGACTAAATGATTGTGTACGACTGAATGATTGTTACCTTCCGTACACTGACATCTGAAACCCAACTCGGCGTCTGTGACACAATGTCCGCCATGTTGACACGGGTTGGGGTCGCAGGGGTCAATGTCTGTTTCACAGTCGGTACCTGAGGATGTTGGTCAAATGTTTACCTGAGGATGTTGGTCAAATGTTTACCTGAGGATGTTGGTCAAATGTTTACCTGAGGATGTTGGTCAAATGTTTACCTGAGGATGTTGGTCAAATGTTTACCTAAAGATGTTGGTCAAATGTTTACCTGTGGATGTTGGTCAAATGTTTACCTGAGGATGTTGGTCAAATGTTTACCTAAAGATGTTGGTCAAATGTTTACTTGAGGATGTTGGTCAAATGTTTACCTGAGGATGTTGGTCAAATGTTTACCTGAGGATGTTGGTCAAATGTTTACCTGAGGATGTTGGTCAAATGTTTACCTAAAGATGTTGGTCAAATGTTTACCTGTGGATGTTGGTCAAATGTTTACCTGAGGATGTTGGTCAAATGTTTACCTAAAGATGTTGGTCAAATGTTTACCTGAGGATGTTGGTCAAATGTTTACCTGAGGATGTTGGTCAAATGTTTACCTAAAGATGTTGGTCAAACATTTCACGTTCCCATGTATAATGTTTCTTGCTGTCATTATGGATAACATTTGTCAGTTACATAATGCATGCTAGCCTCGACTTTGATACACCTGTGACGTAAGTCTGTGACTCACCTGTATAGCCTGCAGGACAGGAGCACAGGTAGGTGCCAGGCGGTCCCTCTGTGCACGACCCCCCGTGCTGGCAGGGACTCAGGGACAGGCACTCGTTGATGTCCGTCTCACACGTCATCCCGCGATAGCCCCGCCCACACTCACACATGAACTGGCCGGGCGCGGGCTGGATGCACGTGCCCCCGTGCTCACATGGTGCGCTTGCGCACTCGTCCACATCTGTCCGGAGATCATTAATTATTTAAATGAGATGTGTGTGGAAGCAGGTCATTATCTGTTCCAGTTATATTCAGTGTTTCCTTCGGACATATTAGAGGGGGAGTAGGCTGTGCACTCACACCCTTACCCCAGAGCACGTCCACCGACCTTCCTCAAAATACAAAAATAGATAATATGTGGAACAGTTGAACCGAAAGTCTCGAGTTCGAATCCGGTTTCAATTTAGTAGAACGTCCATGTGTCCACCCCGCTCTGATGGGTAACCTTTACTCACGTTAGGCGGCTGGACATAGTGCTGACCACACTATCTCTTCATATGCCGAGGTCATTGAAGCAGATAAGCTCTACTTCATCTGCCCCGTGTCTTGGTTGGGTGCAAACGGCCAAGATGAGGAGATGATAGAATTAATAGAGAAACTATACATTTTAAAAACAAAAGTTTAAACACTGACAAAACGTTAAACACACTGTGACAAAACTCACCTGTCTCGCACAGCTGACCAGTAAAACCAGGAAAACAATGGCACCTGAAGGAGCCGATGTTGTCAATACAGGCACCGTTGTGGCAGGGTGAGCTGGCACATTCGTCGATACCTGGAACAGTGCACAGGTGCTATACAACAGGTGAGTCAACAGGTGAGTCAGGTGCATTACAACAGGTGAGTCAACAGGTGAGTCAGGTGCTATACAACAGGTGAGTCAGGTGCTATACAACAGGTGAGTCAACAGGTGAGTCAGGTGCTATACAACAGGTGAGTCAACAGGTGAGTCAGGTGCTATACAACAGGTGAGTCAGGTGCTATACAACAGGTGAGTCAACAGGTGAGTCAGGTGCTATACAACAGGTGAGTCAGGTGCTATACAACAGGTGAGTCAGGTGCTATACAACAGGTGAGTCAACAGGTGAGTCATTTGCTACACATGAGGTGAATTAATAGGTGAGTCAGCTGCTATACAACAGGTGAGTCAGGTGCTATACAACAGGTGAGTCAGGTGCTATACAACAGGTGAGTCAGGTGCTATACAACAGGTGAGTCAACAGGTGAGTCAGGTACTATACACTAGGTGAGTCAGGTGCATTACGACAAGTGAGTCAGTTGCTACACATGAGGTGAGTTAATAGGTGAGTCAGGTGCTATACAACAGGTGAGTCAGTCAGGTGCTACACAACAGGTGAGTCAGTTGCTGCACATGAGGTGAGTTAATAGGTGAGTCAGGTGCTATACAACAGGTGAGTCAGTCAGGTGCTACACAACAGGTGAGTCAGTTGCTGCACATGAGGTGAGTTAATAGGTGAGTCAGGTGCTATACAACAGGTGAGTCAGTCAGGTGCTACACAACAGGTGAGTCAGTTGCTACACATGAGGTGAGTTAATAGGTGAGTCATGTGCTACACAACAGGTGAGTCAACACAACACTGTACAAAAAACAACACCATCACCACAATATTACACAAACAACAACACCATCACCACAACACGGTACACAACTTTATCACCACAATACGTTTTAAACAACAACACCATCACCACAAGACGTTGTAAACAACAACATCATCACCACAACACGGTACAAACAACAACACCATCACCACAACATGATACAAACAACAACACCATCACCACAGCACGGTGCAAACAACAACACAATGTCGTCTTAGATCTAGCAACTATAGGCCCATACAATCTTTGGTGTCTGTACTTTCTCGGAGATCAAAGACTGGCATGTTTTCACGTGGTATAAATAAAAGTCAGTCTTTAAGTTGTATCCTGATGTCAGTTACTGTACGGCTGTTTTGTCCGACTGACAGATGACAGATGACAGATGACAGATGTAAACATATCTCACCCAGCTCACAGTTCAGTCCCGTGAAGCCGTGTAAACAATGACACGAGTAAGTTGACGTCAGATATGACGTCACCGTGCAACTTCCGGCGTTGAGGCAGGGCGCACTGTTGCAGGGTCCAACAACTGAAAAAAAAAGGAGTAGGAAGTGTTTGTTGTTGTAGGTCATAGGTCATGTAAACAATCACGGCCGTGTCATGTTGACATAGGTGGATATATTTCTGTCAACAATCAACGCATAAGACACACAGAGAAGGTCGCTGACAAGTGTCTGTAAGGACAAGTCTTTGGCGAAACATTTTAAGACGACTCATGAATTTTCCAAGAATAAACGTAAGTGAAATTACCAGAGGCGTAGCGACGGGGTGCGGAGGGGTACATATGTCCCGGGGCGCCGACCCAAGGGGCGCCAAAATACGCTTATTTTAGCTGCTATTTTGAATTATAAATATAAAAAAAATATATGGGGGGGGGGGGCAAATTAAAAGTTTGTCCCCGGGCTCCGGGAGGGGTCGCTACGCCTCTGCAAATTACTAGACAAGTTTTTTTCTCGTTAAAAAATCAAGTAATCATCCCGTAAACTCGGAAGGGGGGGGGGGGACACAGTTGACTTTTTTGGACAGGTTGTTGCCCTATTGCAAAATCCCAACATTTTGGGGAGGGTCATGCACCTTTTGTCTGGCCCCTTTCGTTACTGACTACACTTAACACTGACCACACTATAGCTAACACTGACCACACTATAGCTAACACTGACCACACTATAGCCAACACTGACCACACTATAGCTAACACTGACCACACTATAGCCAACACTGACCACACTATAGCTAACACTGACCACACTATAGCTAACACTGACCACCTGACCACACTATAGCTAACACTGACCACACTATAGCCAACACTGACCACACTATAGCTAACACTGACCACACTATAGCTAACACTGACCACACTATAGCTAACACTGACCACACTATAGCCAACACTGACCACACTATAGCTAACACTGACCACACTATAGCTAACACTGACCACACTATAGCTAACACTGACCACCTGACCCCACTATAGCTAACACTGACCACACTATAGCTAACACTGACCACACTATAGCTAACACTGACCACACTATAGCTAACACTGACCACACTATAGCTAACACTGACCACACTACAGCTAACACTGACCTGTAAGAAGCAAATCAGGATCTTGTGCTTGTGTAAACTTGACCAAACAAACTTGACACATCCAGACCAAAGCGACAAGAAAACCGCTCTCACGTGACCTCATGTTGACACAGGTCATTTGACTCTAATTTTGTTTTATTGGAGGTTTACTTGGAGGTTTGTATCAAGGTTATAGTTCAAGGCTATAGCTTAAGGTTATAGCTTAAGGTTATAGTTCAAGGTACTCAGTCCGGTGGAGCTAGAGTTTCAAACACCAAGCTAATATAGCCCTAGTCACAGGTGTAGATTAGACCTGACGTCACAGAATCACACAGCCGAGTTCCTATGGTCAAAGTTGCAGGTACTTACAGAAGAGCGAGCATCAGAAAATCATCTTACGTTCACTGCCATAAGAGCACGACAAATGAACTGGGAAGGTGCGGACGATTTGCTGAGCGAAGTAAGAAAGAAGCCAATGAGCGACTGAGTTTTGTCCGTCCAGCTCACAACCTCATTGAGCACTCGACGGTCACGTGGTCAACTCGACGGTCACGTGGTCACACAAGCGCGCGAGAGATGCTGGACTAATTCGAAGGAAGTCGAGGTGTGAAAAGCCCACATGAGTCGACATCTCGTAACTTCTCGCACGCTCGAGACCAGAGGCGCGTGATCTTTGGCCAGGTACGTGCCCCCCACCGCGCTCAAGACATCAACAAGTGGCTCGGGTTGGGACAAAACAAACAAGCTTTGCGACATCAAAGTGGACAATTGGCAAGCCGCAACAAATTCCTGGCGACATTGTTTCCAAGATTGTTGGAGCAGTGAGGGGAGGTAATACCTGCACCCACCAACACAAATAAAGGGTTTTGATTTCACATTTTAAAACATCTAAATAAGAGATCATTTAAAAAAAATAAAAAGCTCCACAATAGGCATGAAAGGTCGATGAAGCCGTACTACATTATTTAAAAATCTTTTTTTAAAATAAGGCAAGCGATAAAATTATAATAACCATCAATTACAAACAGATTCATATTTTTAAAATTAAATATAAGCCATTGAAAAGCTGTTTAAACTTATTTTATAAATTCAAATATTTAAAAGTTAACCGGAATGGCCAGGGAGAGTTTTTATGGAATAATGCACTAAATAAATTATACACTACTATTTAAATAAGTATAAAGAAAAGCGTGGGTCTCTTCCTGAATATCAGTAAAGGTATCCAATAAATTATATAGTGACTCACGCTTTACTTTAAAGTTATTTAAATAGTAGTGTATAATTTATAATTTAGTGCATTATTCCATAAAAGCTTGTTGTTAAAACGTTTTTTATGTGTTTTTTTTTATTCTACTGTGTGTTAGAAATAAACTGACGTTTTCTGTGTTCTCTCTGTATGAATGTGTATTTTGTATAATTCAGCTAGGTGTATTTAGAATAACTTAGCTAGGTGTATTTTGTATAACTCAGCTAGGTGTCTTTAGAATAACTTAGCTAGGTGTATTTAGTGTAAATTAGCTAGGTGTATATGGTATAACACAGCTAGGTGTATTTTGTATAACTCAGCTAGGTGTATTTAGTATAACTCAGCTAGGTGTATTTAGTATGAGCTGACCCGCGACGTAGCATACGCCACTATTTTGTTTAATTCCTATTTTTCAGCAATTCATAATTTGTGAATTCGACAGTACCAATGCTGTGACTGAAAATATTTTGCTTTAAAACACTCAGTAGCTCGTGAAGGACGATTATACTCACCCTCACTTTCCACACATTCCCCCCCTCCTCCCCCCCCCCCCCCCTCACCCCGCCTCCGTGAAAGCAGCCGTCTGTGACGACAGTTTACATACGACAATGAAAAGAGCAAGCAGAACATGTTATTACCTCCCCTTAATTACAAATCGTTTAAAAAATAAATTATATGCCCCTGATAGCCGTTAATACAATTGCAAACAGCTCACCAGACTGGTGGGGTTTGTAGCGATATGGTCTGTTGACGTTACGTCTTGGTGGTGTCTCGCATGGTCCCCACGTAGAGAATTATATATATATAGATAACTTATCTAGGTGTATTTAGTATCACTTAGTTGGGTATATTTAGTATAGACTTAGCTAGGTGTATTTAGTATAGACTTAGCTAGGTGTATTTAGTATAGACTTAGTTAGGTGTATTTAGTATAGACTTAGCTAGGTGTATTTAGTATCACTTAGTTGGGTATATTTAGTATAGACTTAGCTAGGTGCAGTGGCGTAGGCAGGGGGGGGTTAGGGGGGGTCATAACCCCCCCCATAGACCCCTCGGTATATATAAAAAGTATGAGGGGGGGTGCAAATCGAAAGTTTGAGGGGGGGGGTGCAAATCGAAAGTTTGAGGGGGGGGTGCAAATCGAAAGTTTGAGGGGGGGGGGGTGCAAATCGAAAGTTTGAGGGGGGGGGGGTGCAAATCGAAAGTTTGAGGGGGGGGGTGCAAATCGAAAGTTTGAGGGGGGGGGGGGTGCAAATCGAAAGTTTGTCCCCGGGTAAAAATTGGAACCCCCCCCCCCCCCTTGAGACGATCCTGGCTACGCCACTGGCTAGGTGTATTTAGTATAACTTAGTTGGGTATATTTAGTATAGACTTAGGTGTATTTAGTATAATTTAGCTAGGTGTATTTAGTATAAACTAAGCTAGACACTTCTTATGTCCTGAGAATTACGCCCCCCCCCCCTTTGTGTAACCAATCGTGGTCACATAACATTGTAAACAAAGCGTTGTGTTCGAGTTCAAATATCTATTCAAACATCTTCACTCAGCCGGGAGAACTTACTCAACAAACACACCTGTCAGTCAAGGGAGGTGTGGGGCGATTAAGGTGGGACGGGCACTAAAGGTAGGATTGGGACGGGAAATATTTGCGATGATTGACGATTTTTGCGGAATTTGTGTACAACAATGAGACCTGACGTAAAGTGACAAGCGACACCCCCCCCCCCCCCCCCCCCGCCCGTCCCTAGCCTAGCTGCCACAATGATAGATGATATACAACTCTCTATTGGAATTATTGAATGTGGAAACAATCCACGTCACACATAGCTTACAGTTTACTAGAAGAATTATTTTTGGCCCGTTTGTCTTTGAGTTTGAGACTAACGCCATATATCGGGAGACGTTCTACAGACATAAGTAAACTGGTTTGATACCACACACTTTTAATTAAGTCATATACGTCATCAAAGGTGTTCGCTCCTGTAAAAAAAGTTTTTTCTAGTGCGGCAATTAGAAGGATTACATTTTTACTACAGCTGTTTGAGCCACGACTTTTGTGTTTAGATTGGGACGATAAGGTGAGTTGACTTTTGAAGTGATGTAGATAATATTTAGGCTAGGCTGTTCATGTGATTCAACCTCAACATAAAGAGAATAATAACGTTGACCATTGTTGTGAAAAGAAAATGCCCAACTGGCCTATTTGGGGTCACAGCCATGTCCCCCATGTCCCCCATGTTCCCCATGCCCCCCATGTTCCCCATGTTCCCCATGCCCCCCATGTTCCCCATGTCCCCCATGTTCCCCATGTTCCCCATGCCCCCCATGTCCCCCATGTTCCCCATGTCCCCCATGTTCCCCATGTTCCCCATGCCCCCCATGCCCCCCATGTTCCCCATGCCCCCCATGTTCCCCATGTTCCCCATGCCCCCCATGTTCCCCATGTTCCCCATGTCCCCCATGTTCCCCATGCCCCCCATGTTCCCCATGCCCCCCATGTTCCCCATGCCCCCCATGCCCCCCATGTCCCCCATGTCCCCCATGTCCCCCATGTTCCCCATGTCCCCCATGTTCCCCATGCCCCCCATGTTCCCCATGCCCCCCATGTTCCCCATGCCCCCCATGCCCCCCATGTCCCCCATGTCCCCCATGTCCCCCATGTCCCCCATGTCCCCCATGTTCCCCATGCCCCCCATGTTCCCCATGCCCCCCATGCCCCCCATGTCCCCCATGCCCCCCATGCCCCCCATGTCCCCCATGCCCCCCATGTTCCCCATGCCCCCCATGTCCCCCATGTCCCCCATGTTCCCCATGTCCCCCATGTTCCCCATGCCCCCCATGTTCCCCATGTCCCCCATGTTCCCCATGCCCCCCATGTTCCCCATGCCCCCCATGCCCCCCATGTTCCCCATGTCCCCCATGTTCCCCATGCCCCCCATGCCCCCATGTTCCCCATGCCCCCCATGAGTAGTATATTAGGTCCCTTTTGATTATTATTTTTGGCGGAGCAGGTGGTGGGAAGGCGCAAAGGTTATATAGTAAAATACTCGGAGCAGGATGCGCAGCCTGCCGCAGCCTGCCGCAAAGACATATAGTAAAATACTACGCCAGCTGCCGCAGGGTGGTGGAGCAGGATGCGCAGGATGCGCAAAGACATATAGTAAAATACTACGCCAACTGGTGTTGGCGGAGCAGTGAAGGGTGAGTCACCTTTTGGTGACCTTGTGACGTAATCATTGACCTTGTGACGTAATTAGTAACATTATGACGTCATCATTGACCTAGTTACGTAATTTTAATGTGTTTTTAATTAGTTTTAATGAGTTTTTTAAATTTTAATTAATTTTTGACCTAGTTACGTAATTTTATTGTTTTTTAATTAATTTGATTTTAATTACTTTGTTTGTGTTTTGTTTGTTTATTTTTAATAAGTTTAATTAATTCGATTTTTTATTTATTTTGTATTTGTTTGATTTTAACTTTTTAATTATTTTTATTTTGTTTATTTTTAATTTAATTATTTTATTTTTAATAAGTTTAATTAATTTGATTTTTATTTATTTTGTATCTAGTTACGTAATTTTAATTTTATTTTATAATTAGTTTGAATTTTTATTGACTAGTTATGTAATTTAATTACTTTGAGTGTTTAATTAGTTTGTTTACTTGTTGTTTAATTTAATTACTTTGTTTATATTGTGTAATTTTTATTGACCTAGTTACGTAATTTTAATGAGTTTTTTAATGAGTTTGAATTTAATTTTTGTAATTAGTTAAATTATTATTAACTAGTTACGTAATTTGATTATTTGTTTACTTTGTTGTTTAATTTGTTGGTTTGTTTATTTGCTTGTATGTATGTTTTAAATAAAAGGCTAACACTAGCGTGGACTTTGTATAGGGACCATTCAGCAACACAACGAACGGTTACCGAAAATAGAACATTCATTTAACCACATCTGTTACTTAGCGATCCGCGATCCTTTGTTTTTGACACGCGCTCCCCATTTTTTAATGGGAATGTATTGATCGCACCTACGGGCCATCACACCTAATTAATTTGGTCATGCATCGTGGGTTTTTCCCCGCTCGATTTGACGGGTCATGATGATTTATGTGGGTTCGCGAAGCGATCCCACCGGGGGGTATGGTAATTAACGACGTACATTAAGTGGCTTTCCGCGAAGCCAGCGTTAAGTGTGGGAACATCTGTTACCACGTTAATTGATTTTTTCCCCCCGGTTGGATCCCGTGCTTTTCACTAACAGTTATACGGACAGTATCATAGGTTTTTGGTTTTCACCGAGGCAATGTTTTGTTGTTGGTTGGTGTAGAGTTTATACGAGGGTCGGTGAAGTTTTCACCGAGGTTGGTTTTGAACTCGAACCATACATGTTTAAGAATTACTAGGTGTAGAGTTTATACGAGGGTCGGTGAAGTTTTCACCGAGGTTGGTTTTGAACTCGAACCATACATGTTTAAGAATTACTAGGTGTAGAGTTTATACGAGGGTCGGTGAAGTTTTCACCGAGGTTGGTTTTGAACTCGAACCATACATGTTTAAGAATTACTAGGTGTAGAGTTTATACGAGGGTCGGTGAAGTTTTCACCGAGGTTGGTTTTGAACTCGAACCATACATGTTTAAGAATTGCTAGGTGTAGAGTTTATACTAGGGTGGTATGGTTTTGGTTTCACCATGGCTTGGTTCAAAGTTGTTACATGCATGCTTTGGAGTTGGTAGGTTTCAAACTAGGGTCGGTGAAGTTTTCACCGAGGCAGGTTACAAAGTTGATACAGGCATGTTTTAGGAATTGGGGTGGGCCGTGTTCATACTAGGCTCGATGAAGTTTTCACCGAGTGATGTTGGTACACGATGTTTTGGAAGGGGTTGGTGTAGAGTCTATACTAGGGTCGGTGAAGTTTTCACCGAGGCAGGGTTCGAAGCTAGACCATACATGTTTAGGAATTGTTAGGGGTAGAGTTTACACTAGAGTCGAGGGAGTTTTGTTAACACCGAGGCATGTTGGTACATACATGTTCTTGGAATTGTTGTGGGTAGAATGTATACTAGGGTCGGTGAAGTTTTCACCTAGGTAGGTTTCAAAGTTGTTACATGTATGTTTAGGAATTGTTGACAGTCGAGTTCATACTAAGGTCGGTGAAGTTTTCACCGACGCATGTTTCAAACTCTGTCCATTCATGTCTTGGAGTTTTTGCGGATAGAATTTATACTAGGGTCGGTGAAGTTTTCCCGATGTAATATTGTTTTTGTCTTTACCAGTTCGTTTTCTGAGGGTGTGTGTGTGTGTGTGTGTGTGTGTGTGTGTATGTGAGAGCTTTTTGGTTTGAGTGAAAAAGTTTGGTTTGCGGTGTATAACTTACACCGATGTTTTGACTGCGTAGGATTTCAAAGTTGGATGGGAAAGTTGTCACACCTTTTAATCAGCTATTACAATTAATCACAAAAGAGCATTTAAATGTATATAAAAATTTTATTTACTTAAAACAACTCCTGATTGTGTGTGTGTGTGTGTGTGTGTGTGTGTGTGTGTGTGTGTGTGTGTGTGTGTGTGCAGCCCGTACAAAAGGACAGTCTGGATAATAGCGTCGATGTTCTTCTTCTACCACGTCACCCGTTTCCCAACCCCTCAACGTATTCAAACAGAAAATACACTTGACAAGGTCACCAGGTCCAATGAAGATAAAACCATTTTTAGCCAAACTGATAGGGTCGACCGGGTAGACGTCGGACCAACACCCCGAAAATGTTTGCAACCTTTCCTCCTCATCATGGAACCTGATGTCACTGTCCCTGTCAGAAGCTGGGTTGGGTGGTGGTGGTGTCTCATCAAGGGGCTCAATAAAGGTTCCACCTATAGGTCGCTGTACAAACACTCTCTCATAACCTAGATTCATCTCCCCTTGATTAGTCTCATGAAAGGTACTGATCATCTGTACAGGATACAATCTCACTTCCTCGGGTCCAATATCAAGACCCGTTTCCGTTTGATCCGACATTCCCGTGCTCTCACGGGAATCCCATCCACAGCACTGAAGACAAAAACATTCACCGGACATGGTATAGGGTTCTTATACGGCGGTGTTTATAGTATTCCCTGAATACCACACCTGGGTGGGCTATCGATCAATACCGTAAAGAGCGGTTTCCAACTCGGATCCAGTATTTTAAATGGTTGATTTTGATTCCAGTCATACATCTTATACAGGATACCGAGTTACATAACTTTCAGGGACAAGTAACAAAACAATAACTCACATCAAAAATTTAAAAAAGATCGTTTATATCATAAGTTTTTATTGAATAAAAACAACCCCATCAGCATACCGTCATGGTTCTGTCTTATTTACATATTTACATTAAAGTCTCGTTAAAGTCATGGTTGGTAAACTAAAGGGTCTTATATGTCTAGGGGAGATGTTGTGACATTGTCTGCGTCTACTTGTCTTTTAATGTAAAAGTAAGAAAGTGAGTTTCTGTGTTGGGTGTAAGTGTATATCCCCGTGTTGTATGCTCTGAACCCTGTGTTTGTCCCACCACTTGGTTCCTTTGTTGTGAGGACCTGCATGAAAGATTCTTTGCCTAGTGTGTTGTGATTTTTAGATAATCCTTTGGTTGATGTTTTATTATACTCGCCAAAACAGTGGTACGTCTTACTACATAAAGATACCATCCCATCCCCTTCATATTCTAGCTTAAACAACCCCGGTGTTCTTTTTTCATAAATTTTCCTAGCCCTACACCCCAGACAATGACTATCTACCGTGCCTTTGCCGCTTATAAATTGTGGTCTATGTGAGTCGCATACTTCTGAGGGGAACCATTTGTCGTAAATGTCAAAAAACTCGTGTTCTAGTCCCGGTCTAACGGCTTTTAACAAGTCATCGGTACTTAAGGCTAAGTATAAACTGTCCGTGTCCATCTCACATAGCTGAAAGTCGGTTCTATCTATATATTTGTCTATAAAGTCATAATAAAATTCTAACATTCTAAGTTTCGCGTACTGATAAACGAAAAAACCTATCTGAAGAGGGAGATCCCAAACTATCTTCTTTTTT